CCATACGTCAAAAGGAAGGTTGGGATTGGTTTTTGGGGTTTTTGCCCTCTCCGTTTAGGCAAAAGGAAAAAAAAAACAATACTTTTTTAATACTTTGCATAAATTGCTTATTCTTTCAACAATTTCAATTATATTTATTTCAAAGTCTTGAATTCTTGGGGTTCTTTAAAATGCTAAACCTAACCGTGTTTTACGATATTGGATATTGGGCCCCGCTTTCAAATTGGTCTACATTGAGGTAGTTTGAATTCTTGGGGTTCTTTGATATGCTGAATCTAACCGTAATTTAGATTTTCGATTTTAGTCTCAGTGTTCAAATTATTCCACATGAAGTTATTATAGTCCAAAATTAAATTTAGTATAATTTTGTTTGATATGCTGAATCTCAACATGTATTTAGATTTTAAATTTGGGCCCAGTTTTCAAGTTAGTCCTTATTAAGGCCCAAAGGGTCTAAAAGTAAAAGTTATTTGCTTTCACCAAATATTGAATATATTGGCTCTTTGACATAACAAATCTAACTGTGTATTTAGATTTTTGATTAAGGGCTCTGTTATCAAATTGGTCCTAATTATGGTCTAAAGGGTCCAAAATTAAAAGTTACTTGCTTTCTTAGAATTCTATGGATTCTTTGAAATGCTGAATTAAACAATGTATTTAGATTTTGAATATTTGACCATAATAGGTAAATGTCCAATTTCAAATTTTTAAGTTCTTAGAAAACATTCATTCTGTGTGAGAAACCTATGCTATGTCAAATATTTAATCACAATACAAATTCAGAGCTGTATTGCACAATAAATAGAAATTGTTAGTAGGCTCATATTTCAAAAATAGACAAAGCATCAAATTCTTATTTTAAAAATTATGTATTGATATAGTTTAAAGTTTACTGTTCATTATTAGATATTTTGAAATATAATCAAAGGTAAGTTTTATAGATTTTGTAAAGACACTGTATTAATGATTAATGATATTTTGGCTTTTTGTAATTTGATACGTTTATTTGTTATTCTATATAAATTAATTTTCAGAACTCATTTAAAAACTAAGCTAATATTGTCCGTTAATAAATAAATAAATTAAATTCAAGGTGTACTTGGATATACTGAATCTAAACGTGAATTTGAATTTTAGATATTGGATCATAATAGGTGAAAGTCCAATTTCAAATTTTGCAGTTCTTTTATCACATTCATTCTGTGTCAGAAGCATATACTGTGTCAAATGCTTAAATAAAATATCCAAACTTGCCTTAGCTGTTCAGGGTTCGACCTCTGCGGTCGTATCATGTTGCGCCCCGCATTTTATTAAACATGGTATAACTATGTAAAGAAAGGCAATGGAGATAATCCTTAAAACTGCAGTGTACACTAGAGAGACTGCAACTTCACAACACAGATATGTGACAAATTTCCTTAAATATCATAAGTTTATCAGACAGCTAATGTCATGACAAGAACACTTAACTATATTGATACTTCTTGTTTTTATTTAAGTAATGATAGTACACAAACTTTGATTATGAGCACTTTCAATTTTTTAAGAATGAAACCAAACAAATAATGATATTATGATATAAATCTAAGCGAAAACATGGATTTCCCTAAAATAATGTCATGTCTGAAAGATAAAGCAATGTCTTTTTATTACCTAAAAATCTGCCTACTCATCAACAATCTTGGTACATTGTGTAACAGATTATGCCTCTATTTAATACCGAAAGTCTACGGTCAAATTCAGGTCCGACGTCTGGTCACTATGGTACAGTGTGTACAGTTTAAAATTTATAAATATGTCTATTGTCAATCAGCTCTTTATTCCTAAAAATCATAGGGAAATATATAAATACTTTAATTATAGTCGAAAGGATTAAATCAGTCTTCACATAGCATATTTCGAATTGATGTTTGACTTTTGTTAAGTAAATATCAAAAAGGAGATGTTGTATGTTTGCCAATGAGAGAAATATCCCCAAAAGTTCATATGAAGTGGTTGTAAGCAATTATAGGTGACCTTCGACAATGAAATAAACCCATGCTGGTTATAAAAGGTCCCGAAATATAAAACAATTCAATTGAGAAAACTAACAACGTTATTAATAGCAAAACAATATACGTCAAAAAAATATGACGGACATGAACCAACAACAGCAACTAAAATACAGACTCCTGACTTGGGACAGGCACATATAGAATTTGGTGGGGTTTAACATGTTTGAAGGCGTCAACCCTCTCCTAACCTGGGACAGTGGTATAACAGTACAACAAAAGAACAAACTATAAAAATCAGTTAAAATGGTCTTAGCCCGTCAGGTCGATAAAAATTAGAAAACAAACTGACAAAAATACAGACCAGAAGCGGCATGGTATATATACATTCCTAAAAACAATAACAGGCATAAAGTACATATCTGAGAGTACTCACAATTACTGACAGATTGTGTAAAGTCAATAACAATTAAACAAATATCATGTATCTAAGACTAAAATATCAATCAGTACACACCCAACATCCAATAGATTTAGTGAACAGACGTCATTAACAGTCACAGAAAAAAATTCCTTGTTTTATACAAAAAAAAAAGGGTATCGACAAATTGTTTTGGAGTTTGCTCTGAAGTTCTAGATCTAACAACAAATAAAGGTTTCTATGTCTAACAATTGGCTACATTGTAACTTGGACCAAACAGCATGAATAACCTATTATCGTTTGACATTGAACTGAGCAATTAAAAACTCATCAGAAACATTGTGACCATTTTTTTTTTCATCCAGGATTGGGGAATTTAAGATAGAGAAGATCAATACAAAGAGTGCTCCATATAAAAAAAATTATTTGTGCGTAAATTAAAAAATCAAGAATCGTCTGTGATATAAAAATACGAAGATGTGGTATGACTGCCAATTAGACACCTCTCCACCAGAGACCAAATGTAGTAGAAGGTGCACATTTTTAGCACACTTTTTCTAATCACTTGGCTTCGACGTTGTTCGTTAACTCTTTTCCTCTGAAATTACAAAGCCAAATTTTACCAAACTTTGCCAAAATCATTATTGGGGTATCTTGTTCAAAAAATATTTTCGATAACTCTGCATTTCAACTAAGATGTTCAACATGGCCAAACATAGAAAATAGGGGGAAAATGCAAGTTTTGCCTATTATCTTGAAAACCACTATGAATAGAGAAAATCAGGCAGGGGCAGAAAATCAGGTTTAGAATATTAAGATCTACTTGCTGTCCATTTACTTCAAAACTGTCAGACAACTTATTATTTGAGTTATTGCCCGTAAATGTAAAATTTTACCATTTGTTTTCATTTTTGCTGATTATTTTGAAGGCTATAATAGATTTTAGAATATCTAATTAGGAAAAGTGATCAGCAAGGTAAGATCTGCAAATAAGCCAACATGGCTGAAATCCTCAGACGACTCCGTGCTTTTTAATAACGATTTTTACATTTTTTTTGCGTTTGTGTCTAATATCTTAAAAAATGTAACATATAGATGGACACTTTAAAGGGCCAAAATGATCAACTATACAAGATCTAAAAATAAGTCATCATGGCTGAAATCTTCAATAGATTCGTGATTAGAGTTATGATTTTTAACATTTGTTTTTATCTACTATCTTGAAAAGTATATCAATACAAATGAAACTTTAAAAAGGAAAAACATGATCAGCAGGACAAGATCTACAAAACATCAACATGACTGAAATTGTCAATTTACTTTTCATAGTGTTATTGTCCTTTAATGATGGTTTTCCAAAAGAAAAGGCAATTACTGAAAATGCAGGTGAGCGACACAGGCTTCTTCGAGCCTCCAGTTTTGAAAATTCTGTACTAAACCTGATGTTCAGTGGTTGTCGTTTGTTGATGTGGTTCATAAGTGTTTCTCGTTTTTTATATAGACTAGACCGTTGGTTTTTGTGTTTGAATGGTTTTACACTAGTCATTTTTGGGGCCCTTTATAGCTTGCCAAGGCTTCGTGTTGAAGGCCGTACTTTCACCTACAATAATTTACTTCATTGGCACTCGTACCACATCGTCTTATATCTATAGGCTACACATTTCTATTTTTGATATGTTTTAGACAAGAGTCAGCTACAATAGTATGTTCAAAGAAATTAATAATGTCATATTGGTCCAGGTAGATAATAAAGTTTGAAAACTCAATTTTTTTTTTTTACATATTCCAACATGAAAATATTTGATAATTTGGTTGCCATGGTAACCCAGCTTCCTTGCTTGCATTCATCCTTTCCAAAGTCTCCTACTCAATTTGAACATTATAAATTGTAAGATCTAGTATACGTTTCCTAAACAGTTTGTCATTTTTGTTTTATTTTAAGTAGAAAAAATTTAAGGTTTTTAATACCATTAAACACCTTGTTGATAGGTAGAGCTGTTTCCATAGCAATAGTTTGAATAATTTTGTGCTAATAGTAAAAAAATAATTTCAACAGCAGTATTTTGACACCAATAAAGGCAATGAACATTTGCTTCAGGTTTTATCAGTTGCGTGTAGGAATTTGTATCATAATTTACAGCACCAATCCTTAGATACCTGATTTATTTTCAACGCAGAAAAGGTATAGTTTATTGATAATTACATAAGAGCTGTTCTTTTGTGATCGACTCGTGAGTCGGCTGTCATCTGTTTTTTTTTTTTGGGGAGATTGATGTGATTTTTTCATGTGAAAGAACCTTTGCAACATTACTTAGTCTGATGTGCTTATAATTAATTTCTGACCAGGCATTTCCTCTTTTCTGTCTTCATATTTTAGCAGCTTTTTCGACAGAACATACACACTTGATTGAATATTGTACTAATTATTGTCCAGAATAATAATGTACCTTGCGACACTGGACTAACATGAAAAGTCGAAAGTAATTTCAAGCGGATATTTGTTTAGGTGAAAATCTAAATTATTCATAAGTTATATGTCAACTGGATATTTGAAATGAATTTGATTTCCCTTTCATTTTTCGATGCAGCTATGGAATGATGCCTTCAAAATCAGAATCCCGGAGGGCGACGTTCGAACTGATTATAAGAAATGCTTGCAAAGTAGTTTGAAGGAGTGTCTCAAGGAGTGGGTAAGTTTAAACAAAAATGTCGTTGGATGGTTTAATCGCTGCGTATGTTATTACAAACATAATAAGTTATAGACACCCTTCTACATTTTTAATTTCATTTTACAGAGAAAAGTAATAAAGCTCCAGCACGTTCCAGTTCATGTTCCTGTTCTGTAGAATTTTTAATAACATGTCAAATGTACGATGTCATTATAATAAAAGTAAACAATATTACCTATATTCTACTTTTCTACCTTGTCCGTATAATTAATATGTTTTCCTGATTTTACTATATGGGACAAAATACAGCTTTCGTGGTGAATATTCTGTTGTGTTTTTGTCACTGTCAACATGACACAAGACAGTAATTGATAACTGAAGATTTATCTGAGCCTCTTGAAACTCACCAATGTCCGATAGAGCATTATTTCTGATTTGCATGGTTCAACTTAAGTTGCATTTGATCAGTTCTTCTATAACTATTAGTTAAAAATTAAAAACTCTTTGTCTATAGGATCTTTCCTAAATTTTTATGTAAAAGGTCACTCATTGATAAGGTTTACCGCTAAGGTTCACCGCATGTTGAACTTATGTTCATGGTACACTGGTGAAATTTTACTTTCGTCAATATGCTTTTATTCATTTATGGATAATTAAAAATGGCCTTGTTTTGTAGAATCATTGTAAGGTGTAAATATAATCCTGACATGATTAACATGACCCCGAGTTCATTTTCACTGCTTATCTATATCATATAACTCTTGTACGTCTGTATATAGGTTAGTTTCAAAAGTCTTATTAGTTACAGAACGGCTATATTTGATGTTTTTGTATTATTATTATATATTTTCATTGTTCAGTGATTTTATCAATTACTGACTCAAGACGTTTTGGTAAAAGGTTAAATGTTTTGCCAGTGCAAGATGCATATGTTTCATAGCAGTCACATGAACTACTCTTCCTTTATCAAAAACACTTGAGTCGTCGTAATCAGTCTGGATTCACAAGTACGTAAAAAAATTGAAAACATTCCAGTCAGTTGGAAGGCTCTACCTCACACAATGTGTTTACAGATTCACTATTAGGTCTATATAATTGTTTTTCAAGGTTTTTATTACCTTGACCCTATTCAGGTTCATTGGTCATAGAAATAGCCAGTTTCATTATCATATAAGTAATAGGTTAACTAGCTTCGATAAATGCAGTTATTGCATCAATCCTAAAGATTTTGAACTCATTGTCATCAAATTGGTTAAATATATATATTTAGTTGACCATGATAACTTTAGTACGACCTTGGCCTAAATATTCGTCATTCTTTTATGAATTCATACTCATTCAAAACGAGGAGGAGTTTTAGCTTGTCCAATTTTAAATAAAATGCCTTGAAAAGCTCCGATAAATTTTCAATATCATAAATTGCTGCAAATCCTGATATATTTATAATTCATTCATTCATTCGTATTTCTGAAAAACTTCTAAACCGTAATATTTTTAAACATAGATTTAAAAATCCTTGATATAGAACATTAAAAAAAACCAAACAAACAAAAATAAGTAAAAATGACAAAACAAATTTCTATTAATATTATTATTGTGTAAAATAAACTTATGTGTATTCATCAAACAATTTTGTAGAAAACTGAAAAACAAACAACAGAGATCATAGACATTTACTGCAATGACGTAGATACATTTGAACCAGGATTACAGGAAATTTTAAGTATGTGTGCGCTTGAGGTATGTATCTAGATTTTTAGATAACAACGGAGAGGTAAAACCATGGGCTAATTTGTCCTTTATGATTAAATGGAAATGAAAATGTATGATACCTTCTTACTTCACATGTTTTAAACTTAAGAAGGAAGGCTCAAATACATATAAACAATGGCATTGCTGTATTGTGTCAGTTTATATATATTTGTCAAATATCAAAACAAGCTTTATTCTCGAAATATGTCGCTAAATGCAAAAAAATGTAGAAGCGTCGCCTTACGTATGTTGTGTGCCAGCAAATATGGCAACCCAAACAAAAATGTTAATACTTTCTGTGTGAAATATAATTTTCAGCTGGATGCATTCTATATCATTTCAAAGAAAGTGAAGTTCTCTCATTGTTGAAGGCCGTACGATTGCCTATAATTGCTTAAATCCACTTTACTTGAACTTTGTCATATTGGCAATCATACCTCATCTCCTTATTTTGATAAGGGCATACAATTTTGACATTTTTCTGAATTACTGTCATATTAAAATAGTATAAAAGTATAAGCAAAAGTAGTATACCGATGTTCAAATCTCGTCAATGCATTAGGAAAAATAAAACAAGGTTATAACAAAAACGTAGGATATAAGCATAAACATGAAAAAGATCGAAACCGGATGCGTCGACTGAACTTACACCATTAAAAAAATGATAATAATTTTTATCAAACTACATCATTTCAACAATAGATGCTTGCGATGTAAATGTTAAATCAGTTATAAAGAAATTAAATTATACTATATAGTTCAGAAAAAAGACTCTCCGAAAATATAAGTATGTGCCAGGACAAAAGGGAGATTTATTATATTCCTGCATAACAGATTCTTTAATTTTTTGTATATTCAAAGAATATTCAGCAACTTTTAAATAAACAGAACACATCGGTTCAGTTCTACTTACAATTAATTTTATGTTGATTAGAAGGAAATACATTTTGTCATTATATGTCCTTTTTAAATGATTAATTGCAAAATGTATGTTTGACATTGAAGTGATATGCATGTATCAAAAGCATTAACGACAAGCTGTGATACATTTCACAATCGCATGTTCTTCGAGTATTCAAACATGAAATAAATATGATAATAAATATAATAATGAAAATCATTGTAAAATGGAGGCCATTTTAGTTATACAAATTCGGAGCAAAACAAAATAACCTAAATTTATTTTGAAAGCATTTCTAAAAAAAACCAAACAATGGAATGGATAGATAATTTGTGTTTCTTAATTGATAGGCAGTAGATAAATGTGTCAACTATCTATCAACAAATCAACATTACTTGGAAGGCAGAAGCTTAAGACATTATGGATCCCTTATGTCGCATGTCTTTGAAAGAAACATAGATGAAGAGAAACTGAAAAAGAACAAGAAAGCTTATCTTGAGCATGCTTTGAAATGGCCACCTTTTTTGGTGTTTGCCAAAATGTACAGTAAGTATCAAAATTAACTGTTATTAAGTCAATCAAAACAAATAAAAAGATTTATTTTTAAATTTTGATAGGATGATAATTGAATATTGATATTTTTAAAGTAACGATATGTATTATTTGTATAAAAAATAACTTTAAAAAGAATTGATGCATTAAAAAAGATTTCGGTGAAGTCTGACAATATTCGCTCCACTGTTGTAAGATTTGAAGTATGAATTAACGACGCTTTTGCTTGGACAATGTTAAGGTGTTCTAAAACAACATGAGCTACATCCCCGACCGTCAAATATACAGCTCCAGAACATATATAAATAGAAATGTAGTTTTTAATATCATTTTCGTAAAGATCTATTAACACTTTTCTGACTTGTTAGTTTCCGTCTTTCATCATGAAGGAATAAAATCTTTTGACGAGTGTATTGCCTTAAAGGGGACTTGGGAATGTGTATCATAAGATTCATTATGCTTATTTGACATCTTTTTTTTGCTATTTACAATATGCGTGTCTTCTTGTTTAAGTCATGGTGTTGTGTGTATTTCCATACAGATGGTTTGTTTCGACGCCTTTCAAGTCTTCTTAATTCTGCTATACGTTTGTTTTAATCTGCGAGTTCAGCCGTGAGTTTTGCTTCGATATGACTTTCCAAAAAAATAAAATTATCAGGGCTATTCAAATACAAGCAGACGACATTGAAAATGTATTGACGATTCGTGACGTAACCTTTTATTGGCATCATAGTTAATCACAGTCCTCGATTTAAAGATTTTTCAAGACCTGTTAATTTAGGTCAATAGATACAATTTTGCTGTAAATAGAATTTAAAACGCAATATACAATGCAGAACCTATTTGCGATGTTTTGATTCGCGTTGTTTTCTTTATCTTTATTCAGATTTTCCTAAAACGGCAAATTGACGCAAATGGGATACTTTTCCGAACTAACTTTACATATAAGTTGACCGCAGATTTAACGCAAACAAACCCCTCGTAATTTTGTTTGGAACTTGACAGTAGAGTTTTCTGCCTTATGATTTTAAGTCTTCTATAGAAGTTAATTTTCAGAGAAAGAAAATGAAATATAGTTTATACATTAGTGTAACATTGTGAGTTTGACCAAAAAGAGAGAATATACTAAGCGAGCATTCAAAATCGTTATTTACATAAAAAAACTGACAATAACGTTAATAAATATAAAAAAATCGAAAGTACAAATAACAGTAACAAAACCTCACAAAGAAAACTATAGACTAAAATACAGGAAACCAACCAAAATTCATTGTTCAATTCGTGTGATCAGGAGCATTCATCAATACCTGCTTTACGTGTGGCATCCGTGGTATTGATCAAGAAAATAACAACCCGGCAATAAAATAGTTTCCGGTAATGTCAAAATCGTTTGGATGAGGACAAGATTGTGGTTACGACAAAAGAATTTTTTTTTGCAGTCGTATGTGACACAGGTATTCCATAACAGTCAACCAAATTATGACTGCGTCCGTAAAACTTTCGGAGGACGGACTTATAGTTTACCGCTTGGAACCCTTGATGCTGATAAATTTCGACAAACTTAACATGTAGAAACTCATCAAAAGTATAACCAGGCTAATAATGTGTTATTCAAGACACGAGTGTCTTGTACATGATACTCATCAGTGGCGCTCAAATACCATAATTAGTATGTCAAATCAAACGTGCATTCAATGAGCATCGTATGCCTAAATAGAGAAAGGTTTTACCGTGTATGACTAAGGCCACGTATGGCATGAGAAGAAAAAGCATATTGTTTTGAATAATTGAAAATATAAATGCATAACCCGAAAATTCACATAAAATGACTATATAAAAGATATTGCGTTTACAAAAAATTGATAACGATCGGGCTGGTGATAACTTCATAGACGAATCGTCCACTACCAGTGACACCGACTCAGTGTATGTGAAAACTCTCCACAGATACCAGGCTTATTATCTGTTACATCAGATGCGTTTGTCTACAAACACTTTTAAGAATACTTGATAACTACATCATTGTTTTCTTTATCAGGGAATGTGGAATATTCAAGTTCACTTCAAGATACATGTTTACGTCATATGAAGATATTCGTCAACACGTTGAATGAGGCGTGCAAAGCACTGGTAGATGGTAGCATCACTATAGATTATCTTGATACTTTATTATCTGGAAATGATCGGTTCCAGTCAATTGTACAAGAGTTACATAGGAACGAAGCTGCCGTTATTTTGACGACTTTACAGATAAGAGACAAAGAGCTCTCTGCCTTTAGGGAAACCATGATTGTCGTAAAAGATTTTGTCTATGAATGCAAAAAGGTTGAAGGTATAAATTAAAAAAAAAAACATTGTAAAGAGCTAGTTTTGTGAACTTTCTATTTTGGTCAATGCGAACCCATGCCATTATTATAGTTATTTTAAATTTAGCTCATCAAAGTTCATATGTTTCTGTTGCTGATATTTGCCATATAATGAGAAGAAATAAATAATCATTCGTTAATAACCATTCACATATTTTTTCAAACAACCATCTTTTTGGTTATGTTATTTACAGAAATGAATCACATTCATGCAGTTTCCTAAATTGACACTGATGGGCTAGGGCAAGCATACAACATTGATGCAGCAGAGGTTATCTTGTATATCAAAATAGGTCACAACGTATTTTTCCTCAATTACGTAATGACTCTGACCCGAACTTTACTATATTACTGCATTAAAATATCTTCAGTGCAATAAAAAAAAATGACTAAAAGGATTTTTTTGGGGTAGATTTTTGAAAAATTTAGTAAAAAATGAAAACACAATACCTACTGAATGGGACTTATTTCTGATTTGTTAATAGATAAAGGCAACAGTAGTATACCGCTATTCCAAATTCATAAATAGATTGAGAAAAAAAATCAAATCCGGGTTACAAACTAAAACTGAGGGAAACACTTCAAATATAAGAGGAGAACAACGACGCAACAGAAAGACAACACTAAAATGCAACACACACGGAAACGAACTATAATATAACAATGGCCATTTTCCTGACTTGGTACAGGACATTATAAGAAAAAATGGTGGGTTGAACCTGGTTTTGTGGCTATCCAAACCTCGCACTTTTATTGCAATGTTAATTATAACACTAAAACGACACCATTACATGACATGAATACAGTACAACATTACGGACAGAGAATTACGCAAATAAATATTACTGAAATTAAATTAAACATTCCATTTTCAAGAATACGCTAAAGGAATTTTCGCAACCTTCAACATGTTCAAACAGGGTTTTGATTTGAATTACCCGACACTTAATGTGCAATTCAGATATAGGAATTGTTATAATTTAAGGTGATGTTGACGACTTAGAAAGACGTCTTCGGCAATTCACTAATCTTAATCAAGATAAATTTCAAGATGACAGTGTAGTTCGGATAAAGGATGTCTGCAAAGTTCAGTTTCCAAAATTCAATGCTACAGAGACTGCAGGGATAACAGACAAACAATTTTCGTTTGAAGGCATTCAAAGTGTTCAAACTTACAAACCTATCATAATTGCATTCAACTTATCTGAAGAGGAGCTAAATGCCATACCATTAGTTTTACAACATACAAAGGCCTATGCTTTCAAGCAAATCTGGATCAAAAACGGACGAAACACAAAAGTATCGAAAGGACGTAAGCTGAAAGTCAATGAAATTCTGACAGAAGTTTGGCCGGAAACACGGGAACAATGGACGTCTTTGTGTGAGAAGTTAAGAAATGGCGACTTATGTTTTGTTGATTTTGAAGAATATTTTTACAGCGAGGAGTGTAATAATTCAGACAAATTAGCAAAAGAGCTCGTTAGTTTTACCAGAGACAGCACAGACTGTGGTTGGATAAAATCACGTTTTGATCAATTTCACAATTTTCAAACGGTTTACACATGTTTGAAGGGCGCTAATGCAATTATGAACATTGTTGGAAAATATGGATTGGAGGGCGATTTCAGTCATATAACACAGATAATTAAGATTGTAAGTTCTAATTGAAAGTTTCAGACGCTATCATTCCTTTATTTTATTATTGCTTCCTTAGAAAACACAGGTACAGGTAAATTTAAAATGGTACTATATCAAAAAATGATTATTTTAACTGATGCCAATTCAAAAACTGTATTTGTTGATTCGTTTGTTCTTGCACTTTCAGTTCATTACATCATTAAATAGCAGAAAGACCATTTAATATATTTATGTTAGTGAATCTATGCAATGAGTTGAATTAAAAAAGAATCAATACAATTTCATACAAAATGTAATGTTATGATTACAACTTTCTGAAAAATGCACTAAAGAGATCAGTATAAAACTTCGAAATTTTGAAGAAAAATAATCTGTATCCAGATTGTCACTTTTTCAGACTAAAGGAGATGATGTGGAGATGAAAAAGTTTGATGTTAGTCTTGTGAAAACATGCTCCATTCTGAGGGGAATTGACGATAAAAAGGTTGACTGTCTTACAGTTTTTTGTAAATGTCAACCGCTTGTTGATTGGTTAAAGGATTCAATGACAAGTATGTACCTGACTTTTATATTGGGAAATCTATAGGAAAATAAGAAAATAACTGTAAACATGAACATTTTACTGGTTGTTAATTCCGTGATCAAAATGCAACTTTACACGCCGGTGTTAAATTTGCAAAACGCATGGTAAACAAACTTATCAAAGACAATAAGCACATAATTTTGAACGTTTTCCATGCGTTTCGTTTTCAAATGACTCATCAGTAACGTTCGAATAAAAAAATAAGGCTAAAGTACGAAGTTGAAGAGCACTAGGGGAAATTTTTCCGGGGATATTTTACAGTACTGTATTAAAAGAGAGGCGAAAGATAACATGGGGATATTCAAAGGGTATAAACAACACAGACATTGTTAAATTTAAAAGCAAAAAAGAACAACATTTCAAACTAAAGCAACATCAGCACGAACCCCATTTAAACAAAACTTATGGTGATAGCAGGTACTCAGGAAGGATAAGCAGATCACGATCCACATGTAGTTCCTTTCGTGTTGCTTTTTTTTCAAATTCAGTATTAAGTCTTATTCAGAAGGTCACATTTGAGAAAAAAGATGAGGAGATTGTGGTTACGATTATTGGAACATATCCGTCGTCATCTGTGACACAGATATCCATTACGATCAAACAACCCATTTTGGTGTCTGTAAAAAAGTTGGTTTTATAGCTTTCCTGTGAGCAGCAACCCTCTATCAAAGAAATTCATGATAGGTATACACGCTCTGGAATATTGTATCATCTGAGAGATATATACTTCGTATGTAGGTGCTGCTTAAATGTTGCTACTTGGAAATGGAAAGTTCACAATTGGGAAACTGAAATCGTCTCTTTTGTCGTATTTTTTTATCTCAACATACACTCGTTATCAATTTCTAGGTGTCAGTCAATATATGAGGCAGAACTATTTGTGTCGGCTGTATCCTGTATTTTAAGTTCGCATCCCCTATTGTAGGTAGTTTCACAATAAATCCAGCTTTTATTGCTTATAAAAATTTACTTTGATAATCATTTATGACAGAATTGCCAAAAGTAACCCCGTGCATTAATTTTACGTATACAGTGAGCTATTTGTTTAATACAAGCCAGACTAAAAGTTTAAAAATAATTGCAACAATTCAATGATCAAAACCGAATAAACCGCATCAGTTGCATAACTTGTAATAACGCTATGTTTAGGGGGAAATGTGTTTATCTGTATACCATAGCTATAATATTTTGTCAATGTTGTCCGCCAGTTATTTTAACGCAAATCGTCTATGTTAAGCACATTGTGTACATAAAGTATGAAGGATTAAAAAAAAAACAAAAAAAAACAGTATCAAACATTGTTATTTCTTTGTTCGATTGTTTCCGAAAGCCAATTAAGGTTTTTGATTGTATACATCAATATGTGTCAAATAGATACATATTTTTGTTTATAACTTGAAAACGATCACTACCAACAGTTATTCATCCTATTGTTTGGTCCATTATCTTAACTGAAATAATATCCTCTTACGTATATGGAATGCATGTTTAATTGTAGCTGGTTTAAAAGAGCTGAAGGTGTTTGTAGAGCTCGCTAGCATGTCAGCAGGTGAAACAGATATTGAAGTTGACAGAGTTCAGTTTCTCCATGCAGCAACAACGGGATATGCACCACTTATATTCAATTTGGATCCTAATTGTAATGATTTACATTTCATTGAAATGTGCGAAAGCGTATGGAAAGAACTCGAGACAGACCCAAAGCTTCCGCAAAAGCTGGTAACTTGTCAATATTAGTATTTTAAAATTTGAGTATTCTATAAGGACATCAATTGAAATAGAATTTTTGGAAGCGAATTCCAACGCCTCTCTTAGACAAGCTGTTTATCATTATTGTTAGTTTTTTTCTCTTTACATTCAATCTGTAGGACGGCTTTTTGTGTTCGTTTGTTAACAATCATTCAGTTATGATGTTGTAAGTCATTACCAATTTGTTAGGTGTTTTTTGTACACCCAGTACCCCTCAATAGCCAAGAAGAGGACTACAATTGATACCATATGCATTTTATTTAGTCCCTCTTGCAACTAAGTTTTAAATTAATAAAAAAAAGTCTTTGATTGAAGGTCTGCTAATTTTCAAATAGATTGTGATAACTGTGTTTTGTTTTAAGATCGGTCACTCGTAAGTTTACTGTCTCAAAATAATTTTACAAATCTACGCTAAAAACAGTACGTGTTTTTGACGCAGCAGAACTTCAAACGAAAGTAACATGTATATGTAAAATATATGAATATAGATTTTGTTCGTCTGAAATTCTTTTTCTCGACAAGAACGCTCTAACCTAAAAACTTGAAAGCCAAATAGTGGAATTAAATGGATAAACAGATGCATGGTAAGGGTTGTTGATACATTCTAAAACCATTTCAGGACTTCATTAACCTTTTGTGAAACCCACTATACTTACACGCAGATATAGAAGAAGGAATAGATAAGAAGATAATATATAGACCTTAACCATAAGTTTGATATTAAAACTAAAGTAAAACTAACTTAGTTTAAAATAAAGACGCCATATACAAAGATTTTGTTTTACAGAGAGACACTCACCAACAACTTGACTGGCTAAAATCGGTTAAACAATCTCATGGCTCAGTCGAAGTTAGCTCACTTTCACAGACAGAGGCCATTAATGCAAGTGGAACATATGAAGTTGGAAATTCCAGGGAAAATATTTCTCTTCAAAAACCGGCAAGTATTTTTGTTGCATTCTCTTAATACTTACTAATAGACGGAATTTTGACACTTCCGGACAAGGAATATAATAAAAAGATGAATATTTTAGAGTCTATTAGACATAAGATTATTTTGCAGAGATCGAGCGTATATGACAAGGTAATCAACCATGGACAGTAGTATTAATAATTCCTGGGAAGCTTATCAAAACTCAGGAATTATTTTTTTTTCACTTCAAAAAATATTTTGGCTCTGAAATTGTGCTTATAACACAAGATGTTAGTTCAACGCTTATGAAGCATAACAACAATGGAAATCAATTTGCGAAGCTGCAAAGCTATATCCGAGATGTTGTAAATAGATTTAACGTACACGGTAAAAAATCTGTATCAAAACTTAATTCCAAAAACTGAAAACAAAATAATTAAACATTGCCTGTTATCAGTCACATGTACATATTGCAGGGTTGAAATTAAGCCTCCCCTTTTGATAAACAAGGAAAACACAGACACAGTGAAAACTTTGATAAATAATTCGTATCAAAGATTTCTTCCAATTAGTTAAGGCTAGTTAAAAGTGGATATTGTTGTTCCAGTTAATATGTTATATTGACGTCGTACACTATGGTTATAGCACTTGTACTTTGAAATAGACTTCATACAGTAGTGCTATAACACGATCTTTTGAAATAAACTATGACAAAATAAATGCACTTAAACATAGTTTTACCATATCTTATGAAGTTATGAATAGTTTGTTTTTACCTGTTGTTTAAGGCGTTGAAAGATGTATTAGCATTAAGTGTAATACACGAAGGAAGCAGCGAAACAGAAGACACAGATGATATAAAAGAAATATACTACAAGTATGAACAGCTTCTTGATCTTCAATCAAGACTGATGTTGGTAGCTGGAAAAGCAGAAAAGGGCAAAGATGAAGTAGATAGATTTATGCTGGTATGTTGAATAAGCAAGGGTGTTTTTAAAGAACTAAAGTATGTCTTATAATTGTTTGTTTGAAACCGCTTTGAACTTTGTGTATTTTGTTTGAAGAAACCACTCACTAATGCAATGCTTTCAGTGCAAACATCATCATCACGTCTGTTTGTGACTAACATTTTGAAAAACAAAGTTTTAAGCGTTTAACATCACACAAACTATGAGGAATTGAATAGAGCTCCAAATTACGTCAAACAACTTTGTTTAAGGAGTTACAATCTTAATATGAAAAATGCAAAGATTTGGAACTAGAAATATGCAAGGTAAATGTAATTTTATAAATCTGATCATACTGAAACACTTGCTACTTGGCGAATGACTGCTATTTAACTTCAGCAATACCAACAGAGTTTTTTTATGACAAATAATATGCTAAAATGTGCACAACAAGAGTTACCTGATATGCAGATAATGAGTAAAAACATAAAAATAGAACATAAGGGTGAATTGCATAAATTGCCTTATATCTTGAAACAATTAATAGGTAGAGAAGATCTGACTAGGTAAAATTGATACGAATGTCAAGATCTATCTACTTTCTGTTTACTCCAAAATTATTACAATACCCGTTTTTGGAAAATGACGCTATCAGCGGCATGTTTCCGATACCATTGACAAGAACTTACGGAAGTCGATTATTGCCTGCGCCTACCGCACTCTGTTTCATATTTTCTATTTTACATACTAACTGGAATTTGCTTGTATTACGCTACACTCGAACAAAGTGTTGTAGTCGGACGGGAACCAGTTTACATACTTTATTTTTGAGGTTTTCCTTTGAATGACGATTTGGGGCTAACTATCATCATGTGTTCATGTTTTAATCTCAACAACTTTATTCGAAAGGTAGTAACTGTTCAGGGCAAAACGGAACCGCTATTAAAAACATACGAAAATCTTATAGACAGAAACCATAAATTTACTTCATAATGGATAATTTCCCTAAATGACGATTTGTGACTGATTTCAGTGTTTTTGCGTATTATCTCAAACATATAATACATAGGTTAAAATTCTCAAAATATGAATGAAATAAAAATCAAAATGTGCTTATTACTATTTTGTAATGAAAATTGACCCATTAATTTTCGAAAAACATATTTCTTGTTCAAAAATCACAAATTTTGAGAAGTATCGTTTTGTGTAGGAACGTTTAACAAAACTGCTTCATTGTTATAACATTGAAATGGCTGCAATAATACAAAACAATATCATAGTAAGCTCATATTTTATGAACTTGACATTTACTTTAGGAAATATCCTGAATTTTTTTATTGTGTTTAAAGGAGTTGATTTACTAACTCATGATTTTGGTCCTAATACCTGGAATTTATTTGACTGCGATAACGCTAGGAAAATTTGGTGAAAACAAATATTCATATTTCCAATCTTTTCAGTTTAAAAAAAAAAACATTTTCACCAATTGCGTCATAGGTGATGTAGTATACAGGAAATGTACTCTTGTAGCTAAATACAGTCAATGGTGTTTAAAAGTTAAAGTTTCAAATTTAAGGTTATAATAATGATTTTTGTTCAAATTTTTGTAAACCAATTTCAGAAAATTAACTCGTTCTAAATTTTTTACCATTAAAGTATTGAATGTCTTGATTTGCTTTGGATGATAACAAAGTTTGCAGGCCAAATCGCAAAAATGAGGTTGTTTTATCAATTTCTTTCATCTTATTATGAATCAAATTTTCAAAGTAGTTTTTAAACCTTGTTTTTATATAACCTTAAAATAAATTAACTATTTTAGGTCTGAAAAAAGTATCTTGTTGTATTTGTGTTATATCTCAATAAAATTCATATAAAATATTATTTACCTGTACAGAGGTAAACCAGGAGTTCACGAATCAATAAAACATGATTATCGAATCACTAAAATACTAATTTTAAAGTTTTCGAGTTATGTGACTGTGTGTAACCATATCAACAACATACATTTTGTTTCAATTTATATATTTTCATCTTATAATGTTAAGTCCAACATACATAACAAATATAACTTAGATCTGAAAATATGAGTGCCATCAATATTCCCTATCGTTTGATGCTTACATAAAAAGTCTCTTTAAAAATGATGTTAATTGGCATAGGAATTCTCACATTTTTTGAAAAAAATAACATAATTACTATTTTGTAAAGATTTTAGATTCAGTGGTGAGATTGGGAAACATCTACATAAAACTAGTGACTGATGGCTGTGTTCTATTTAACTTTTGGCATGCGACATTCTTTTGCGACATAGAAAGACCTGTTTGTGCTTTTTTGAACTTTGGATATGGAAAAGATATGCATACCATTAAAGGCAGAACAGATAGCACGAAAGAGGATGTCAGTTTCCTCATTCCAAAAATTGCCAAAGTCTTAGAGAATTGTCATAAAGAATGGCTTCAATATATTAATAACAAACGAGAAGAAAACCCATTGTTAAATTATTTCACTATTGACCAGATTGTAATATTGCAACAACAGTTAGTAAAAGTTGGTACCGACAAAGAACCATCCCCCCTCATTTATCCTTTGCTTTCTGCTGTTAAGAAGAATTGCTCCAGAGAGGAGTTAATCAGTTCAATGGCAACTGCAAAACAGGATGTCACTTCTATGGAATCCAAAAGGGACGTTGAACAAGACATTGATAGTGAACCCGGCCGGAATGAAGAAATAGATGAAAACATTAAAAAAATAATGAAAGATGGTTTTTCACTTTCCCTGGCAAAAGAGGCTTGGAAAGAGTCTGATAACATTGAAGATGGTATGTATATAATATCTTACGTGTGTGGTCATGCAACGCATGTTTTGTTTTATGTTTAAAAAAAACAGATACTTACATCCATAGCATATTGAAACTATATTTAGCAATATAATACGTCGATATGACAAAAAAACAAATTTCGAATAAGAAAACTAACTTGTATGTACAAAAATTTAGCGAAAAATGAATTCGATAGACAGAAAGCAATGAAAACCACTAATTTATAGGCCTTGACACGGGTTTAAAAAAATGAGACAGGACTAAACATGTATGCTGGCAGTCACATATGACAATCGTGTAACAGCACAACATAAGATCAACTATAAAAATCAATTGAAAATGTTTAACTAATCTGATTAACAAAAACCACACAAAAACTTACAAAACGAGTTAGACACAAAGTATCGGCCTAAGTTACTGAAAATAACAGCAAAAACAAACATCTCGTTTCCCAGAGACATTCTCTTATAATACGTACACCTATAATAATCATCTGAATGAAATTTGTTTTCTGAGTTTTATTTATTATGGACTTCCATATTCCAAAAATATATTTATGAATAATATTCAATTATCTACTTTTCACCTTATGAATATGTTATGACAAAAATTAAAGTTAATTTATAAGTTTGATGAGGTGTTTGGTTGTTTATTTCTAATTAAGAAACGCAACAGTATTATTGGTCAATACCAACATCTATTTGATATTTCGACTCTCTAGGAAACCTTTGAATTATAATAACTATCTTTATCATATTTTTGTACTATGAAATTAATACAAAAAGGGGATAACAAAAACCATCATATATTTGGATAATACGTTAACAAGATTAATCTTGTAAAAAGCTAGCAAAAATATCTTTCATTTTATTTTGTTCACCTTTAGGTAGATTGCTGTCAATAAATGCAAGAAAAAAATGAAAACAACACGTTATAAATTTCACGCGTCCGAAGCACTTTTCACCAGGAACGCTCAAAGCCGAATATTACAAAGCGAGGATATAAGTACCGTTACAGTTGAAGAGTATAACAACCAAGTACCTTAAAATATAGCCAAATCCAAATAAGGTCAACTTTGCCTGAGGGAGTTGAAGCCTGAGTTTCTAAGAATTTCAAAATGTCTGAACGGACAAACTTACAGAACATTTTTGAATTACAGAACACTTTATAACATGTAGGTTTAATAATAATATTAATACTTTTTTACATTGATAACAAATTAATAAATACTAATTTTCAGTTGCAAATTTGAAATTGTAGAAAAAAAAAATAAACAATGACAATAAACATTTGATAAATGTAATTTACTTCTAATATAATAATTTTTTAGCAATTGACTGGTGCTATGATCATGACGAAAACTTTGTTGAAGAAGAAGAAAAAGAAGCAGCCTTTTCCGGTTGGACAGATACAGAACAGTCAATGGCATCTTTGACAAGAAACCTTGTTTCTGAACTTGGCCTTGGGGAGTAAGTTTAGATTAGTCTGTCTAATTATGTCATCAATAGTTTATAAAAGCCAACATTCACTTTGTTCAAGTCATGAATCATATACTAAGCGTATTGCTTTTTTATTGAACATATGTAATATTGTAACCTTCCCGCTTTTATGAACAAAAAAGAACATATTACAAATAGTTAATATTATACACCGTACATCTATACTAAAATAAATACATGATGGAAAAAAGTTACTGTGCACTCATACATTTTTGTGGGTACCAATGTTTAGAGTTTAAAGAAAACTTGCATTTTCGTGGATTTTCGGACGTCTGCATGGAAGCCTTAAGGAAAATTTAATTTGTTAAACAGTGAAAATCGTGGTTCACCTGTATCCATGCATACCACTAAAAATTGGTATCCCATGGATAATAATGAATTCAATGTATAAGCAGTTAACCTGCCGACAGTTGGTTATTCTCTCCGGCTTTAGCATGTTTAGCGTCCTCCATCAATTAACACTGACTGCGACGACATATAGCCAATAGTGTTGAAAGTGGCATTAATCAAACAAAAAAAATATAATATCGTAAAAATCAATCCCAATAGTGTTTTTTTTTTATAAACACTTGTTGCGCCTACTAAATCGGCACTGTTTCTTTTTATTTAATGCAATCAGAATTCAATGTTTTGTTTTCAAAATAAAATAATTGTATATGAAAATTCGTTATCAGCATTTTTGTTTCCGTATTTAATCTTCTGGAATAAAATATCCAAAAGGCATATGGATCCATAATCATGTCACTAGATCAGTTCTCATTTCTTGAATTTTTTAAAAATGATAAATAAGAAAACCTGACAATTTATGTCGACCTATATTCGAGGTTTCTATCTGTTCTACGAATAAATCTTATACAGGAGAAAGGAAACAATTTTTTATAGTATAAGTGTAATGAATATATTTGATTTTCATTTGTGGTTCCATGAATTAGTTTCACTGCAAGTTCAACATGTTACAAAGCCTTTAAACAAGAAAACTAATCGATTTTTTACTTTCCAGGTTGTCTATTCATCAGAATTCTTTACATTATAATAATATCTGCAATTCTATTAAACAGTGATTTTGTTTGAAATTAAATAACAATAAATTTGAATGTTGCAGAGAAAATGCCTTTAGAAAACTCAAAAGAGCCCTCAAGAAATTATGGAAGAACTTTCTTAGTTCTATATCGTCAAGCGTTTCTGACTATCTAAGTGTTGAACACCTTGGACTGATTTTAAAGAGACTAGCGGAAAAGGGTAATTTTATATAAGTTTCAAAAAAATATGTAACTTTCTTTATGGCGCTTTTTAATGCAAAATTAAGAATATCAGTCCATGTACCTACAAAATATTTCGTTTCAATTAATTTTTATATCATTTCAATTACAGTCTTTGGCTTTCCAAACTTTTTGAATAATTGTCTGCATACTGCTAACTTTGAAGAGGGGCGAAAGATACCAGAGGGACAGTCAAACTCATAGATCGAAAATAAACTGACTACGCCATGGCTAAAAAATAAAGACAAATAATAGTACACAAGACACAACGTAGAAAACAAAAGACTAAGCAACACGAACCCCACCAAAAACTGCGGGTGATCTCAGGTCCTCCGGAAGGGTAAGCAGATCCTGCCCCACATGTGGCACCCGTCGTGTTACTCATGTTATTACATACCCGGTAAATAGTCTTAATTCGGTAGGTCACATTCGTGGTAAAAAGGGAAGTGGATTGTAGTTACGACACAAGGAACATATTCGATATTATCTGTGAAACGGTTAATTCATAACGGTCAACCAACTGAAAGTATGCAATTTTCTGTACTTTTTTTTATTGTTTTGTATTTTGATCTTCATCTCGATTGTCTGTGCTGATTGATACTATTCTTTTGAATGATAAACGAATTCGTGTATAAAGTGAATCGAAAGGATATCATGATTGTTTAATTTTTCAGGTACTTAATTAATGAATTAATCTTTTTTTTTGAGTATGTGAAATTATGTACAAGGATTTTTGATATTGGGTCAACAACCATAATTTCATTTAAGGATATGTTATAAGTACTAATTTGCTTTATACACTTTTTTATTTGCATTCAGTTATAATTTGATAAACATCACTGACATGGCAATTGACTTGCATTTGTACAATCTATATTTTGACGATGGTAACGCTAAAACAGTTCCACACTTCATCTTTCACCTCGATCTCTTATAAACAAAAACTCTTGAATTGCCTTTTTAGCTCACCTGGCCTAAAAGGCCAAGTGAGCTTTTCTCATCACTTGGCATCCGTCGTCCGTCGTCGTCGTCGTCGTCCGTCGTCGTCGTCATCCGTTAACTTTTACAAAAATCTTCTCCTCTGAAATTCCTGGGACAAATAAAAGCAAACTTGGCCTAAATCATCCATAGGGCATCTAGTTTTAAAAATGTATCCGATGACCCCGCCAATTAACCAAGATGGCCGCCATGGCAAAAAATAGAACATGGGGGAAAATGCAGTTTTTGGCTTATATCTTTGAAACTAAAGCATTTAGAGCAAATCCGACACGGGGTAAGATGTTATTCAGGTCAAGAGCTACCTGCTCTAAAATTTTCAAACGCATCAGACAACCCCTTGTTGGGTTGCTGCCCATGAATTGGTAATTTTAAGGAAATTTTGAAGTTTTTGGTTATTATCTTGAAAATTATAATAGATAGAGATAAACTGTTCATAGTTAAATTGTTCAGCAAAGCATGATCTACAAATAAGTCGACATGATCAAAGTTGTCAATTGACCCCATAAAGAGTTATTGCTCTTTAATTTAAATTTTTAACAATTTTTCTGAAATTTATGTTATCTTTTACAAAATCTTCTCCTCTGAAACAACTATGCCAAACTCAATGAAACATGGCCTTAATCATTCTTAGGGTATCTTGTTTAAAAAATGTATTTGATGATCCTGGTCATTAACCAAGATGGCAGCCATGGGTAAAAATAGAACATGGGGGTAAAATTTAGTTTTTGGCTTATATCTCTGAAACTTAAGCATTTAGAGCAAATCTGACATAGGTAAAAATGTTCATCAGGTCAAGATCTATCAGATGCATCAGACAACCCCTTGTTGGGTTGCTGCCCATGAATTGCTAATTTTAAGGAAATTTTGAAGTAGTTGGTTATTATCTTGAATATTATAATAGGTAGAGATAAACTGTAAACAGCAAAATTGTTCAGCAAAGTAAGATCTATAAATAAGTCAACATGACCAAAATTGTCAATTGACCCCATAAAGAGTAATTGCCATTTAAAGTCAATTTTTCACAATTTTTCATCAATTTTTGTTAATGTTTACAAAAATCTTTTCCTCTGAAACTACTGGGCCAAATTCATTATATATAGGAATGATTGTAAATAGAAAGAATGTTTAGTAAAGTAAGATCTACAAACAAGTCATCATCACCAAACCATAGAATAGTGTCATGAATTCTATTCTTGTCTATAATGTGTGTCCTTTGTTTAATATACACATAGACCAAGGTGAGCGACACAGGCTCTTAAGAGCCTCTAGTTCTAATATGCAACAATTTTCAATCATTTATGTTAAATATAATGATAGCCTTGATTTCATTAGTATTTTTCCTTTTGTATTTCTGTATGGAATGGTTGCAACGACTTCTGCTAGTTAGAATTTAAAAAAATCATTATAAATTTAATAGGAATAAATTTACCTCTGCTTCATTATCCTGATTTGGCTATACGTTTCAATCCTTTTTTGTATTCTAGTTTGACTAGCTTTTCAACGCTTGTACATGTTTTTCTTAGATATTCAGACAGTAAAACCTCGAGCACCACTGAAGAGACATTAAATTTTGAAATACACGTCTTGTGCTGTTAAATTTGAACCGATTTTTTAAATGGTTGTTTTTTTTTTTTTTTTTTTTTTTTTTATATCATACTGTTTGCAGAAGTAATCACCAATATTGGAAATTGTCTTAATGGTAATGCAGCTGTCACTTATACATTTACTTCTCGTATCGGATGATAATTTCGATAATAAAGAAAGACATATATTTGTATCGTTCATATTGCAGGATCACAGACTGTTTTTAATATAATCGGGAAAGACAAACATCGGGGTATTGTCAGATCATACGACATATTTCAATATTCCTTCAAAACTGAAATATTTCATAACGCCATATATATGATTTTTTTTTTTTTTAAATTTGTGGTTTGGTGTTTGTTCGGTTGTTGTCTCATTTGCGTTAACATCACCAAGAATATGTAGCCAACATTATCAAATAACATGTTTATTAATCAATGAATAAATACTCCTCCTATGAAATACAATTAAAGTTTTAAGCAATCAATGTGTGAGCAGTATGATGTAGATATTTATTTACTTGAGTTGTTTTTTAAATTTATTTTGTAGAAACCTTCCACGTTTGCAGAGAATTGCCTTCATATTTCAAAATAGGAGAACCAAACTTGCTGATCTGCGAAGAAAGTAAGTTTTATACTTAGATAAGCTGTCGAATGTAATAAATTTGACAAGGTCTAAAAAAGACTTATCAGTGACGCTCGAATAAAAAAAGTTAAAAAGGCCAAATAAAGTGAGAAGTTGAAAAGCATAGAGCCAAAAACTCTAAATACAGCTGTTCTTATTCTGGTACGTGGAACATTAGTTGACAGTCTTGTTTTGCACGTTTTAACTCAAAATTTCGAATCCAAAAATTCAAGTCATTCTGCCATTGCGTACATCTGAATTCAAGAGTTACCTTTTCTGTAATGCATGAAGAAATTGGTAAGATTTTTTTTCATGTGTACTTCATCTGATGGACCAACCTTTCGGCTTTTTATTTCAAGTTCTTATGAAACCGGGATAGCATATCCTAAAAGACTTTCTTTATATTGCCGACATTTGACACCGGAATTTTAAGTTTTCCGACATGTTACCTGGTCTGTGTCTGTGTCGGACATTCTGGTACTCGGTCAAGAAAGAACAACTTAAAATAGTAAAATCAAGCTTACAATCGGTAAATGTTTTTTGGAAAAATAACTGTTCATAGTTATCGATACATGAGAAAATCATGAGAAAACAGTGAACTTTCCTCCGAAATGCACCGATATAAATAAATGACGGATTTTACTTCTTCTGGTTGCTCGTACCTGACCGAGTACCAGAATGTTTTAGGTAACCTGTCGAACGATTATATAATTTGGCTTCGAAAGTTTATAAAATGAAAATAGTCTATTGTTACGGTGATTTTTTTTACTCATACATTTAGATGCGGTCTAATTCAATTAATATGTTCTTTGAATAGGTTATAAAAAAATAATACACTCCGAGAAAATTTCTAAACGGAAAGTCCCTAAGTCCCTAAGCAAATGGCAAAATCAAAAGCTCAAACTCATAAAATAAACGGATTGCAACTGTCATTTTCCTGACTTGTTTCAAGCATTTTCTGATGTCAATTTCATACAGTAGTAAAATCTTTGAATATTTTTTTTATTGGTAATAGCATTGCTTTTGATTTTGAAAAATTAAAACATAACTAATATAAAAAGAAGATGTGGTATGATTGCCAATGAGACAACTCTCCACAAGAGACCAAATGACACAGAAATTAACAACTATAGGTCACCGTACGGCTTTCAATAATGAGCAAAGCCCATACCGCATATTCAGCTATAAATAGCCCCGAAATGACAACGTAAAACAATTAAAACGAGAAAACTAACGGCCTAATGTATGTACCAAAAATTAAAAAAAAAACAAATATGTAACACATAAACAAACGACAACCACTCAATTACAGGCTACTGACTTGGAATCCCAAACCTCCCCCTAACCTGGGACAGTGGTATAACAGTATATTGCTATGTATTTACTGTTATGACAACTCGTTTTCCTACATCCTGTCAATACTGTTTACTATTATTTTGGCATTGCATAGGGTCTGGCGTTTCTCAGTTTATATATCGTCTTTAAACTAAATCTATTGGATATGTACTTTTTTGCCTTTTATGTGTTAAGTCAATTGCTACTGATGTTTAAAATTTGTTCTTTTGTTGTGCCTTTACACAACTGTCCCAGGGTTATGGAAGGTTGAGCACGTACACATGTTTAACACAGGAGCTGTAGTGTAGTGGTTGTTGTTGGTTCATTCATGTCGTATTTGTTTGTCGTCAATTGTTTTGTTATAAATTAGGCCGTGGATTATTTTGTTTGAATTGTGTCACATTTATTCGTATGGTTCCTTTTATAACCGAGTATACGGTATGGGGTTTTCTCATTGTAAAAGGTCTTCCGGTTGCCTATAAACGCGTACGTCCACTTCGTTTGAACTCTGATGGATAGCCGGCACATTGGTTATTCTTATCGTCTTATATTTATAATGCATGTTGTATTGAAGGTGACATGTATAACACCGTTTTGACTATATACAGTCAACAGGAAAAGACACCACTACCACAGTCTGACGAAGTCTTGTTATGTACACCGTATACCACGCTTGATATGGTAGGTTAAACATCTGTCATTTTTCTTCTTAAATTTTGTTTGTGTTTTTTGGATTGTAGAGGGGAGATTTTTTGGTTTGATTCGTTTATGGTTTGTTTGTGTTTTTTTATGTGACGGGGATGCAAATATGAACTAACAATATATATTTTAAAAACACGGCAAACAAACAGTCTATAGCGTACTGCTAAATCTATATAAAACAATCAACAAATATGAGTATACAAATAATTATAATTCCACTAAAGCGTTATTGAAAAAATAAATTTTAGATATATCAATGTAAATATCAATTACACCCCGAAACAGAAGTGTGGTATCAATTATGTCTTGAGTGACGAAGATGGGCTCATATGTACTATGTTATTTTTTTCTGAACGGGTAAAGTAAATGAACTTATGTTATTCAAGACAACAATAAACGATGGCTCAGACTTCGTAAAAGATATGATGATGACAAAATGTCCATGTTGTTTTCTTATACTCATCATAACGTAAAACTTACGTTATCGAACAATAAAAAACCAAACAATATAAAAATGCAACATCTATGAGGAAAACATTGGACAATATGTGCTTTAATGTTTAGGTTGAAGATCTTTGCTTGCTGCATTTAACCTTGGAGTATGATATAATTTACTTTAATCTTCAACTGCTAACACGGATGAGAGGGAACTTTTTATTCTATTGATTGAAAGTTATAACTTTTTTTTATCTTTTTCCTGATACATTTATATGTTTTGGTACTTAATATTTGGGCAAAGTCTAATTTAAGTAGTGTAAACATGAGCTTGCATTAAAACTGCTTTTTACAAACTGTAAGTGAATTCCAACAACATAAGTTCCAGGCTAGGAAAAACAACATATTATTATTTCGGTTTTATAAAGTCCAAAATAAAGACTTGCTTTTTATACGTATATTATATATCTTATATTGTTTCACTGTTTTTCGGTGGTTTTTAAAGATAAGCCGACAATCTGAGTTGTATATGTAATCAATATAACAATGATGACTAGTAGTTGTTTACATCATCCTAACATACTTCCATGGTTTATGACTCGAAGATACCAAGAATATGTTCACAATGTACCTAAAAACAATACAACTGTAGAAAACTAAATTTCCAAAACTTGTATATTGCACAAGTAGATTTCAAATGAATTGATTACGATTTTGTTAATTTATTGGATTGTCAGGATCTTTTTGTTCGAAAACAACTAGGAGCCTCCAATGTTCAATGTTATGTCTTTTTCTATTTTGTCAAAAAGGGTGTATAAAATTTGGTTTCTTTATAATGGGAATTCAAGGATTGTGTTTTTCATTTTTTTTACATTTGTTTCGTCTGTCAGTTGATTCCTTCCATAATTTTTGTCGACGGTTAAGTTATGATTACATATACATGAATTTGCCAAAAAAAAAGGTTATGACAGTCATAAGTGATTGTGTTTCGAACATTTTTTAACTTCATTCTGTTACATTCGTTAATTAATTTCCATTTACTGGTACATGGTTTGATTTGACGTTTGATATGCTTTTTTTGTCTTCGATTTGTTTGTATACTTTTGTTGGCATAGGTAATAACAAAACATATGGTTTCTTGCATGTAGTAAGCTAACAACGTATTATCAATATGGATTTTAATGACATTGGACATGATAAGTACTTCAAATGTTGCTTCCTCAGGGCTCCCAAAATCATTTTTAACAAAGTGGTGTAAAACGAAAGTCGCAAAACAAAGTTATTTTTTTCAAAACCGTTGAAATGGTGAAAAAATATCTATGCTCAATTAATAAGAGATAACAACGGATATTTATCGAATATTATTGTTTAGCTACACACATTATATATTTATGAAAATAGCAATGTCATATCAAATTATCTTTATACTAGAACAATATTTCTTCTTGATAAGAAAATTGAAATTTTCATAGTCAATTTAGACTTTACTTACAACATTTAAATTTTGAGAACAGTATGCAACTACAAAATTGACGAGATGCAAGCAAATCATGATAATTTTAACTTATGTTAAAAGATTTTTCATGGCTATCAAATTCTAGGTTGAAATATTTTGGAGAAGAACATTAGATCCTTGTAGTAATAAGATATACTGTTTGGTAAACGCGGCCTGTCTGGATTATGATATTAGTGATAAAGCCGAAAAGACTCTGCAGCGATTACTGAAGGATGCGGAATTCAAAGGTACATCATATTCATACAAAACTCAGATATAGGATGTGGTTTATAATACTTTTGTATTTTGTGAAATTATTCTTCTCTTATATTTTTTGAGGCAAATATGGAATTATATTTTTATATAGACCTTTAGGCGATGATACCAATAAATAATTAAAACGATTAAAAAAATTATTAATCATTTTTCCTTTTCTATATTCTGATGTGTTTTACCAAATACATTGATCTGATTGAAGCTTAACAAATTCAACTTCATTAAAATATAAACCTTACAATTCTTATAAATCAATATGCTATTTTCTAGTTCCATATTAGATTAATGCCTAAGGTTTTTGCATACAACAAAAACATACTTTACTTATACATTTTAAATTAATTTAGAGTCAAAGTACAGATTGATTGTTTTATGCAGTACTGAAAACGAGAATCAGTCTGTCATCGTGAGGGCACTGGCTAAGTTTCACAGAAATCAAATGCCACTGAACGTTGATAAGATTAAAAAATATTTGTCATCAAAATTGAAGAGCGATTCACCAACTGATACAACTTTACCAGCATGTAAAGTAGATTTTGACAGGTACGAAAATTGTTTTATTGTACATAGATAAAATTGTTACATAAATGGGAAGACCAAATTATACCACAGGGAACACGTTCATTATGTTATATGGTTTGTTTACCCTTCCGTCCGTCTGTCAGTCTGTCAGTCTGTCCTTTCGTCCGTCCATACGCCAGTTCTGATCTTGTCATCACAACTCATCAGAAACCACACAATAAAATATCATGAAACTGTATGCCGCGTTCAACTTAGAAATTTTGGTCTAAATATACAAGTGCAACAGTTTTTTTTATCGAAAATCCTCTGAAACCACACAACTCAATTTACACATATTATGGACAATTTATGCAGATGTGTATTCTGAAAAGAATTTATAATTCAATTTATTTCATGGAATTATATATCTCCGTTTGAATTTTGACCGTAAAATACTGCTGCAACAGTGAGTCATCACAGCTCCTCTGAAACCACCCAATACATTTTCATTAAACTTTGTTGATAGTTTAGACATACTATTAGTTCGCAAATATAAGGGTATAATATGTAGATGTGAATATCCATAAGATTTTTTTATAAGTTGACTTTTTAAGGCGTTGTGAGTCTTTGAACTTAGAAAACTGTTGAGATTCTTGTTTGCCATTAACAATTTGGGGTCGTGGGATATGTGAGTGTACTACCCTAAATTGTATTTTACCCTTTCAAACATTATGTTTAAATTTTATAGGAATAACCTCGATTGTTCGTGATATCTTCCGTTTGTCTATCTTTTCCTTTGTCCTTTACACAGTTATTGTTTAGTTTGTTTTTTTAAAATGTGTTTTATATACCGTTGATGATCCTTCGGTTTTTTTTCGTTTTTGCCATGCCATTGTCAGTGTACATGACTTATGAGTTTGATAATCCCTTTGGTATTTTTGGCCTCACATTTATATAGAATAATACGTAAAGTTTATATGTTTTTTTACATCACTGCTTTTTTCTACGTGTATTATTACGAATTGATAAAATATTATTTTTCTTTACCTGATGGTGCATCAAGGATAATCAACAATGTAGGTCATGCACGATAAAGGTTAATAGTATATATCATATCAGTTATATTTTTCTTCTGAGTTATCGGAGATTTTTAGTAACAGCTTTATCTTTCTGGTGTTACTACAGTATGTGTTATTTCAACAAGCCTTGTCAGACGCAGCAATTTTAGAAACCATCTGCAACATAAAAGTAAACTTAAAATTGCCAGATGAAGTTAAAAAGGTCAACTCATGGCAAACAACTTCGTTCACAAGAGAATTGACGTCAATGTGAACACTTACTCACATACATCAAAGTTCAAATATAATGGAAACAAAGACAACACATAATTGCATAGATAATGTTATTCCAAAGAGTGTTTGGTATTATGGATTTTATTTTTTTTATTTGACTTCTGTTGAAGCGCAATTGACGAATCTTCTGCAGAAGAATCACTGCTTGCGTCATCACTTTCAAGCAAGGTTTGCAATGAGCAATTAGTTTATATCCTTTAAATTGATGCCGCTTCCTGTTGGTGTTTTTTCCGTCATAATATCTACAGTTTGCTCTCTTGTGCTGCCATTACATTTTGTTGAATCGGTAATTTCCTGTAAAATTACATAAAATGTTAAAACAATTTGAAAAACTCTACTCCAAGACAAATATTGTTTTTGTAAAATATTTTTGTAATATTCAGATCAGCATTGTTTAAATTTTTGTATAGTTGGTTATGATCTTGAAATATGCAGCACATTTCCAAACGTATTACGTTCAAACTTAGTTAAACTTAAACATTTAAATCGATTTATGGATTTTCATTGCTCCCTTTATATCATTTACCTAATATGTATTGCTAAATGCATATATACCAGCTTTGATAAGTGTTTGGAATTACATTAAATTTTCACTTCTTCGTACTATGAACATCAAAATTATTTCGTTTCTCCTTTTATACTGTATATACATCACACTTCTGGCACCTGTACATGAAGAACACGAGGTTTTATCGAGCACCAATTTTATAGTTTTATTCATTTTGTTGATATTCACCCCACATGCATGTACTAAGTTTTAGAATAGTTTTATTGCTATGCAAGAATGTTCTTGTTGTTCCTAAACGAAAGGTTATACAAACAGAGGAAGTATACCTAACAACAAAATTATTTTCATTTACCTGTGTATAAAATTATTGCAAATGGCTGAATTTTTTTTCAAGGTTGATGTTTTGAAATTGTTTAACATTTGACAGCGGTATAATACTTTTGCTTTTGTTATTCATCCCTTATTATTATTGATTTTGTATTTACATTGTATCCTAGATCAAATTTATTCGTTCTGTGTATGTTCATTTGTGTTACAACGTCTTTTGATTGAGTTAAGCCATTTCAATTGATATTTTATAGTGGGTCTTTTTATGTTCTGATGTTACACTATTGTTTCAGATAAGGGTGAATGTTTGGTACCATTAAAACGTTAAAACCCGCTGCAATTGTTTGCACCTGTCCTAAGTCAGGAATCTGATGTTCAGTAGTTGTCGTTTGTTGATGTGGTTCATAAGTGTTTCTCGTTTCTCGTTTTTTATGTACTTAGTAGATTAGACTTTTGGTTTTCCCGTTTGAATGGTTTTACACTAGTAATTTTTTTGGGGCCCTTTATAGCTTGCTGTTCTTTGTGAGCCAAGGCTCCGTGTTGAAGACCATACTTTGACCTATAATGGTTTACTTTTATAAATTGTGACTTAGATTGAGAGTTGTCTCATTGGCACTCATACTTCATCTTCTTATATCTTATATATTTAAAATAATTGGCACAAATGAATTATTTTGTAATTACCATATACTTTGTTGTACCTATCGTTTTTTAGTATTTTAAAGGGGAAATTTGAATTGTTATACCAAATTCTGAAGGTTATGGTATACTGCTTTCATCTGTCTGTCTGTCTGTCCGTCCGAACATTTCCCTTCTACCAACTTGTTAAACAAATTTCGACTGACACGGTAGTTTTTATCTAAAAAGACTGAAAAATAAGTGCCGTGCTGTCTTGTGATACTTTTCAAACTTTTACATTGCGAAAAAGTCCAGTCCTGTTCAGACCATTCGCTTGCCGCGAATTAAAGTAGTCCATGTCCAGACTTTGCTATAGTTTATTTAACCTGTTTCGAACAACAACATACTGACAAGCTACTGAACAGTACCGGATTCAATGCAGGCAAAATGTCTGAACAGAGTAAATAACAATAAAAATATGAAAAATATAACTTAACGCCCAACAAAACATAATGTTTCAAATTTCACACTTTTCATATGATGTAAAGATAAAAATTGCCATTTAAGACTGAAATTCATTTACTAATGATCCCTCGTATAAATATTTAAACTAGCTTCACAAGAGGATGATATACTGTGAAATGCGTGCAAACATCTATCGCTAATCACCTGGATGTTTATCAAATACCGAAATTTACTGACACAAAAGGCCAGAATTGAAATATTTTCTTCACATTCGCTGTATAATAACGCAACAAATGTTTATGCAATTTGAATTATAGCTTCCTGTAGGCAAATAGATAGAATTTTGTAATACTGTTTGACATGTATGCTTATTTGATTTCTGGTTAACAGATACTTATAATACACATTATGGTCATGTATGAAATTGCTGTAGCTTTTTACAAGACAAAAAAGTCAAACCTTCTTGAAATTCTATACCATGGGAACATCTTATACTTGTCTTTTCATTTGTGTTATATTTTATATTACTACACAGTCTCTGTTGCTATTTCTTTAACTATGTCAACTCTAAAATGCTAGAAGTGTACCATTTTCAATCGCAGGTGGCTATTCATTTGGAATGTATAGGTACGCAACCACGTTTATTTTTTTAACCTGTTTCAAAATTATTTTTTTCTTTTTTTTTAATCATTATCATACTGCTGACATTTAAGAAATGTAACTGATCGTATTGCACATTACTATTTGTGTTAGTAGTTTACAATGCAGTCTCTGTCGTTCACACCTACATGTAACCTACGTCAATTTTGAAATTTTAAAATCGTACAAGCGTTGTTATGTTTGGTTTTAATTGTGTAAATTTCAAGATTGTTATAGTAAAATTAGAATAGATTGATATGATTCATTTTACATCATAATCATACTGATGAAGGACATCTGTTATCCGAAATATTTATAGATAATAACATTTAATGTTTCATTTTTTTAACATTGTTGATGTCTGGTACACTTGTAGACGTTTATGTAATTTATTTTTTGTGTACATGTATCGTTACTCGTACGATCCAGCACCCTCTTAAGGAAGATCATTAACCAGTATCTATACGTTTTATATATATCTGTGTATACATAAAATTGTAGCTATAAACATTATAGAGGTTTACGACTTTAATTGCTTGTATGAATATCTGTAATCCCTATGTCATTATATTCTACAATTCATTGACCAATTTTTTTGCACCTCTTTCTGATATTGTTTTGAAATAAGATACATATATGTAGAGAACCAATTGTAATAAATATAATTAAACATTTTAGAAGCACAATCAGAGTAGTGAAATCGTGGAGAGCAGGTGTAGGCAAAACTCTATTTAAAAAAAGAATGACTGAGGATCTTCAAAAGATGATTCTGTCGGAGTCAACAAGTCTTACAATTCCTCTGCACGAAAAGAAACTAAATACTGACGAGGTCATGAATGTTCTTCTGGACGTAACCCTTCCACCGGAAATAATTGTACCAAGAATTTTCCATTTTGACATATCTCACGAGGTTTGTATTCCTTTTTAATTAACTGCTATTTGCAAAAGAAATGCTAATGGTATTTTGGTATCAATCCCGATTAAGGAAATTTCATAATTCACTGTCTGTTGGGCATGAAAAATTGGAAAAGATATCGCATTGCCATTAAATTAGCCTAATAGTTTTTCTTTTTAATGTATACACATTAATTAATAAATATATGACTTGAAGTAATTTGTTAATAGATGGTTTGAAGCAATTTGTAACTATATTGCTTGAAGCAATTTGTAAACATTTGAATTGAAGCAGTTTATAAATATATAACTTGAAGCAATTTTAAAATATATGATTTGAAGCTATTTGTAAATATATGGGTAAAAGTAATTTGTAAATTTATAGTTTTAAGCAAGACTTTTGTTTCTTTTTTTGTTAAGATTAATTTTTGTACCGTTTCTACAGTGCATACGATACTGCCATTGTACATTGTTTATGAAATCGTTAAAGTAATCCTATCGACATAAGATGGGATCAGCAGCGTTAGTTCTGTCAATGGGAGATATATGGATTAATCTGTTTCCGTTAGTACCAATTTTCGTGTAGAAAGGATTTCGTGTTTTTATATCAGTTTGCACAAACATATCGTCAACTAAATTGGCGGTTCAACTTTACCCACGTAGTGCAAGAGTGCCGGTATGCATTGTACCAGGTATCAGGTATAAAATGAGTCCACATTATAATATTAATGAATTTTTATCATTGCTAATTTATTATATCAAATTCATTCCTCTCCTTAAGTTATATGTACGTCTACGTTATTTTTGTTAATGATCCCGATGAAAAGACGGATATCAGAAAATAAATATGACATCGTCAGATATCCATGTGACTGTACCAATTCAGGTACTTCATCAGGGATTGCTTATTTATTTTTATGATTTGGAGAATTATGTGTTAATGAGAGAACTTTGATATTTGTTTTCTGATTTTTTTGTAAGCGCCTGTTAATGTTACTTCAGCTGTCTGTTTGTTATATATGTGTTGTTTAACGTCGTTGACGTCGTTTTAAGCTCATCTGGCCCGAAGGGCCAAGTGAGGTTTTCTCATCACTTGGCGTGCGTCGTCCGTCGTCCGTCGTCGTTAGCTTTTACAAAAATCTTCTCTGAAACTACTGGGCAAAATTTAACCAAACTTTGCCACAACCAGCAATAATGAATCTAGTTTGAAAAATGTGTCCGATGATCCCGCCTGCAAACACAGATAGCCGACATGGCAAAATAGAACATAGGGGGTAAAATGCACTTTTTGGCTTATATCTTTGAAACGAAAGCATTTAGAGCAATATTCTGACAAGAGTAAAAATGCTTATCAGGTTGATATCTAACCGCCATTAAATTTTCAGACGAATCAAACAACCCGTTGTTGGGTTGCTGCCCCTGAATTGGTAATTTCATGGAAAATTTGCTATTTTTGGTAACTATCTCGAATTATTATTATTCAAGATAGAAATAAACTGTAAACAGCAGTAATGTTCTGCAAAGTAAGATCTACAAATAAGTCAACATGACCAAAGCTGTCAATCGACCCCTTAATATTCAATTTTTAACATTTTTTCATAAATTTTTGTAATCGTTTACAAAAGTCTTCTCCTCCTAAACGTCTTAGACAAATTAAATTAAACTTGGCCATAAACATCCTCGGGTTAACAGTTTTAAAAAATGTGCCCGATGCCCCTGCATGCAACCAACATGTCCGACATGGCTAAAAATAGAACATAGGGGTAAAATGCAGATTAGATTTATCTGCCCTGAAATTTTCAGACGAACCAGACAACCTGTAGTTGGGAAGGCCCATGAATTAGTAATTTTAAGGAAATTTTTGCAGATTTTTTGGTTATTATCTTGAATATTATTATAGTATCTAATAATATCTAATATCTAATAATATATAGTATTCATTACTTTTAATTATGACTTTAACCTTATTTTACATGATTTCCAAAAAGAACAGTAAATACAGAAGAGCGACACAGGCTCTTGAGAGCCTCTAGTATTTTTTTTTATTCCATCTCGATTAAATGCACATCACAAAATTTTAAGTGCAAATATTCTATTCAATCAAAACATGATGATATACATTATTTTTTTAGTTAACTGTTATAAGCTAATTGTTCCTGTATTATGTTGTATTGAATGGTAACGGCAAAATAGTCAACATATTATATGATCTTTCATCGAAATCAAGGCTCAAACAGAAATCATAATTTCTCAAAGGAATCTACAAAATTTGTTTATTTCTACAAGTGAACTGAAAAATTTACAGCTTTTTTGGGATATACTCAAATGTAGTTTTAACAACCCACCGAAACATTTGAAAATATTATCTATAGAAAGTCGTTGTGTTGATTACGTTTCTTTGTATTAAATCAGGGTTACTTCCTACATTTAACAATTATATATTTATTTTTGATTTAATAATGTCTCTTCAATGTGAATCTATTTCTGTTATCTCGTTATTTTTTTTTTAATGTTATTGACATTTTCTAAATACTGAATTGGGAGACCTTTTTATGATAAGTTTTCCATACTTGCAAATTTACATGGACTAATATGACTACGTATCCTTAATCATGTTAATTAAGGATTTAGGGCGGAATTACAAGTCGTTGCTTTTCGTTGTTTTTTAAGCAATACATGTACGTATCAGATAACATCCATTTCACATGCCGCAGTTTGTACGATTGTTTATGTATTTAAATGTTGTAATTTTCCACAACTACTTCAATGATAATAATACGATTGTTTTTAGAGATTTAGTTCGATAGGACACTTATTTGGTCCTAAACATAAAGGTTATTATTTCATAAAACTGTTGAAAAGAAAGGAGAAAAAATATAGATAAACGAACAAATCTTTGAGGAAGTAAATAGTTGTTGAAGGAATTGAATTAATAATTAGGAATTGAATAAATATTTAAAAAACGAATTAAAATGTCTGGACATTCGTACCTTTAATATGAAAACACAAGATATTTTAATGAAATTTGACAAATAATTATGAATTTCAATCAAATTGAGGCCTAGAAAATACAGAAGAAGAATTTTACAAACTTACATTGCAATCAGCTGTGTTTTTATTTAACGTACTCGTGGCATCGGATATAAATCGAAAAGTTCACGTTTACAGGTACACGTATAAGACATTGAATGTGTTTGGAACATTCAAAAACATAAATAATAGAAAAATTTTGGTTTGTTTTGTATGGTTCCTATATCACCCAAATTTTCAAAAAGTTACAGACTTTACAAAGAGATTGTTTCAAATGGAAAAAGGTAAAACAAAAAGAGAGGCGAATGAAACCAAAGAGACATTGAAACTCACAAGTCGAAAATAAACTGACAATGCCATTGCTGAAATGCCAAAAAAAACAACAGTCGAACAACAGTACACGAAACACAACATAAAACCATAAAGACTTGGTAAAGCGAATACCACCAACAACACGGGGTGATTTAAGATATTCCTGAAGGGTAAGCAGATCCTTCTTCGCATTGGGCACCCGTCTTGTTGCTCAAGTAAGTTCCAACCCGGTAACAAGTCTAATTCTAAAGCTTACATTACGGGAAAATGGACGAAATTGTAGTTGTACCATATCTGTCGTCACCTATGAAACAGATATTCCATAACAGTCAACCAACTCATCATGACGTCCGTATAATGTCCATAGGGATGATTTCAACTTCATCACTTGGAAGTGTTTGTTTAATAACTAAAGGAAATCATGATAGGAAATACAAACCCAGGAATATCGTATCATCGTGAAGATATATACTCCGCAAGAAGTCGCTGCTGGAATGTTGCTACCTAGAAATGGAAAGTTTGCAATTGGGAAGCTTCAATCAATTGTTTCAATCCAAAAACGGTTAACAGATACATTAATATTCATTTTCATAAGTTTTATTTTCTTCCGACGCAGCTTAAATAGTATCTTACAAAAAGACTCATCATAGATACCAGGATTGTAATTGTGTACGCCAGACGCCCGTTTTGATATTTTTGTCAATGCATGACCTATATATTTTTGGATCACAATCGATTCGTGCTGTATTCTTTGAATTTAGTTGAAAATTAAAATTTGTGCTAATTGTGACGTCATAAAAAACACTATTACAGAAATCTTCATGGACAGACATTTTTCCATCTGGTCATTGAAATACTGTTGATTTCAATTGATAATATAAAAAAATTATATGAAATAATAATTTAAAGTTTTAACGAAGCAAAAAGAGCCATATTTGCTTATTATCAAATCTAACTGTAGATTTCCTTAATTTTCGTAGGATTACGGAATTTAAATCAATAAATTGTTGTCAAGTAAATGAAATGAACAAACCTTTATGTTTTGTAATGAGACAAAAAAACAAACTCATTATTATTGTATTCATTTTACAAAATTAGTGATTTGTCATATATTTGTAGCATTTGAACATTTATAATTCTCCACAACTGATTGTCTCCACATTGATCTTAAACGAAAATGTTACAGATTGATATGTCTTCTGCAAGTTGTGGCTAAACAACATTTACTATTTCAGGTACAAGAAGGTGTGGACGATTTCCTTTTCGATCTGATTATACTAGGATGTTTACATCATAGTTCAGGAAATGTTTGGAGAAAAGATGCAATAGATTACTACATAATAGAATCTATGCCGCCACTATCAAAGGGAACTGGTGCTCAGGTTTAAAGTTTAAAAACAATTATGTAAAACATGCACAGATTATCAATTATATAATCTACTTTTGCACCTCTTATTTCATTTTTTCATCTCATTTATTTTCGGGGTATCTTTAAGGATGACATACATGTATCTCACACTATAGCACACATTTAAAAAATAACTATTTTATATCCGCATATCAGTAAAACTAATTAATTTTTACTATGTACTTTTATGGGCAGTAAGTGCTCAATTTGAAAAATCAGATAAAATCGTACATGTAATATATGTCGATATCCATACGAATTTGAATTGCAATTGGGAGCTATTGTAAAACTGAAGAAAGCTAAACTCATTTGCAGGGGCTTTGGATGGAAGTTTTTTCAATAAGGGAAAAAAGTATGAGAATTCGGAGGCAGAAAATGTTATAACTGGTTGAATGGGCTTCCAGTCGAACATAGGTATAATAGCAGGCTAAGATTCTGTTAATTTCATCTGAAACATTTCATCGTGTATTTTATTCTGCCACCATTTTGTTTGTGTATATGTGCATCAAGTTATATTCAAAAGGATATGTTTTGTAGGAGGATACATTTACATGTATACACCATTGTTTAGAGGTTTTACCAGACATTTTATGCAGAGCTCCTCAGGAATCTTTAAATATTCTTACTAAAACGGCAATACCAAAAGATTATTCCTCACGCGATCGACTGTTTGATCAGATTGAATTCCAAAGTACATTGTTTCAACGACCTTACCAGTACTTGAAAAGACATGACACAAACAGTAGATTAACTGATATAAATCCTAAGGTACCAGAAGGAGATGCAGCTCATTGCCTCACAACATTGCTAAGGTATGCATTATCAAATAGTACACCAGTAAAATCATTGTTCTCCGATTTTTAACGTACACAATGTGTTGTATTGGTAGTTGCAATTCTAAAAACAAAAATCGAACATTGCTATATGAATAACACAAGCGGAAACCTGTTTTTTTTAGATGATATGACTAAATTAATGATTATGACAGGTTGTCAACATGAATTGTAACGAAGCAAATCTGCGTAGCTCAATTCTTTAAACAAATTTTGTTCATAATAGTGAAATAAAAGATATTGCAAGGGCTTTTTTATTGCTAAGAAGAAGAAGAAAATACATATGTAACTTAAAATAGATTAAATAAACTATTAATTACCCTATTTTTCCAGTCATTGTGGAGTAAAAGATCCGTCATGGTCAGAACTGCGACATTTTGTTGGATTCCTTGACAAACAACTGCGAGATTTTGAAGTATCAAACTTCTGTAGTGCTGCTGTATTAGAAGATTTGCCAGGATTTCCCCAGTTTGTACTGAAGTTTCTCATACAGATGTCTAGAGTAAGTAGGCTTTGTTAAATTTTAATTGCAGACAGCCTGTAACTTTATCAATGTCAATATATTATTTTATGCTTTACACTGGCAAAGGTAGAAAAGTAATCAAGAAAAAAATGAAAATTCATTAAAGCTACCTGCTTTCATCTATTGAAAGGTTATCCAATTGTTCTGTTTAAATAACTTTCAGAAACCTTATGAATACAATTTGAATAATTCACTATCAAATTAAGGCCTGCTTTAAGTTCAGTCTAAACAAACATTATGAGTTTATCTTGTTTATCATTCAAGAGTTTTTGATATGTTTTAGAAGGGCAAAATACATCGTTTTTGTTCGGATATATGTGTATCATTTACTAAGCATCATCATGGTTCGGAAATGTTTACTAGTGGAAAAAAGAAGTCATCATTGCGGTAAATATACGAACGCCTTAAATGATGACCGTTTTAATTGGACATGACTTAAAAAAAATCCATCACATAATTTGTAAATACTATTTAGGAACGCAACGATCGCATAATTTGAGAAAGATGTCCTGATCACCCGAGATCAATCCAAATGCTTTGTAAGGGTCAAATTGCTCAGTATTCATTCTATGAAGTTTTTGACTTCTCATGGCTCTTCGATTTTTACCATGATCTTGTTTGTCTGTTTTGTATATTCCAAATGCTTTGTAGGGGTCAAATTGCTCAGTAATCTTTCTATGAGATTTTGACTTCTCATGGCTCTTCGATTTTTACCATGATCTTGTTTGTCTGTTTTGTATATTCTGGATAGTTTTTTTGTTATTTATCATTATAATAACACTAGGACTTTAATTATGTGATCCAAGTTGTTGTTGAAATATAATATTAAAAGTATAGATATTACAAGTATGTAAATACATATGCAAAATCAGATTTTAAACTATTTTTTTTATGTGTTTTATCACCAGCCCAGTAGTCAGCACTTCGGTGTTGACATGAATATTAATTATATGGTCATTTTTATAAATTTCCTGTTTACAAAAGTATGAGTTTTTTCGAAATACTAAGGATTTTCTTATCCCAGGTATAGATTACCTGAGCCGTATTTGGCACAACGTTTTGGAATTTTGGGTCCTCAATGCTCTTCAACTTTGTACTTGTTTGGCATTATAACTATTTTGATCTGATCGTCACTGATGAGTCTTATGTAGACGGAACGCGCGTCTGGCGTATTAAATTATAAGCCTGGTACCTTCGATAACTATTTTATAAAGTAACCGCAGTTAAACCTACTTTAAATGAATTGAATTTTACATATTTTGTATATTCTTTTGTGAATCCCCTACAAACTTTATACATGTGTTTATACATTTTCTATGTTTCTGGTTCAAATCTATTCTATAACGTTAGAACTGTCAGTGTGATATTAAGCTGGGGTCACTCATGCACGATTTTTAGAGCCGTCCTTAACAGGACAATTCCCGATTAAAATTTGTCAAAAGTATGATCAAGATCCTGTGAATAGTAGCTAGAAATTCAAACTTTAATTAAAATTTATAAAAATAATTATTTAATCACGACAACAAACATACATTATTCAGAAAGCTTCCTAATTTAGCCATTTTCAGCCGAATTTGTCTCGATTATCCCGTTCTCAATCGGTTTTAATCCGATTTGTATAAATCGCATGGTTAAAAACGACATAATCTGTCCCGATTCTACCCAATGTGATCCGAAAGAGATCAGACAGTGATGAGAATGTGAACAGACGCTGGTGGAAGAAAAAGGTTGCCATATTCGGGATGATCAGGTACTGTCGGAAGGCAATCCTATCACAGTCTGCTATACCGCATTGCAAATGACTTTATCTGGACTGAGTCATATTGTATTTTGTAGTTGTTAGGACTCTGACGTGGGTTTCATTGCCGAAATTCATATTAATAACGGGATTGTTCCGGAACGGTTTTGGCAAAGACGATTCGCATTCCACAAGATCTGGAGGCAATCTTGACTGAATCCGAAAAAAAACATTCCCAGCATTGACAAATTTCTCCAGATCATGCCCGTTCAACAGGACACCGTCCAGAAAACACGGAACATTATTTCGATTTTGATTCGAAACAGCAAAATTTGTCACAACATAGTCACGGTTGTAATCCGAATTTTCAAAATCGGCTGAGTTTCCCCGAATGTTACGGGACGCACCTAACTGTCGGTCTGCTTGGCCGACCTCTCCGGACATTTCAAGGTCCGTCGGAATCTGGTACGCATGCATATGACTGCGTTATGATAAGGATAGGACATTCAATATTATTCAGGATAGTTATCCGACTTTTTAACTTTTTGTGTCTGATCTCAAACGGGAGCCATAATCGGCACTGTGTAAACGCCGCATTAAGAAGTCCAAAAGAATACTATGTTGGCTGTTTTTTTTTAACTGCTGATGTACAGTTGCGTTTTTTTCCCCAGAGATATGTCATGCTCATGTCGTATCTTATAAAATCCAATCCTTAGATCAACGGTTAGTTAGTTGTCTTATCAACGACGTGGAGATGCTAAGGTTTTCTCTTTGTCTGTGTGTCTGTATATTTATAACTTTTTGATGATAACCTTTTATTTTTCAGTATGCATTGAAAAGGCAATGCATGTTCTAAATTGTTATCCATTACCTAGTTATATGGATTTTTGACGTTTTTTGGTTCAATGTAGTCTGTAAAAACATCTGTTCTAGTGTGTTATCTATAATAAAATTTTAAAAAGCATGATTGATTGCTTTAACAGGATTTTTCTACACGATCATTGAATATTAGTGAAGAAACACCACTTGATTCCTTTAAGAGACAGATGCTGGAAGAAGATGTCACAGCTGAAGATGAAAACTTTGTAGAATTGTATGCAATGAGACGTACATGGGAAACAAGGTAATAAAATTTTAAAAAATGAAAGTATTTGGCATTTAGACGAACATATCTCTTTCGACAAATAAATATGGTTTAAAAAAAGGTATACATGTGCACAATTAGTTGAGTATGACATAAAGCTCAGAATTGTTAAAACAGAAAATGTGTATATCTTCCAAACGGTATTTTGAACAAACGAAGTTTATTATTCCACTATGCTGTCTTTCTGAATTTCATCAAATATCAGGTGAAACTTTCAGAGTCGATGGGTTTTAACTTTAAACCATAATATTAACCATCCGATTTTATTCAAAATTTGATCGCACAATGAATTGACTTTACAACAAAACACTATGTAAATATAAATAAATATGTATGCACATTCACATGTCTACAATTTTTCGATACCCGTATCTTGGCATTGCACGAGGATTTTAGGGACTTTCCGTTTTGAATTTGTCTCGGAGTTCAGTATTTTTATGATTTTACCACTTAGATAACTGTTGATGACGTATTAACACTAAAACCATTGAATGATGGATGTGAACTGATTGATATTTTAGTCTTAGATACATGATTTTTTTAATTAGTTATTATTGGTTTTGAACTAGCTGTCAGTAACGGCGGGCACACACTCATTTTGTACTTCGTGTCTTTTTTGTCGTGTGGAGGTATAAATACTCTGCTATGTCTGGTCCGTGTTTGGTTTGTTGTTTTTTCTGCTTTGTATCGATTTGATGAGTTAAGCTCTTTTCAATTGGTTTTTATAGTTTATTCTTGTGTTGTACTTTTACCCTACTAACCTAGGTTAGGGAGATGTAGTTGTCACATTAGGGGAAATATGAAGGACTGTTTACATTAACTGCTTATAGAAATGGTAGATATTAATACAACTCATTTTTATTGCACAAGATGAGTATTTCGCCAGTCAATGTCTCTTAAGAGATGAATGGGGCATAAGTTCACCAATTTCAACAGATATAAGAAGATGAGGCATGAGTGCCAATGAGACAAACTTCGATCCATGTCACAATTTGTAAAAGTAAATCATTATAGGTCAAAGTACTGTCTTCAACACGGAGCCTTGGCTCACACCGAACAGCAAGCTATAAAGAGCCCCAACAATAACTAGTGTTAAACCATTTAAACAGGGAAACCATCGGTCTAATCTATATAAAAACCAGAAATGAGAAACACTTATGAACCAAACAACAAACGACAACTACCGAAAACGTTTACAATTCAAAACTAGTTCAGGGCATTTTATTAGCCCCAATAAATTTGATAGAGAATATACCTACCGACATCGATGTATGCACAAACATGAAATGCCAACATTTTTGATCATTTAAAGCTTTTGAGATGTTGCTTTTTTTCGTTTTTATTCTTATTACGGTTTCCACTCTGATTTCAAAGTTTAGTGCATGAAAATGTACAATAAACGAGCGCGGCATTATGTGCTTTCAACACATGTCCCTGTTTATTTTCAACTTTTCAGACAGTCACTTAATACATTAAAAAAAGTCAAATGACAAATACTGTATTTACTATATGTCGATTATATATAGATAGTTTGTCAATTGGAAAATTCGAGGTTTGTGAGCATTATTGTGTAACCCATAACAATGCTATGAACAGATTGTGTATGCACTCCATGCTTTATTAAAAGTAGCCTAGACTATTGACATGGACGTCAGTAAAAAGTCATATTGCTTTCTGTTGTGTATCATACTTCATAAGTTGCGTTTTAAAAAGTAACTGGAAGCAATACACAAATAAGGGTATTACAAGGCTCAAAGAGGAAACCCAAAACTCATTTGTCGAAAAGAAACCGACATCGCCATGACAAAAAAAAACCAAATAGACGAACAAATCATTAAAAATGAATAGAAAACCAGAGACTGAGCAACACTGACCCACACAAAAATGGGGCAATATCGGTCAACAAATCCTATTTCCCTGGTGGCACTAGTTATGTTGAGAATTCAGAATGCTTTTCTGAACGTGCAATCGATCATTCAATATTTAGTACGCCTTTTCTTTAAATGCGCATAATACTGATAATAATGAAGCTTTGGTTCCAAATCGTCTGGTTATACACAAATACTAAACAAACAAATTTGTACATTGCGATTGAGAGAATATTTGTTGTTTTCAGTCCTCATCCATACCTGTTCTTCAACCCAGATGGACATAGCATGACATTCCTTGGATTTAACATAGAGGAAAAAACTGGCAATTTGATTGACCATCAAACAAAACAAATTTTGAAAACAAGAATTATGGCACGAAACCTTTTTGGTGCCTTAAAAAGAAATCGTGTGAATCTTGCTGAGAATTTTGACATTCTTCCAAGGTAGGTTTGAGTGATGGAAAACGTGAAATTTTTTGAATTTGAAATTTGGGTTTTGATCGAGCTTTTCAATTCCTTGTTCTGTTGACCTTTTTACATGGATACAGGTTAACCATGAATTTAATGTTCAACTAATTGAAGTTTTCTAATGGCTAGTTTGCAGAATTTGACAAAACCACGAAAGTAAATATCCACGAAAGTGTAAGTTTTCCTGGATCAAGAAATTGGTAACCACGAAAATAATGAATCCACAGTAAACATTGTTGGCATTATGTTGTTCTAGCGGTATTACATTTATTTCTCAGAAAAAAACTGACTAAGTGAAACGTTGGCCTATGAGCAATTTTAGTATTGATTTTTCATATGATAAACCCATTATTAATTTCAGAAAGGTTATCTCAGTTTTGTGAACCGGACTTCTTGGAAGTTAAAGTTAAACATATTTTGTCAAATGTATTAGATTCTACAGAGAGTAGCCATTCAAATTGTCCGTGATTTCTATCATTTATCCTCACCGTCAAATAAAACAGGTGGATGACATTTATTTGCTGTGAAATCTTTGTTCGACTCAATTTTAAAGGATTGAGGAAAAATATTTTAAGGAGCCATTTGATTACGATTATTAGAAAGACAATTGGTAAGTGAGAAGCATTAGCAAAACACAATTAAAACAATGTTTAGAGCTAACAAACGGTCCCAAAACATAGACAAGACAACTGTCTATGCATGGTATCTATGATGATCTTTGATCCGGTTGTTGTCTCTTTGTTCCATTCCCCGTTTCAAATCTCAATTATATCTGCACAATTTATTTATTATAATTCTAAACCCGATTTTTTATAACAATTTTGTTAATTTACTCATGCTTGCTTTAGTTTTTTACTGATTTTGATTTAGATGCGACAAACTTGCAAAGTTATGCGATGTAATGGGAGTTGCAACCCAACGTGACCCTGATGAGTCATATGAACTTACAACTGACAATGTTAAGAAAATTCTGGCTATCTACATGAGATTTAGGTAAGAACTAATGTAAATTGAACAAACTGTGAAACTTAAAAATCATAACCTGCAAACAAATACGCGAATCCTTGTGGTTCGACCAATCAAAATGGTATCTGTACTATTCCTTTTGATAATGAAGCCTGTAGGGTATACACTGGTACACGTTATACTATTCTACATAAGTGTGTCCAATCATATTGTAAAAGCTCTGCTGCTCTATTCTTTTGTGAAATATTTCTTTGTTCGCAGATTCAGGATTTGGATTTTGTGATGTTTGGGAAAGTTCATTTGCTCAATTTTGGTACAACTATAAAGGAATTAGGCGAAACTCAAGTCTACAAACCGTTATCAAAAATGAAATGTAAACTTCAGACGGGACTTACTACTTATCATTGAATTAAATACCATTTACTTGTTAACATAATATGTACAGCTAGGAAAAATATGTTAATGAATTATAATATAAATTGAATTCATGAACCTTTATTGTTCGTGCATATTTTGTATGAACTGTGAAACACATTTACTTAGCATTAGTGCAAAATAATAAGTGTCAGCCGCTACGACTATTCTATATTAATTTTTCTCGCATCAACGAAATAGAGATTCTTAGATTAAGGCGTTCTATATCTGTTTCTGACGGCTGCGTCAATAATGTATTTACTTGCTATAAGGTCAGTTTAATTAAATCACTAGCGCTACGTCGGGGATATATAGTATGCAGTTGTATATACTCAGGTTCATCTCAACTCAATAGAGCTTATTTGACCCTACTTCATAGACATAGACAATTGACTCTAAATAATTGCTTAGATTATATACTCATGCTTGTTATTACATCAATTTAAGATGAACTAATATTGGTAAGGGAATAATATTGGATATGCAGTTACATTTACATTTTCTAGTGGTTTTTACTTGGAGTTTATATGCTTCTGCTCCATCATTATGGTTCATTGACAGGAAACATTTGTAAGGCTACCAAGTCCATGTGTGCCTTTACGGCAGTTTTGAATGATCCAATGATTAAAATACGATTATATACGGTATGCCTTTGTATTATATTTGGTATTTCTCATTTCACATTTTCGGTGGCTATTATTTAATCCTCTTTCTTCAGTCATGGTTCATTGACCTTGAATGTTTCGTTGTTTACACATTAAAGTATTGTCATTTTCATTTCAATATTTGAATTATACTATATAGCTATCAAAGTTACATAAAGGGAGACATATACTTGAAGCAAAAGTTTATAATCTGGTAAATACTGTAAATAACTCGCTACACTGGCCATTAAACGACAAGTTTTGTATTCACCGCAAAGTAATCAAATAGGCATACATACATCTGTATTGCTTCAAACTTAATTTTATGAATTTAGATTTATTTGTTAAACATTTTGATTAAATGTCAGCCCTGTTTAACAAAAATTGTGTTTCAATCACCTAAAACGAGATGAAACAAAACAAATCAACAGAAAAGCACAAAAGACAAGTTAATAGACTTCATTTTTAACTTGTGACATATAAGGAAAATCACATTTCGAAAACAAAAATGTTTCGAGATTGCCATAAGCTTAACATGCATATCTTAGTAGAAATGGTGTTTAATCAAACGTAAAACATATTTCATATATTTTTCACTTTTTCATCTCAATTAAATAGATGTGGAATACCAGTAATTATAATGGGCGAAACCGGATGTGGAAAAACAAGACTAATAAAATTTATGTGCGATCTTCAAAAACCTCCCAAAAAATTATTGGATGATTTAGTAAAATCGAAGGAGACAGATGATATGGAGGAAAAAGAAAAGGCCCAATTACATGAACAATATAAAATCAACAACATGATCTTAATGAAGGTAATCATTTTTTTTAATACTACTCATATTTTTTTTTCATTAGAAACGCATCTTCAATGTAATTTCAATGTAGTAGGTTGGATATCGAATATTCGTGGTACCTCACAAACACCTATGTATATGTTGTGAAAAAGATATCATTTTCTACAAATTATAATTTGCACTAACAATTGTACAAATTATAATTTGTATTTTGACTTCGTACAAATTATAATTTGTACAAAAGATTTGACTAAAATTCACTCATAACTTGTACAATAATTTATAGCATGGATTTTGTTATAAAAAAGCATTGATACACATTATGTTTTTTAGTTCAATGACCAGAGTGAATTGTGGTATCAAGAATTGCACAAAATCTCAAGTTTTGTTTTTTACATTTAGATTAGGAAGTGCTGCTCCCCTTTTACATTTACATAAAATAAACCATGTGACCACCAGTTTTTGAAAGCTTTTTAACTTTTTACATAGCGAAAAAATGACTGCGAATAAATTAAAGATGTGTTTTTAACAGCTTCAACTTAATTTTTCGACAAATATCCTGTTAAAATTCCTACAGCTGTTCCAATATACCGAAGATATTTCAACGATCAGTTAGGGCACGATCATACTGAGGAATTGGTATATTTGCATTATTCTCCACAGCAATTTCTGATGATTTCCGTTTCATTTTCTTGGTAAGTTATTCGGATTGGATCTGTTGGCAAGAAAACTTACGCTTCCTGACCCGTATGATTGGTGTTTCAACGTGAGTGTCATCCTGATTTCACTCGGGCAATTTTCTATTATACTATCAGAAATGTCATTGGGTTAATTTCATTATATTATCAGAATTGTCATTGGACCAATTTCTATTATACTTTCGAAATTGGCAGTGAAACCATTTTTTCAAAATCTATCAGAATTAACTGACATGCATGTACATTTCCTTTCTTCATCTTGGTATTTTTGTATTATGTAAAAAGTTTTATTATGTGGTCATTGAATAAAAATTCTACAGTGTGTATCATTGCTTTTGTAACACAAAAGCCATTCTTAAAATCATTGTACAAGTTATAATTGAATTAAAGTGAAATTTTGTACAAATTGTAATTGTAACACTATAACCTTGGATAAAATAATCTACAAAGGTAAATATAGATAATTTTGTTGTGAGGAGTACATGGAGTACGGAAATATTTTTACATAATAAATAAATTTATTGTTCATAGTTCGAGAACAGAAGTGAATATTTATTGTCTGATAATCTGTCTGATTACGTCTGATGAGAAGCTATCTGTTTTACAACTTCGATTTATATATCACGAATCGCACTCAAAACATATTTTATATCAGTATTTCATTACTAAGGCACATATCGCTTATCTTTAGTACCCAACGTACGTTTCATTGAAATCCTAGGGGGATTGAAATTTATATTTTATATTCTCCCATTTAATTAATGTTGATGTCTTATAGAACAAAATTAAGTAAAAGACAATATGCACATTCCTTAATCACGTATGAGGAAAGTATGATTATTTAATTGTTCCTTGTGATCAGCTATTTCCATCTCACTCCGGACTTGTGAGACTTACCAAGTTGTTGAATATAAATATAGTATACCTTTTATTGCTTTTTTTAAAACCATTTAGGTGCATGGCGGGACGAAAGCATCAGATATAATCAGAAAAGTTAAAAAGGCAGAAGAAATCGCGAAGAAGAATGCAAAACTAATAGAGGAAAACGCGGAACTTGCACCCTATAAACATATGGATACAGTACTGTTCTTTGATGAGGCAAATACGACAGAAGCAATTGGAATAATTAAAGAAATCACATGCGACAAATCCTTACTAGGAAGACCAATAGAATTACATGAGAAATTGAAAATGGTTGCTGCGTGTAATCCTTATCGAAAGTATGTGACAAACTACTTTTGTCCCGCATTGAACTTGGGATTCTATTGTTCATTCATCGTGTTCAAGAACTAACTTGATTACTATAGCTTATAAACTAGTACTTTTGATATATCATTGACATTATTATTTAAGGATTAATCAATCTTAACTGTTCCTTGACTACGAATTTAAAAATATTTGAGGGACTTTAAAATTTAACCTTCTAATTTAGACATGACTATAAAGAGATCACTATAAAGAGCGGTTGATATTTGTTTATGTTGTTGCTTTGACATTTATACGTATCTGTTTCAAAGAAGTGATGACGAATTTCAACTTTGTCCTTAATTTAAGTTTTCTGATAAGAAACAGTTATTAAAAAGTACGAAGACTTGACCATATTGATATTTGGTATGATGCTTGGGTTTATGACGTTTCTTTTGTTTAGACTTGAAATACGTTATGCGATGTCAACCATTAAATAAGCTTTAGTGAATCCATTTATACAAGGATGGTGTTACTAGACAATTGATATTCGGTATGATGTTAGATATTCACGTCTGTATTACGTTTCAAACAGCTAAAGTGGCTCAACTGTTGTGTCCTTATCTGTAATTGTTTACTTTTTGGCTCAAGTTTAGAATGATAAAGTACCAGCATACACCATTTATATTTGTTATGCGTCTGCATAATTATACAGATCGATCAGATATGTAATTTTTTGTATCGATCTGACAAGTTGAGCTGTTTTAGCAGATTTTTATAGTTGTTGTTATGTCGTGCTGTAACACGGCTGTTTCTGGGTAGGGGGATTGTTGGCGTGACCACAAATGATTTTAACCCCATCACATTATGTCTGTGCCTGTCCAAAGTGAGAAGACTGTAATTCATAGATTGTCGTTTGTTTATCATATTTCTTTTTCGTTAGTTGTTTTTCTTACAAATCAAGCCGTTAGTTTTGACGTTGAAATTGTTTTATATTTGTAATTTCTGGGCAATTTATAGTTTGCTATGCGGTATGGGTTTGCTCATTGCCGAGAGATGTACAGTGACCTTTAAATTCTAAACATCTACGTCATTTGACTCATAAATTGTTAATCATTTTCAGCCAATTGAACTGATTAATTGAGGGCGTCTGAAACGCATTTTAGGATTTACTTTCATAAGAAACGCTTCAACCCAAAATGAGAAAGCAAGGGATGAATAAATGATTTTTATGAATCGCTATATGACAAAAAATGAAGGACCGTTTGGAACATCTTTTTTTAACAGGTGCGGTTAATTCTTTTAAGCTTCTGCATGAACCATTTCTCTGGTGAAGACATACTGTTCTCCAGATTTCACAATGGAAATATGTATGTATTTATAGAATGACTAATCGGAGGATTCAAATATAGAAATTATTCAACGTTTGACCGAACAACACATTAATTCACGAATTCTGTTCGGTAACGAGTTGAATATTTTTCGATATTTGAATTCTTTGATAAGTTATACTTTTATTCACTTATACATTGACAATGGGCTTTTAATTGGATTAAATTAGAAAATTGAAGGAACTATATCTTTTAATACCCATTCACAATTTCCGATGATGCGACAACGTCTTGACAACACGTATTGTTATATGAAGTCAGAGTAACCGAGTATATTTCACTGGGAAATCACGGTATATCATTGCAGTCAATGTAATAAGTGAATTTATCGGATTTAAAGAACAATAATAAATTTGATCTCATTTGTTTGATTTTTTTTAGGAAATAACCTTCATCAGGTATGTATATATTTTATTTTTGTATAAAAAAACTTTGAAAAATCAGTCAAAATTTCAAATAACTTTCTCCTTTGCAGACATTCAGAAGAGCTTATAAGAAGATTGGAACAGGCAGGACTGGGTTACCATGTTGAAGCAGACAAAACAAGCGACAAACTAGGTATTCACATATATTTCAAGAAATAAGCTTTGATAACAATATTGAATGAGTTATACGTGTTATTATAACTGAGCTAAGAATAAAACATGAAAAATATATCCAATGCAATGTAAGCCCTCAAGATCTATAAATGTTAGTTGTCTGTTATAAAATTAAATGTATACCTAAGTGTGTTGTTTATCATTATTACATGGCAGTCAATCATTTTGCATTTGTAAAATCGTTCAAAGTGATCTACTTATTGTTCATTTTCATCAAAATTGTCAGACGACTTCTTAAAGGAGTTATTCATGTTATTGCACATAAATGACGATTTTTACTTTTTTATAATTTTTTGCCTATTATCTTGAAAAACAAAATAGATAAGGAGAAACTTTAATGAGAGTAAACGGGAGTAAACGTTCTTTAATGAGGATTTTTACCAATATTTTATGTTTTTGCGTATCATCTTAAAAAAATTAATAATACAGATAAACTTTTTTAATGGCAGAAATGTTCAGTAAGACAAGATCTGAATTTAGTCAATTTATAAAGAAAAAGTTAATAGACTCTGCGTGATTGCTCTTAACTTATATTTTTTTACCCTTTTTTGTGTTTTGGGTAAAAATTTATGAAAAAAGAGAGAAACTGTCAACTGAAAAAATATCATAAACTAGTACAAGAGATGTTTGTCATGAATTCTATCCTAGAACACAATTTTGGAGAGTGTCCATTGTTTATTATGCACACAACTAGATATAGATGGGCGACACAGGCACTTTAATGTCTCTAGTTTCTTTCTTTTCAGTACCATATTAAAAGGGGGTAAGACCACTTAAAACCCTTTTTTATGACGCCAAAATAATACGCATATTCTTGTTAAAAGTCATATTCTACTCTTTAGTTTTTTTTTTAAAGTAATGTCTTGGTTTTTTTTTAACGTATTCATATATCAATGGCAAGTCTTTATGTTATTTCTACATATTAACGCAGGAGTTTTAAAGATCAGTTGAGTTGACAAACTATGTATTTGCAATTTAGGGAATCTGCCAGCATTCATTATTTAGTTATTGCAAGAGTTTAACTCAAGACATAAATTGTCTAAAGTACATTAGGAATAAATTGAGAGCTTATATTGACAAAAAGCCCTTGTTGGAATTGAGGAGAAATTGTGATATCATCCTGTCGCAAGCACATTATGTCCGTTCGACTGCTGTAATTTTTTGGCTGTCCAATATAAGGTAAAAAAACTCTATCGTTTTGGTTTAAATTGTTTTTGGTTCTTAATACTCTTTAGCCTTGTTCTATGTTTGGCCTTTTTTTAACTTTTTTATCAGTGTGTTATTGATGGGCCTTTTTTTTTTTATACTAAACGCTCATCTGGCGTATTAGAATTTAATCCTGGTATCTATGATGAGTTTATTTACTATGACGACTTTTCAAAATATATGCACATACAAGTTTCAAATCAAGAGTTCATATTGCATAAGTAATTAAAATGTTGTAGTGCCACTTGAGCAGAGTATTTTATGCACACACACACGCAAGGTATATCTAGATAGTTAAACTCGTTTTTAATGTATAGACTTTCATGGTCAAAACCAGCACATGAAATACAGATTATGATGTTGTTGCTCTGCTTATATTGATACGACTTTTTGGGCAAGAGTTGCCAGTACAAAAAAAAGTCATACTTAGATGATATTTTTTCGTTAAATAATCCAGAGTTCCCTAAATATACGACCGAAATTTACCCAAAAGAACTTACTTTAACTAAATCTAACATAAACAGCAGTAGTTGTCCTTTTCTAGATTTGGACATTTCAATCTCTAAAGGAAAACTCCATACTAAAATTTACGACAAAAGAGACGACTTTTCATTCCCTATTGTTAATTTTCCTTTTTTAGACGGCGATGTTCCTTTGGTTCCATTATACGGTGTTTATATATCCCAACTCGTTCGTTATGCCCGTGTGTGTAGTGATGTCATAGATTTTAACGAACGTAATCAATGCATTACAAATTAAATTTGTATTCTTTTCAAACGGGATGTATAAAGACACACCCACGTTCATTTCGATCTATAAAGAGGTTAACTCCTAACTATCCTACTGCCTGTCGATACATTTATTTTTGGCATTGCACAAGTCATGTCTTCTTTGACTGTCCATGACGTTAAAATACTAAATCCCTGGGATGTGTTTTAGTTGATTTTAGTCTCTTATGCATGATTTTTTTTTATTATTAATTGTTTTGGCTTTTAACTAGCTGTGAGTAACTGCGAGTACTCTCAAATCGTACTTTCTTGTTTATTTGACCTGTTGATACTAATTGTAATGCTTTTTTGTTGTTAAATGTTATTCAGAGTTATATCTGGTCTATATCCCAGCTTTGATTAGTGTTTGGTATTACTGTAAATTTTCACTTCTTCGTTCTATGAACATCAAAACTATTTATTTTGTATACCTAACAACAAAATTATTTTCATTTACCTGTGTTTAAAGTAATTGCAAATGGCTGATATTTTTGTTCAAGCATATTGTTTTTTCTTAAATTGTTTAACTTTTCACAGAGGTATAACATGTTACTTTTATTATTCTCCCCTTAGTTTATTTATTTTGTATTTACATTGTATCATACATCAAATTAATTTGTTCGGTGTATGTTCACTGGTGTTAATATTTCTTTTGATTGAGTTTAGCCATTTCAATTGATATTTTATAGTGTGTCTTTCTATGTTGTGATGTTACACTATTGTTTCAGATAAGGGTGAAGGTTTGGTGCCATTAAAACGTTTAAACCCGCTGCAATTGTTTGCACCTGTCCTAAGTCAGGAATCTGATGTTCAGTAGTTGTCGTTTGTTGATGTGGTTCAATAGTGTTTCTCGTTTCTCGTTTTTTATATAGATTAGACCGTTGGTTTTCCCGTTTGAATGGTTTTACACTAGCAATTACTGGGGCCCTTTATAGCTTGCTGTTCGGTGTGAGCCAAGGCTCCGTGTTGAAGACCGTTCTTTGACCTATAATGGTTTACTTTTATAAATTTTGACTTGGATGGAGAGTTGTCTCATTGGCACTCATACCACATCTCCTTTTGTCTATAAAAGCCTTCCCATAATAAAAGTTTTAATCGCCATCATTGTCTTAAATCGTAAATCATTAACCACATAAGTCACGATTGCATAAGTTTATTTCCTTGACGGGATTCTTAAAACCGAATACATCGAGGCTGTAAAAAATTAAAATTGATAAATATGATTTGTTCCTACATAACGGTGAATGTCTCAGTAATATCAAGCCATAGATCTCTATATTTGACATAATTTATTTACCCGATCAAATGTTTTGGTTCTCGGATATTAGCTGTACACTAGGGCCAATGCTTCTGTTAACACGTATCTTGACAATCTTTTATTGACATTATTTATGAGCATCATTGTTGAAATGGTCCCTTATTAGAAATTAGGTCCTTAAATGACGACTGTTATTTGCTTTTTTTACCTGCTTATTCACGAATATTTCACAAACGTGTTTAAATGTGTACAAAAACGAAATTTAATTCTGTTAGAGATAAGAAAAAAGTATGCAGATCTTAATCTCTATTTTGTTCATTTCAGGTCGTGTACCAATGAGGCGTCTTGTATATAGAGTTCAACCTCTTCCCCAGAGTATGCTGCCATTGGTATGGGACTTCGGACAGTTGAATATAAATGTAGAAGAAATGTACATTAAGCAAATGGTTCTTAGATATGTAGGTTGATCTTTAATTTGATGCACGTTGTATTGATTTAGATAAATATTGAACTACGAAGCAATTGGTCAATGAGTTTAATTGTGATTTCAGTTTTCTGAATACTTGATGCGTGTATCTTCCAAATCACGCAACAAGGATGAAAATATTTCAACCTTTTCCTTTCATGAATTGGAAGTTTAATTTTTTACCGGTCTTTTATAAGCAAAAAGCAAACCCATTGTATCTGATACTGTAAGGTAAACATGATAATCGTAACATTTATACGTGAAAAACAATGTTTTCAAAATACACTATTGGATCAGATGCTAGATGAAAACTTAACATATAAATACGAAAACCAAATGTAATTTTCAACATCTTCAAACTAAGAAGAAGGTTTAAAATGATGTAATTGTTTATGCATCACACATCATATTTTAAATGATCATTTCTAGGATCGTTCTGTCTATGAAACATGGCAGCATACTTTTTCTTTTTCAGATCAAGAACGATAATATTCCGAATCTACCAAATCTTGACAAAGTGGTCAGCAAAATTTTGACAGTCTCACAAGATTTTATGAGAGGGCAGGAGGTATAACAAGTCAGAATAGTTGTCCAGAAAAGAAGTTTTGGCAATTCTTCACCTTTGTATTTTATCGACTGTTGTTCTCATTTTGCATGTTTTGTTTTTATTAACTTTTTTTAGTTATATATTGAATGAATAGTCGTTAAGCACCTCAGATGAACTCGGATTTAATGCAATATATCCTAATTCATTTTTGATACATCGAATAATTATCCAAGTGGGGGGAAGGCAAATAAATAAGATAAGCAAACTCAGATGTTGTTTTGTAACAAAGAGCAATTTTATCTCTCTGAAAAGTTTTAACTCACAAATATTTGGTAAAATCGAATTACAAAACAAAATTATTTTATTGTGTCAGATAAAAAAACAACGCGTTTTCCTTTGTAAGACATGAGAATGAAGACTTCTTCTATACATACTGTAAATATTAGTATTGTTTTACAGGATGAGTGTAGTTTTGTCAGTTTACGCGACGTTGAAAGAGTCCTGGATGTAATGAGTTGGTTCTATGCAAAGAGTATAGGAAATGATATGCTTTTCGAACAGCTTGCAGATGACAATAATGATGAAATAGATGCAATTGATGAACCAAAGGTATGATCTCAAATAAAATAATGTTTAAAATCCACCCTTTTTAGACATAACATTTCATGCCCGTTATATTTTAGTTAAATAATACAATTGACTCAAACCCAATGACCCCTCAATTTTTTTTATAAAAGTTACGATCAATCCAAAATGAAAAACACTTATAGACCGAAAAATTTGTTTAGTATACACATTTCCTTTGAGTAGATTGCATAAATCATTTGAATGATAAATTAAACTGACTGATTGAATATACAGTCCATCTAATACTTGAGTCTTTCATTGATAGTTATTCATACTTTACACTTAAAGAAACTAATTAAACTAAACTAACTGTGATGAAAATGTTTAACTGTATCAGCAAATCAGATGTCAAATAGAGCTTAAAGTGTGCACTATGCTAATGAATTTATACACATTGTATATTTTCCTTATCTGTAATGATATGATGAAACATGCATATTTAATGGTGAAAATGAATTAAATCAGTTCAGTTCGGGTACACTTATATTAACCATTATGCATTTAAGCTATCTATTATGTATTTGTTATCAAGTTCGAAACGACGCACATAAGAACCAAGAACTGACTTATTATACAGGTTATTGACCATACAACAAGATCACTTGTTCTTGCTTTGGGTGTGTGTTATCATTCATGTCTAAAGAAAAGATTTGAATACAGACACACAATAGCTCCACACTTTCAAGATCCACTGGAGTTAACAGGAGGAGCAAATCAGATTGACGAAGAAATATCTAGGTATGACAATATATACAATTCTAAATCAATAATCCACATTGCTTTAAACATATACACACTAATCATCGAAAATAGATAAAAAAAAAAATGAAAAAAAAAATGTTAACATATGCATGCTTTCGTTAAACATATAGTCACATAAAACAATTTTAGAGATTTAGATAGAAAGACACATTTATTTCCGAAATTAAAATGTACCTGATGGAGGTTATTAAGGGGACATGTTCATAGCTTAGGCGGAATACCAAAATTACGTATTGTATCTCTCCGTCTTGCTTCAACTTGTTCATTATGTACCTTGAAGAATATTATCTGACTTTTGAATTAGCGGCTTTTGTCATAATTGATATACATTGCTCTATTTGGATATTTATAGATGCCAGTCTGTGTTGTTAAACAATATTGAATTAGCCAACAATATAGCAAAAAACCAAGCACTAAAAGAAAATGTGTTCATGATGGTAGTCTGTATGGAGCTGAGAATTCCAATGTTTCTAGTAGGAAAACCAGGAAGCTCTAAGTCTTTGGCAAAAACAATAGTAGCTGATAACTTACAAGGAAATGCAGCTCATCAAGATCTTTTCAGGAATTATAAACAGGTATTTGAGATAAATAAAAGGGTTTCGTTGAAATACATTAACATTTTATTTCAATAATGTTAAGTAATTCTTTAATATCTTAAATGAATAACAATAATAGTAAGCGACATATACTAAGCGACAAAAGAAAGGATACACTTATTAATTATCAAATGTTCAAAAAATAAAATTAACAATAACAAATGTATGAATGACTGACAATGATGTATGCATCCTAAAAAAATAAAGTACAGCTGAGTAACAGTTATGGCACAATGTCAAAAACAATAGATGAGATAAAAAATCTCGAATAACAGTATGTTTCATCAAATGTTTACAGTTTGAAAAGTCAATACCTAGTGTGTCCACCATTGGCATTAATTACTGCTTGAAGCCTACTTTTGGAAATTGTAGCTTGAGGCATGTAACGTTGTTCCATTCCTGTTGTAATGATGGGGACAATTCTTGCAGTGTAACAGGTTGGCGAACTCTACAGTTAAGTTCATCCCATATGTGCTCGATGGGATTCATGTCAGGAAATTTCGATGGTCATGGCAACACATCAATGTTTTGTTGCTGCAAGTAGGCATTTGAAACACGAGCAGTATGGGGACAGGCATTGTCGTGGTGAAATGTTATTCCAGGTTCATATCTGTTAATGAAATTAACCACTTCCGTTGACAGAATTTCATCTCTATAGCGTTGGGCATTAAGTGTTCCATTGAGATTAGTCCGGTTGTGCGTAGATATGCCACCCCAAACCATGACACTACCAGCTCCAAATCTGTCATGCTGTTGGACACAACAATCTGCAAACCGTTCACCGGATCGTCTATAAACTCATTGTGAATTGTTTTCTTGAAACTTTGTGAACTTAAGACTGGATACAGTGACAGGTGTCGAACAACATCAAATTTAGTCAAATTTTACTAACAGAATTTTCTGCACGTGCAAATTTTCCAAAAATTAGAATTTAAATATTGTGAAGTACTCACCTATTGTACAGGTAAAAAATCAATGTGTATGACCGTAGTTTTACCTAATTAACACGTGTATATGTATCAAGTTTCAATGTTATATTTAGTTTTTAAAAATATATTAAGACAAAGTATATCCTTTCTTTTGTCGCTCAGTATATATGGCCTTTAAATTCGCCTAATTGTTTTTTTTTTTGTTCAAATGTTCAAATCTGCATAGGTCTGAATTGAATTGATCTTATTCCACTGATTGATTTAAAAGGTGTTGTTTGTACGAACACTATTACAGCCTCACAACATATATATGTAATACGTTCCATATATGTGTTTTATTGATGACAATGCTTAATAGGTTCAATTGCCGTTACTTCAATGATGTCCTCATAGTTTCAATCGCAAACTACGATTTCTAACGATGTTTTTATTTGCCAGAAATTGGCGATAGTTTTTCGAAACGAAATTAAACTGTCACACAATTTAGTCAATGCATAAATAGGCATTTGAAATTTAATTATGTTAAGTACCATGGACAGAGACATTTGAATTCTTTGCATTTTATTATCATTAATAAAGCAAATAAATGGAAATATGAAACGGTCAGTTTGCTTTCAATTATGCCTGAACAATTTAAGTCATGGTGATTGTTTGGATTATAATCAGAATAACCAAAAGAGTCATACAAAGATAAGCCCAAATGATCTAAACGATCAAGTTTTCCAGAAGTAGTTGAAACTTACCTTTTCTATTATTACTTAATTATATGAAATACATATACCATGAATCATGTCAGTGGCGAAGCAATGCTTGATAGTCTGATTTTACTTTCGGCACATATATGATGTACTTCGGGAGCTTAATAATCAAACGGTCAACATACACCCTGTCAGAATCATTTAAGGTAAACATTGACCAAAATAGTCCGTAATTTGAAATACGACATTTCAGGCTGCTTACAATAAATAGTCCTTTATTTATTAGAATAAATAAACTAATCATAGATACCAGGATGTTTTTAAAAAGATTTAAAACTAGATAAATAGAAAAAAAGCAACAACAATATTCCAAATGTATTTTTCATAGCATTTCATATTACGTATCATTTAGTTCTTATATTGTATAGGTACAAATGGTATCATTTCAATGCAGCCCATTGTCAACTCCAGAAGGCATAGTGGGAACTTTCGCCCAATGTGCTTCATACCAGAAAGAGAAAGATCTCAATAGATTTGTCTCCGTTGTTGTCTTAGATGAAATTGGATTAGCTGAAGACTCCCCTAGAATGCCATTAAAGGTAATTTATCTAAGATCTTGATAAAAATATAAATTTAGATGAAACTTTATATATGTTTTGCATCTAATTATCTTGAATAACCTTCATTTGAAACGGTCAAACTCGAACATTTTAAAGCCAATGATACGTTAGGAGGCATATGATCAAAACGGGCCGAAAAAGATTAGCCAGATTTTAAAAAAATGCTTGTACAAAGTGAGGATTATGACAGTTGTTTTCCATTCGTTTGATGTGTTTGAGCTTTTGATCCTGCCATTTGTTGAGGAACTTTCTGCTTTGCATTTTTCATTCGAATTTGTTGTTTTTGTAATTTTCCTTTTTAGCGTATAAACACTACTTCATTTTAGTAGTAATTCAAATTTTAATTCCAAAAATGACAAAAATTGTAAAACGCCTTTAAAATAACAGGTCAGATCCGAAAGTATATATAAATATTTGGTTTATCAGAGTATTATTTACCTATATAGCTGTACGCTTCGATTAAATTCCTTAACATTATTCAAACCATATATTTTTGTTTTAAGACACTACATCCATTACTAGAAGATGGTTGTCCTGATGACGAAGAACCTGCTCCGTTTAAAAAAGTAAGCTTTTCAGTTCTCTTAATACACAAACAAACTTTTTCACATGGGGGAGGGCAGCAGATGAAATACATATATACATGTTTGAAACGCCTTATTCGGTTAGTCAGATAACACAAATTTTGAATTTTCGTTATAAAATCTAATGAAGGAAATATTTATTGCTTTGAATCACAATGCTAGGCTTTTGGTTACATACGATTTACATGAGATCCACGCCATCCTGAATAAATTGTTTATTAAAAGTTAGTTCTGACTTCTTGTCTGGTGATGTTGCTTACATTATATTTGCTTAGACTTAAAACAAATTGGAAACACATTAAAAAGAAATGAAATAAATATATAATATGGATTGAATTATAATGTGGGTTGTTTATAGTTTTATATTCTTTAATTAGTTTTCTCGTTTGAATTGTTTTCAATTTGTACGTTTGGGTCCTTCCTAAATTCTATTGGTCTCTAAAGTAGTGTTGTGTCATTAGCAATCATACCACATCTTCTTATTATGTATACATTATTGTTTTTTGTTTCAGTGAGAGAAAAAAATGCACTTCAGTTTTGATTTCAGTAAATGCATCTTCTTATGTATAGACAATATTTGCTAACGAGATAGAAGTTAAGGAGGCCCCGAAGTGACAAATTGAAAACAACCCAAATTAAAAAACAAACAGACTAATTAATGTATAAAAATTATTTACTAACGATATATTTATATAATTTTCAGAGGAATTTATTTTTAGCAAATATAAAATTTGTTTATACTAGACGAAGGAACAAACTGTTCTTTGCTTCACATGCAGGATTCCTCCAAGGTCTAACTTTGTGTCATAAAACTAATAATTGTCTAACCGACACGAATAACATAATAATAAAGACAAAACTCATAAAAACTTCTGCAAAAGCTGAAGTAATTTATAATACTGTGTAGCACAACATGCACAATTAGTGCAATTTTTGATTTCAGGGTTCAACTTGTATTCATTGTGTGCATGTTAGCTACTTATAAAGGTCAGTGTATTCACACGTTTCTTTATCACAAATAGGTTGCATTTATCGGAATTTCTAACTGGGCTTTAGACCCTGCAAAAATGAACAGAGGAATTCTAGTACGAAGGGAAGTGCCAAATGAAGAAGAACTTATAAACAGTGCTGAGTGAGTAAATGTATACTTAAACTGGAATATTATAGGTGCAATTACCAAATCAAAAACTCAAATCATAATATCTTATTTGTCAAACACAAAGAATGAAACAGTGATAACTGCCAGATTAATCTCCGTTTTTTATTCTTAATGATCTGCGATGATATTTGATTATAATTCATAACTTTTCATAAGTGTATAAAAAGAGTTAACATAAATTTTTGAACAATCTGTATATATTGTTTCCTTCTATCCCATTTGTGTTCTTTAAAATTATTGAATGATTATATTTAGGGGCATTTGTTCGTCTGACAAGATAGTTCAGTCTCACATAGAACCAATGATACCTGCTATGGCATCTGCTTATCTACGTGTTTTTAAAAAAGCTTCAGAAGAAAAAAGGGAATTTTTTGGATTGCGGGATTTCTACAGGTAAGAGTAAAGTTATTGAAAAAACATTTTCTATTTAATCTTGAAAATTACAAGACATGAGACTTGAATTCACGTCCTTAAGACTACGTAACTATAATATCATTTACTATACTAAACATGTTTTATTGTGAAATGTCTAAATTTCGTGTGTATGTATTGTTAATGAAAAATAAAAAAAAATATCATATACATTAGTGAAATCAATTTTATTTAGTAACACTTTTTATCAATTACTATAAAAAAGAAGATGCTGTATGATTGCCAATGAGACAACTCTATATAGGTCACCGTACGGCATTCAACAATGAGCAAGGCCCATACCGCATAGTCAGCTAAAAAAGGCCCCGAAATGACAATGTAAAACAATTCAAACGAGAAAACTAAAGGCCTAATTTATGGACAAAAAATAAACGAAAAACAAATATGTAACACATAAACAAACGACAATCACTGAATTACAGGCTCCTGACTTGGGACAGGCACATACATACAGAATGTGGCGGGGTTAAACTCTTTAGCGGGATCCCAACCCTCCCCTAACCTGGGACAGTGGTGTAACAGTACAACATAAGAAAGAACTATAAAAATCAGTTGAAAAGCCTATCCAAGATAATCAAAAGCGTATGAAATCGAAATATCCTTAACAGAGCAATCAAACAATCATTTAAGTACAAGTTGTGCGCTTATACATCTTAAATTTTGATTTTATATCATTATCTTGAGTAATGAAAATCTTTTCTGTGTACTTTTAAACGTTAAATGATCTTATATTACACTTTATTCAATGAAATGTGCAAAATACGACCATCCCTTGAAATTGGCGTATTATAATGAACAGTCAAAGACATGTCCTTAATAGATTACATTAAAAGTAATACACTGTCTGCCATGGAATCGTCATATTTTGAATTTTCACTGACTTAAGAAAAAATTAAGATTGAACAATCTTCGGTAAACTGAGAAGAAAGGATTTAAGTGTCTTACGAGAGGACTATCAAAATTGAAGGAAAATCAGATTATTTTAAAAATGTAGCAAACGAAGTTTAGCCATACTATTTGTATATTATGAATTTTAGTGAAAGACAGCTACACGTAAGGACTGTTCTGAGAATTTTAAGTGTTGAATGTTTTGTTAATATAAATAATAGAGTAGTTTTGTGACATTAAGACCTGTGTGAGGTGTAATGATTTCTTTCTACATTTAAGACAGAACATGACTTAATAATTGATTTTCATACCGACCCTAATTGGCATTTTTTTTAAATAAGAACATGCTCTGTACCCAATATATTTTTTTCAATTCTGCGTTGATCAGCTTCCTGTAACCGAATACTTCAATAAATGTCATATAATGGCCAGTTCGGAAAGTTCATTAGTAATGTCTTTCAGAAATACTTTTTCACAGCTTCATTAAATGTAGTATCAATCTTTTTCTTTTTGCATGTTAAGCAGTTTTACAGGTGAGGTTTCTCACATCTATCGCCAATTGAATTCTTTACAAAATTCATACATCATTAGTGATCAATAGCTCCCAGTACATATATTTCAATGTGTTACCTTGTGAACTAGCACGTTGAACATCCGACTTAGCGTGTCGGTACCGGTTTAGTATAAATCAGAACATGATTAATATTAATATTATCTAAACTGCACCTCGTTTTGTTCATATTACAATTGTGAACTTAGCACGCTTAGTAACCATCGTTATTTCGTTACGGTGAACCAGATTATGAAGAACATTCTGACAAAATTGGAAAGGCATTATAAGTATAAACGACTTTAATATGTTATTTATGTTATTTGTAGTTTGATTAAAATGCTATATGGTTTTATCTGGATATCAAAGGAAAAACCAACATGGTTTCAACTGAAGCATTCCATTCTTAGAAATTTTGGAGGTCTAGAAATGATAGATCCGGTTTCTATTTTTCTAGAATTGTTGTCATCACAGGTCGACGAATACGAAGAGGTATGACAAGCCAAAACATTATGAAAAATGTTGAACAATCACGTTGCTTTATAAGTACATGTATCTGTATAATTCCAGACATTGATATAAATGTGGATAAAGCTGCTTATATTTATAGATATATATTTATTACATGTGACTACTTCACGACAGACTTTCTCCTTCGATTAACCACAGGTCAAACAGAACGTATACCACAATTTATATGAAATAGTATAACAGTATTAGATTTCCATCAACCTTTCATCATCAAATTTTTAGTTCTTTTTAAAGCGGGATTCGAACCCAATCTTCTATGAAATAGTAACAGTACCACCTGTACTGTGTTCAGCGCTCTGACCAATTGAGCGAACAATGTTTTATAAACATATATCTTTCTTTGGTCTACTTATAACCTTTTTGTTGACGTTATATAGGGTCATAACACATATGACACTGCGCATGCTGCATTGTGGCAAGTAGATGGTATACCATGCTGATCAGCTGCTTAATTTTTATCCAATATATTCCAATCTTTTTTAAGCATCGTAATGTGTGATATAATAAAAGCAAATATTCCGATATATTGCGTTACCAAAAATCTAAACATATCATAGCTGGAACGATTAATGTCATAAAGTAAACGCAAGAACCTGCAAAATCACAAACCATACTCATTCTAATAAACTAACCAGATTTAACAACAATAAATGTGGTGTTTGCAAATATATCAAAATGAATCACAACTAAGTTTGGACAAATTATGACATTCGATTCAGACTGTTGCTTCGAATATCTCATTCATTCCGTTTTTTGCAACACCTTGAATGAAGCATATATTTTGTGTACCTAAAACTAAAGACTGAGCAACATGAAACCAACCAAAAATAAATTTTTCTGATCTCAAATATTTTGCGGTCTCAGATATTTAGATACACCTAGTGTCCCCCTTTTTGAGTTCACACATATTCCTTTGTTTATTTGTTTATTACCAAGATATATTTTCTTGGTCAATTTATGAGATTTTATCAGTTAACAACTATTGCCATAATTTGACTTTCATGAATTTAATTATTTAGTTTGGGTTATAAATCGTTTAATAAGAGTTCCATTTATTATCAACTATGAAATACTTTGTTTCAGAAAAGACCAACCGATCCAGATTGTTCTGCAGATGGAATGATACAGGCCTGCCTACGAGGAGATGATATTTCTGTTAGGTAATTCGTTGTTTCAACATTTAAAAAATTGACTCATTATTTATTCATATATATTTATAAAGTATTTAGCTGATTTGAAAGGTATCCCATTTAATGGCCACTGTACATCATGTACTATGTTACTGCCCTAGCTAAAGCCTACGAGAAAAGGCAATAATCGATAATCGGAAGCTATATTTTCATACATCCTAGGAGATTGAGTGGTCTAGGGTACTAGACATGGTGCAGGGGTGTTGTCAGGATGTCACAGAAGCAAGGGGAAGACAAATTTGAATACCTATAATTTTTTCACTTGTAAAATATGTTCTAATAAATACGTCTTTTTTTTTAAGCGAAAGCAGATATCTACTTTTACTAACAGAAAATTATGGAGCATTGGCAATTTTGCAACAAAATCTATTCACCATGCAGAATGCGGTTGTTATATTTGGCAGTAGTTTCCCTAGTGATCAAGAATATACACAAGTAAGATTGGATTGAACTTGTTTTTACCTATAGCTGTTTCATGTATAAAATAGATACTTGGATAAAACAAAAGAAGCATAAGATAAACTGCAACTGCGACCAAACTATAAGATAACTGCAGTAGAGGCTTAATGTAAAATGTGATTTAGCAAAAAAAGATTTTTTAGAGGCTGATGGCACTAGATAAACAAAGGGAAATGTAGATAAATGACGATCTGTAACCTTCCACTACACACTTTGTTTGTAAAACGAATTTATCCGTGTAAAAGTTTCTTGTTGACATCGTTATTTTTTTTATACAAGTCGAAGAATTTCTATCATTTTGGACATTTATTGTCAAACATAATGTGTAAAACCATGGTCATGATAAATAAGGATGTAGAAGGATATTAAGTATCGTTATTTGTTTTATATTGTGGCAACTGCATAAATTGTAAGATGATTACATCGACTATCGCCAGACAAGCTGCACTTAACAGTCAGAAACGAACACTCATAATTATTCTTGCAATCAATGAATAACATTAACAGTATGCTGTAGGGCGTTAATGAACTGTTGACACTCATTTACATTCTAAACAAACAAAGTGTAATACTTTAATACTGAAAGCCAAACTTAAAATCGGAAATTTTAGATCAAATATCTTAAATAAAAATTGATGTTTTTTATATATTCGTTTATTTCTGTCGATCACCACACTCTTCATAAATATTTGCAAATCCTAAATACAAACTCGTGTAAGTTTAACCTTAACGATTGCTTATCTGTAGGTTTGCAGAAATATCAATCGAATAAAGGTGTGCATGGAAACAGGCTGTACAGTGATTTTGTTGAATCTCGAAAACCTATATGAAAGTTTATATGATGCTTTAAATCAGGTAAGAATCTACTGCTTTTTTATCAAAAAATATCTTCAGAAAAATTAGTATCAGTGTTTATTACAATTTGTGTTTGGTTATTTTCTAGTTGAGCAAAAATGGTATACATTGTATATAAGGTTAACAGATGTGAATTAAAAGACATATAACACTTTTTGTCAAAAGAATAGGTAGACAGAACCATAAAAAAAATAAAAACATGAAGATATCAAATGTAATATTTTAACTTATTTCAAAGAAATCTGAGAATTGAGAATTGTAAATCAAAATCACAACCGAAATATTATCAAGTTCTATCAAAATGCAAGCAATTCAGTGTTTATTTGTATCCAAAGATAAAAGAAAAGTTACCACAAATAAAGCAATACCTGCTTTACGTTTTAACTTTTGCTTGACTTAAACGGTCAAATGATGATCACGTTATCTGTAACAAAGATAGATTGACCTATTAAATGCTTTGATTCTCGAGTCACACTGATAAATCTTATGTAGAGGGAACGCGCATTTGGCGTATATACACTTTAAAGCCTAATTTTTTTAAGGAGAAGTTTTGACATGTTTGAGAAGACTACTTAAAACATTACTCTTTCACCAGCAACCATGAGATTAACTATCTTCCCGGTAAAGACTAAGGAAAACGTTATTGTTTATATATTGTATCATATGATAAATATAAACTGCATATTCTCATGTCTCTTCAATGTTTCAAAATTGAAATAGAAGACTACAAAGCCAAACATATTGTCTAAAATTATATCTATTTGAAAGCGCAAAAAAAAGTACTATATAGCCTCATATGATTTTTCAAAGCAATGTAAATATATAAAGTATGTCTTGCTTTTCTTGTTGTAACGTTTTAACGCGTATTTGACTAAAGGAAAAAATCATATTTAAATTTCGAAAAATAAGTGGTATTCAGATAGCAAAAGTACGTATTAGAGAAAAGCGAAGAGTACTAAAAAGTTAAATCACAAAAATACTGAAATTCGAGGAAAATTCAAAAAGGAAAGTCCCTAATCAAATGGCAAACTCAAAAGCTCAAACACATCAAACGAATGGATAACAACTGTCATATTCCTGACTTGGTACAGGCATTTTCTTATGTAGAAAATGGTGGATTGAACCTGGTTTTATAGCTAGCTAAACCTCTCACTTGTATGACAGTCGCATCAAATTCCATTATATTGACAAGGATGCGTGAACAAAACAAACAGACACAATAGGTAAAAATGTCAAAAATAGGGGTACAGCAGTCAACATTGTGTTATCATCTTAATCACTATTAAAAACAAACAAATGTAACGAAGAAGCACAAACAGGCATACATCAAATTTAACATCCTCATTTTGCTTTTTTATTATACGATTTTATTTATCTATGTAAAATCCACCCATAAAGGATGGAAGGTTTTAAGTACAGGCGTAAAACCGCGCGTTTGAAATTCGCACAGGTAGACATAAAATAATTTTGTCGTTCAAAGTATGACGGGATTCATAAGTACAAAGTCACGTAAAATGGATATCACAAAAAACAGACTTAACAGTAAAAGTAATATTAATAAATAAAATATTTTGTGGTTCAAAATATGACGGGATACATAAGTACAGAGTCACATGTATATAAAAAAAAACAGACTTAACAGTAAAAGTAATATCAATAAATAAAATAATATTGTCGTTCAAAGTATGACGGGATACATAAGTACAGAGTCACGTCAAATGGATATCTCCAAAAAACAGACTTAACAGTAAAAGTAATATTAATAAAGACAAAATCTATACTTCAAGAACATCGTGTATTATGTGTGAAGTTGATACGGAATATTTATCAACAAGGTCTTGGTACCTTCCGATGAACTTTTTTAGAAAAAGGACGAGACGTTCTTTGACATACCCCTGGCTCATCAACTTTCTGCTCAGACACTGGTTCCTAAAGCTAGCTTTTTTGCTAAATGTTATTTATTAAATCTGTAAGTTTTTAGCCGGCAAATGTTATTGTCAATCATCGACACTAATAAAACTAAGACTAAGGTTTTGTGTGAAAGGAAATTATATTTCTTCAAAAAGTGTTTCTTACAAACGAAATTAGAGAAAACATCACCTGGATACAAAAGACGCCTAAATTATATCAATTTTATTGACAAAAATGTTTTAAAATCATTATCAAATTGAGATTGGACTATTTATCAAATAAACATACATTTTACAAAAACTCTCCTTGAATTTACCGATAAGACCCTTTTGTAAATATTCCTTCTTTTTCAGTATTATGTTGAATTCGGAGGAGAACGATATGTAGATCTTGGTCTTGGGTCGCACAGAGTAAAATGTCGGGTACATCGAAAGTTCAGGTATAATTTGTATTTTAACCATACTATAAACGAACTTCTGTTCGTGACCGATTTATTTGTTGTGACTTGAATAAAAATAAATCCCAAACCGGCTCTGATCTTTGAAACATTCCTGGTGAAATGATTTTTTTACTTTGGGTGATCTTGCAATTTTTAAACATAAGACTTATAGACAATGACCACAACAAAGATAAATCGTATTTATAAAGGATAGTTGACTACTGGTATAGTGATGCATCAAGGAACTGCACATAATACCAGTTGTGGTATCGAACCAGTAGCTGTAAATTTCATGTCTGATACCGGAATGATGATTTATACCGCAGACAATTATTTTGTAGGCAAAAACCTGGAAAAGAAAACCGAATAGCGTCGAATAATTTTAACATAAAAAGTGAGTTTATTGAGAAAGGCAGATTATGATCAATTCACATACTTTGATTGGTCATAATCTGAATTATTTATTCGTTTTAATTTGGTTATTTTAATGAATAAGAATACGCTGTCTTCCAAACATTAAACCCTAACAGCTGAAACTCATTATCATATTACTTTATGACAACATAACGTTAAGAAAGTTACTACAGATTGTTCGCTTCTAAAGCTACGTTAAGGAATTTACTTAAATATATATGGAATATACTCATAAGACTTTTTTTAAAATAGGTTGATTGTTGTAGCGGAGAAACAAGTAGTGTATAAAAAGTTTCCTATACCACTGATAAATCGCTTGGAGAAACATTTTCTGTCTATGAAGACACTTTTGTCTTCCAGTCAGCTGAGAATGAGTAAAGAGCTACAGGAATGGGCATTGAAATTTTGCGAAAACAAAACAAGTTTCCATGGGTTGGTATTATTTTAAATTTTTAAGTTACATTATTTTGCATCATTGATCATTTGTGCACGACTTTTATTACATTTTAAAGGATATATAGGTAAATGCAAAAAGAGTGGAAAGGACCATACATAATAAGGATGCCAATATTTTGCATATAACATTTTCAACATTATCATAATTATAATAACCCTTTTGTCCGTATGTTGTGTTGTTACATGTTCTATCTTTTCTCTTTTGCAATAATAATGAACAGTAAGAAAAAGGTGAGAGAGATTGGAGAAGCATTTTTAGGATACCATGAGGACACATGTCCAGCAGTTATACAACATGTTTGCCAAGAGAAATCTACAAAAGAAGGTGAAAGTGATTACGATGAAAATAAGGTAGGTATTTTCATGTATTTGTAGTTATTTCAAATAATTGTCAACATAGTATATGAATGAGTAAAGAATATCATTTGAAACTATCCAATTTAACATTTAAAAGATTTAACCCACGGCTGCTGCTAACAACGATTTTTTTAAATTAATTCTGCAAACTGACAACTTTTTTTATGCACGAAACAGCCTAACTACATTGTAGGACAAATATGAAATTTATTTGATATTGTAATCCAGTAACGTCATTAAGAGCTTTTCTTAGTTAATCTTATAGTTTGAGTTTCCAATGGAATTTTATATGGACGTTTCGTCCCCGAGGGTATCACCAGCCCAGTAGTCAGCACTTCGGTGTTGACATGAATATCAATTATATGGTCATTTTTATAAATTGACTGTTTGCAAAAGTATAAATTATTCGAAATACTAAAGATTTTCTTATCTCAGGCAAAGATTACCTTAGCCGTATTTGGCACAACTTTTTGGAATTTTTTGGAACTTTATACTTGTTTGGCTTTCTAACTATTTTGATCTGAGCGTCACTGATGAGTCTTATGAAGACAAAACGCGCAACTGGCGTATCAAAAAGTAAAATCACAAAAATACTGAACTCCGAGGAAAATTCAAAAAGGAAAGTCCCAAATCAAATGGCAAAATCTAAAGTTCAACCACATCAAACGAATGGATAACAACTGTCATATTCCTGACTTGGTACAGGCATTTTCTTAAGTAGAAAATGGTGGATTAAACCTGGTTTTAAAGCTAGCTAAACCTCTCACTTGTATGACAGTCGCATCAAATTCTATTATATTGACAACGATGTGTGAACAAAACAAACAGACACAATAGGTAACAATGTCACAAATAGGGGTACAACAGCAACACGAACCCTACCAAAAACTGGGGGTGATCTCAGGTGCTCCGAAAGGGTAAGCAGATCCTGCTCCACATGTGGCACCCGTCGTGTTGCTCAGGTTATTACAAAGCCGGTAAATTATTAGCCTGGTACCTTTGATAACTAATTATAGTAATCAGACTATTACTGGCAGTCTCAATTAAGTCTAATCACTGTTTTCTTGATTCAAAGCCTATTGAACTTGACATTTGTTTAGAAACGGGTCTACTTGATATGACAGTACAGTAAATACTTTAAGTTTTTTTTTTTTTGGTTGTTCGAGCTGTTAAGTCTACGACGCGTATCCAAAATATCGTTTGGTTTATCAATAAAATATATACATATCATTGCAAATCATTCTTTTTATCTGTAAATTCTGGTGTTCCAGATGTCGCCCTCTGTGTATTCCCAAATGTTTTAAATTGAATAGTCTCTAATGCAAGTTTTTTTATTATTTTTTTTTTGGCTTTTAACTAGCTTTCAGTAACTGCGAGGACTCTCAAATCGTATTTTCGTGTTAATTTTGCATGTTGATACAATTTGTAATGTTTTTTTTGTCATTTAATGTTTACTTATTTATAGTTAAATTCATCTCTCTATTTTCAATATATACCAGCTTTGATAATTGTTTGGTATGACTATAAATTTTCACTCCTGTTCTCGTACTTTGAACAACCAAATTATTTATTTTGTAAAAAATATTTCCGTTCTCCATTACTGTACAAAACTATTTTCATTTACCTGTGTACATTATTCTATTTGGCGGCATTTTGTTCAAGGTTTACATCGTTATATGGCGTCATTATGTTCAAGGTTATGGTTGACTTTCTGAAATTGTTTATTATCTTACCCCTTATTTTATTAATTTTGTATTTTGATTGAGTTAATATAAGCCATTTCAATTGATATTTTATATTGTGTCTTTCTATGTTGTGATGTTACACTATTGTTGCAGGTAAGGGTGAAGATTGTTACCTATTAAAACGTTTAAATCCGCTGCATTTGTTTGCACCTGTACTAAGTCAGGAACCTGATGTTCAGTGGTTGTCGTTTGTTTATGTGGTTCATAAATGTTTCTCGTTTCTCGGGTTTTTTTTATAGATTAGACCAATGGTTTTCCCGTTTAAATGGTTTTACACTGTCTAGTCAATTTTGGGGCCATTTATAGCTTGCTGTTCGATGTGAGCCAAGGCTCCGTGTTAAAACCGTAATTTGACCTATAATGGTTTACTTTTACAAATTGTGACTTGGATGGAGAGTTGTATCATTGGCACTCATACCACATCTTCTTATATCTAAGTACGTGTTTTTTTAATTCTTGCAACTATCTGCAGACTCATTCCATATTGCGCTGATTTAATGTATAAACTGAAAAAATAAGGAAGATAACAAGGGGTAATATAGTACACATAATATATCAAAATTTGATTTAAGATACTTCAAGATGCAAAAGGATTATTACTATGGTGTGCAACTCCAGCTGCTGTTCTTCAAGGAGGAGACGATATAGACATTGACACATATTTTCATCAGCAGGAGCATGAAAGTTTGGCCGATTACATATCTTTCAAAATGAGATCTGATCAACATCCAACTGTATTTGCTCAGGTATACTATAGACACCAAATAAATTGACAACTGAAACATGTCTAAGGCTCCGTGTTGAAGACCGTACTTTGACCTATTATGGTTTACTTTTATAAATTGTGACTTGGATGGAGAGTTGTCTCATTGGCACTCATACCACATCTTCTTATATCTACTTATAATAATGACTGACAAAATGTCAAAATGTGTTGTGAAATGTTTATTAAGACGAGCAAGACATTGATGTTCCAAAGGGATTAGAAAAACGCATTCAAACCAAAATTTTAATTAAATTGCATTGTTTGTGTTTAACGAAAGCATGATCTATTTACTAAAAAAGAGATATCATTAAACTTGATCTTATTTTGTTCAAATCCCAATTCAGACTGACCAAACAATGCTAAAATTAGTTTACAAAAAAACAAGACGATTAATAAGTCCCTACTGTTGATTTCTTTTTTGTTACGGTAAAGTTATTAAATCCCCTGCAAATTTTAAAGTTTGGCTGTACCTGATTTAGAGTTTGTTTGGGTTCGTTTATTTGAAAAAAATTGAATAACTCATTTCGTGCTTGAAATAACTTGCAATAAAAAAATGTGTATCAAATTTCATATGTTTTTTTGATGATATAATTGCGGTCCATTTCGATATTGAAGTTCATTTTTCGTTATTTTGTTTGTTGGCCTTGATTTACAGGAAAATGGTTCTTTATATCACAACACTTTAATAAAACATTGATGAATTGTAATTTTTTTTTTCATTTTTCAGGTTGTCCGTTTATAATTTATGACCATTTTTTCCTGAAACGATTACAAAAACACAAGTTTAATAAACGTACAAAAAAATTATTTGGATAGCTTCTTATTTGAATAGTTATATGAGTATTGTCATCTAAGTATTTACTAATACGCGCCTCGAATTAGTTTTCATTGACCTTAGTCGTATTTTGCAATATAATTTTTGATTTTTAATACTCTTCAACTTCGTGCTTGACTTGATTTTTACTGATTTGATTATAGCGCCACTGAATCGTCTTATGACGTTTTGTAGAAAAACACGTGTGCTGTAAATAATTATAAGCTAGGTATCTTTGATGATTTTCTTTTCAGAAACAGCAAATACTCATAGATTGGGACTTTGTGACTTTGTCCGTTTGTTACATTTTTTGTAATTAACAAATTAAACAGAAACAAAAACAAAGAAAAAATATTTGTATGAACATTTCCGTTTCAAAGAAAATTTTCAATTACTGAAAACAAAATCATCGAAGATACAAGGCTGAAACAATCCCTCCGTCTTTATCTAACTCGAAGGAATAATGATATCTCACACATTATATTTGTTGCTTTAACCTCGAGTAGATTTTTTACTGCAAATGTCTCACCAGTAAGTGACCAAAAGTAAGACTTACATGTATTTTTTAAAAATATTTATTGATCTTTCGTCTCTAAATGCAACTTACACATTTGTTTATAGATTACAACTAATTCAAGGATCCTTTCGACTCTTGAATTGGACGATCTGGCTAAAGAAGTACCAGTTGCGAGAAAAAATATTCACTTGCTTACATTACAATCGTTCCACACAGAGCAGCAATTTAGCAGGCAAATCAAGTAAGTTTCAATGAACTAAGATATTAATTTGTTGTGCCTGTTTTGATTTTCTGCTTGAGTCCCCAAGCTACAATAAAGTAAATTTTACGCCAATGATATATATAAAAATACAGTATTTTTAAAATTATTTACACTGACGAAGGCTATGTGTTAAGTCGAAATATTTGTCAACACGATTATATAACATCATCATCGTATACAGTCATCTTGTATTAGTACCGTTGTGCAAATGTTTAGACATATATAATGTTTTCCTTATCTGCGCAGTATCGTCTTTCCTAGACGATCCGGTACATATCAATTTTGCTTGTTGTTCCTTTTTATAGACTTTATATATATATATAAATGCCTATAATAACAACATATACCATACAAATCTATTATAGTGTGGATTATTCAGTACAAAGATTAATTCAATTACACAAATTAAATTATAAAATGCAAATAATGTAACTTTAACACTCTATTTAGATATTTACAATGAGATCAAGAATAAAGAGAAAAATATGTATTAAAAATTAGAATAACAAAAATGCCGCACTTCAATGAAATTTCAAAACGGAAAGTCCCTTATTAAATGGCAAAATGAAGAGCTCAACAATCAAACAAATTCAAAACAAATGTTTTATTTCTTACTGTGTAAACATGTTTATCCCCGCCACATTATGTGTTTGTCGGTCCGAAGTCAGGGACCCTGTAGTTCAGGGGCTGTCAAGTTTATTTTTTGCAAGTTGCTTTGTTTTTAATTATTTTTATTTGTTTCATATTTTTATGTCAGGGCCTATTATGCCGACCATACGGTATTGTTTTTTCTCCTTGTTGAATGCCAAATGGTTACCGATAATTGTTTTCATCCACTCTTTTGAAATTTAATTGATGATCGTCTCATTGGCAATAGAACTATATCTCCTTATTTCTATTTATTAAACAAAAATAACAACAAATATTATATTTGTAATAATTTAATAGGAAAAAAACACAACCTTTGAGATTTGGGTTTATAGCTTCCTTATAAGCCACAACTCTATCTAGAAAATCCAATAGAAGTATAATGATATAAAAAAATTAAGAGTCATTAAAAAATGTCAATTGGATCAACAGATCTAGAAATGAAACACATAGGCGTGATCGTGATCGTAATGTGATTCCAGTGATAAATTGCACTTGTACAAACATTTTAAAAGATCAAAGGTTTTGCAGTTCTTTCAAGGTTTTCTTGTAGATATTTTGTTTTATATCTTACGCATATATCTATTATGGTGTATGTATCAATTAACTGATTAAAGATCAATATGTATCATTCTGATTTAGTTATTTTAAACTACATTGTGATAAAAAGAACTTATACATACATAATTGTTTACAATGACAGTTATACCTGCCTTTTGCTTAACCAGTTTTGCCAAACGTAACAATCCACCTATCTAATGTTGTACACGTTTAATACATTTATGTTTCACTCTACGTTTCTTTATAAATTTTGTGGAACCTTAAAAAATTAAAATTCCAGTTACTTTTTTTGTTAAAGCAAATTTGTCGGGCAAAATTATTACATTAAAACTGGACATTGTATCGTGCATCGTTAGGTAATTGAAAGTGGGCTACATCATTTTATGTCTTTTATAGACTATAAATTATACTGAGATATCTATTTGTTTCTAAAGATTATTGTCGGGTAAGCCTCACAGTATAGAGAATTTTCTAAAGCAATATCTTTCTTTTAAACTATATATTCATTTATATAACTGTACATCGAGGATGATTAAAAAGTAAGTAATGGTCAATAAAGAATTGATAGAGAGTACGGGGAACATATCAGTCTATTTTATAACACTTGCATTAGACATACCTCTGCTGGTGGACTGATAGTCCCTGAGGGTATCACTAGCCCAGTAGTCAGTACTTCGTTACTGGCATGAAAATACGGATTTTATGTTTGCTGTTAGAAAATTTAGGAAATTATTCTAAATTAAGGAATGTATCTCCCTCATGCAAAACTCTGATTCCTTGCCCGGCTTTGGCTCTACTTTTTTGTCTTTTTTGGTTTATAGCTCTTCATCTTTTCAATAAGCTTTGGATTCTCAAATATTTTGGCCTCGAGCATCATTTAATTGTCGAAATGCGCATCTGGTGCAGAAAAATTTATACCGTTAATGTGACATATCTTTTGGACGTTTACAATGCATATTCTCTTTATCTTCAAAATTTTTTTTTTATACAGATCATGTTTTGGTAAAAAGATTCCAGATTCTATACTGATAGTACAAAGCGAAAGTGGGGATCAGAATGAGGAGTTAATTGCTTGTGCGCGCTATTCAGCACAGCGAGAACTACAGGAAATACTTCAGAAAGGAGTGAAATCCAAAATATATGTTATTTTTCTGGTGCAACTCACTGGTCTGGCAGGAAATTATTTTTCAGGATACCAGGTATTGTTTGATAGATACATAGTTTATTCTCATAAAACCATGCACGTACAAAGGTTACAGAGAAGTAAAAAACATGCATACAAAATATTAGATGTGATAACATAAAATAAACATATATATATCTAGAAAAAAAATAATAAATAAAAATAGTTTAATAAATAAAAAATATGAGAATACGAAAAAGTAAATAAACATTTTACTGATACATCTTATGAAATTGCAAGGGATATTTTCTTGTTCATATTTGTTTTAGATAATTTTTTCTTCGTTTAGCGCTATTTCAAAACTAAATATACAGTCCTCCTAGGTTTGGTATTATACAATGCCGCTTTCATATTAATTGCGCACTAGTTTCGCACTATTTCATTTCAAAATACAGCTATTGGTTGCAAACTATTTTCTTAACTGTGAAACGGGTTATGGACATGATTAATACAATGACTTGTTTAAGTATATGAAAAATGTCTTTCTCTCTATTCTAACTGAAAAGTTCTCAGTATAGTTTTTCTTTGGAAAATGATTTAAACTACTTAGTTCTATGTTCATTAAATATAGGTAATTTAAGGGACGTTTTCCGATTAAATGAGCTGTACAGAACAATTTAATTTTCATTGGAAAAGGAGGAGATATAATAAGAACCAATATTGGTCTCCTAAAATTGCATAAATAGTAATGTTTCGTAGACTGGTGTTTTAGTTTGCAATATATACTTTTTTTTTTATGGTATTGTCTGTTGGTTTATTTTTCGAGTTCTTTTTATGTTTCGCAGTACACGTGTTTTAGAGGTAGGTGTTAGGCAAAAGTAAATATTTCTTTAAGATTATAATTTTTATTAGGCTGGAAGGTTGTTCAACTTGTAAAAAATGTTTCTTTTATCTTATTCCTTGGCTTTTTCTTAAATGTTATGCATTACTTATTTAAACATTGTTAAAGAGTATACGATACAGTAGAGATCACTTTTTGATTTTTTCTTGACATTTTGACGGAATTTCAATTTCAATGTGTACTTTTGAAATACTAGTATGCACAGAAAAAAACACCTTTATAACTTACTTTTTGAAATATTTTGGTTCGAAATTTGCATGTTTGAAGGAAATACCCTGAAATTTCATAAATAAGGACATTTAAGGATAGTTACAATACTTTTGAACGGACAGTCATAATTTAACTTTTTTTTATATAAATGTTGCCCTGATCCATGGTATAAACATGCTGTAACACCTTTACAGTTAAACTTTATAATTATATCCTGAACTTATTAGTAACATAAAGAATTTGACAATATTTTTGCGTCAACTCAGAAGTGCAGAAAAAAATTCGATCGTTGAATTTTTCTTAAAATTCTGCCGGAGAGTTCATGAAACATAACTTGATTGATTGCAAATGCTGGGGTCTTTGTGCTTTGTGCCAAGGCTTTTTTTTTCGAAAGAAATTATATTAATCATCAAAATTTATAAAGCAGGTATCTCCTAAAATAACATTTAAATATTTTTTATACCTTTATAAATTGTTTCGAAACTTCAACTGAAAAAGAATTCTAGTGAATTACTTTTTGATAAGAAATGTTCGGGAAAAAAATATCAATCTGATAAAAAAAGATTTGCATTTCTGTCCGACATTAGTCCTACAATTGATGTAGACAAGACAGCTTGAACATAGTTTTATTTATCCAAAAGGCCAAGACATGACAAAATGTGAAACTATTATAAAGTAAGTGGGATGATATAAAATTAAGGACAATTGGTATGATTGTCACTGAGACAACTATCCACCATAGTTCAAATGACAAAGATTAGGCAATTACATGTCATTTTACGATCTTCAACAATTAAAAAAAAACACCCCGTATAGTAAGCTTTAAAAGTCACCAACATGTAAATGTGCAACAAATTAAACAAGTACAATAAGGGCCTACTCTACAGGAATTTAATGAACGCATAACCGTACCCACGTTAACACGGGTTAGCTTAGAAACTACTCATAATTAAAAAGTAAATATTTAGGGCTGTTTTTAGCAAATTCATGTCGTCATTGTCTCAATAGTACATTACGGTATAAAAACATTTCATAGGAAGTTCAGCAGTCCGAGTATTAAATAGATATAGGAAGATGTGGTATGAGTACCAATGAGATAACTCTCCATCCAAGTTACAATTTATAAAAGTAAACCATTATAGTTCAAGGTACGGCCTTCAACACGGAGCATTGAAGCATGAAATTGAATGATTCTAAATCAATAGATGAGTTACCAAAGCTTGTCTTCATAGTATTTGTTTTTATTACGGTACATATAATTATTCACTTACTTTTCCGTATTATAACTCCAATCTAGGAGTGTGTTCAACCCTCTTAAACTAGTTTGTCGTCCGTCATGTGGTCAAACAAATTTACTTTTCTGATAAACTCCCGTACAGAATGACTTCATAATTGGTCAGCAGTTTGCCATCAATTAGTTGTAATATATGAATACTTTTCTGGTCTGTCAGAGACCTAATTTTTGTGTGCCGATACTTCGATTGTTTTTCTCTCCATATGCACAAGAGGAGATATGCTTAGCACCTTAACAGGTGCGTTTTTGTTTTGTTCTATAACACGCGGCTTATTATTACTGTGTCTTTTTACCTGACAGTTCTTCTTATACATATGTATTCCACTGGGTTAAATTCTAAAAAGGCCGTAAAAACCCACATTTTTTTAATGTACCTATTCAAAGTCAGCAACAGTATGGGGCGTTGTCTTTTTTTATTTTGTTATAATGTTATTTTGTTGATCGTCTCTGTTCCATTTATCCGTATACTTCTCTTTACGATTTACAGCTTACCAAATGGTGTAGGTACTATATATTGATCAAGACAGTACGTTGCTATCTGAATTACTTTTTGGGCTTTTTGTATTGTTAGGTTTCTGACGTATCATTATTTACATATATTTTATTCATTTCCTATATGAAATGGAAACACATACAAAATTATAAATTCGGATTTGATTTTTTTTTTACATTTCAAGTTGATACTGTTGACTTCATTATTAATGAATGAATATAACAATTTTCGTGAAAACCATCTTTTCGAACAGGCTCTTTGTATCAAATTCGCGCAACCGGATTTATGATGTCAGAAGATTTTCAGCAAATCGCGATGTAGCGAATTGTTAACGTTCTCATTAGAAACATCCGGAAATTACAACGTTCTGAATAACAACGTCTCGAAAACAACGCGAAACGTTTTTGAAACGTTATTATCAGCCCCTTCTACTGTATCGTATGCCCTTTACTGTCAGAATTGTAGTGTTTTTTTATTATAAAATCTTCAACTTTAATTTTACAGTGTGGGTTGTGGCAATCTGTTCATATTGATGATCTCCGCATTTCGTTTATCATACCACCGATCATTGACATGCTAGGTAAATCAGCTGCTACTGTTATCACTGCTGCAGAAACAAACAACTCCAGAAGTACTGCGCAAGTAAAACTTGAAAAAGAAGTCTTTGATAGAGATGGAGAAAAACTACAGCCAGATGAAAACAATGAGGAAATGACACAAACTGACAGCACCAGGACAATTGATCAAACACCCGAAGAGACTTTACATACAAAGGGGAGAGGCCAAGGGAACGAAGAGAAAGAAAACCGGGATCAAGTTATTGCATCAATTACAACTGATCAACGACGTAAATTCGATACTAATAGTTTAATCCTTAATTGTGTGCAGCGTGCACTTTCAGCCTTAAAAGACCCTGAAGAAGATGCATCGAGGACAACACAGAGATTAAAAATTGTACTTAATCTCTTAGAAAATGATGGAGGTTGGTTTTTTTTTGTTCTTTTGTAAAATCTGTTAATAAATTTCCTTAAGGACAAATTTAATTCATGCGAGCTAAAATTTGCAATTCACTAGAAGTTGCATATATGTTAACGCTGCTCTAAATTCTGATTTATTTTGAGGTAAGAGTAAAATTCTTTAAAAGATTTTTTTTTCATTATTGAATGCAAATTGAAACGATTTAAAAAAGTTTTATGTTATTTGCAAGTAACAATGGCTTTTTGTTGCCAATATTGAATAAACGTCAATTTTAACATCAATTAAAGTCAGGCTTAAGAGAAATTGGGAAGCTACCTACTGTGGGCTAGTGATAGTATACTTGTATTCCCTATTATTAACTAAAAGACAATGTACAAACAAGTACCAGTATTCTGTGTAAAAATAAAACACACCCCGATTTAAACAAAACATCTCTGAAACTGACACCATAAAGATGTATAATTTATTGATTGACAACATATTTATTACGTTTGGAAAACGTGTTTTTAACAAATTGTCATTCTCATGCGAACACATTGTGCTTCTCTTCTTGTCGAGTTGTTTCTGTCGCTGGGAAGATGTAATACAGGAGCCTCTTGAACAATTTACATAAATTTCATAAGTCTCTATTAATTTTCCACTTTTTCAAAAGTAGATTACCTGGCTGAGCATTTAAAAGTGCGAATCTTTTTATTTTGTCTTTGTAACCTTTCCATGTAAAAGTATATATTCAAGTTTTACAATATAATCTTGCATATCACTTAGAGATTAAGAACGTGTCTGATGAAATGTATGATTGGTTCGGAAAAACAAGTGATTTGATGACAACTATTTTCCCTTAAAAATGGGATTTTCAATAGGGAGAAACCTCAATCTGATATCCATTTTCTTTACATTTTAAGAAATCGACATAGCAGAAATGGTCCGTTTAATTTTTGTCGGAGCCATTAAATGTCAATTTCAACCAAATGTTACTTAGGCAAAATTTATGCTTGATAAAGAGAAGCAGTAAAAGGGTCATCAATTCAAGATCAATAAAGTAGAAATTTCGACAAGAATTTAAGTCTACATTGATTGAGACCCATATTTCATTCGCGATATCCAATATTCCATTTTTTTTTTTCTAGATGTAGAAAAAAAACATGTTATTTTGATGGATTCTTGCGTATTTTATACTATCTTTTTGATATATTTTTGTATTTGTTTTTATATCTGAATCAGGAACAGTACTTTCTGGCATTTGTAAGCATGTAGTGAAATTGATAAATGAAAAAGAGAAACAGTTTGGATCTTTGTCAAATTGGTTATCGGCGGAGGTATCGAAATCAGAGAACATAAATAAAGCTGGAACTTTCAGGTATGTGTTCATTTTTCGCTCACCTGTGTTATAAATTTAGCTGGTGACATTGATTTAAATGCATTTATCATCATCGTTACCTTTTTTCAAAAAAACATTAACATGAACAGCTCGATAATCAGTTTATATTTTTCAGTTAATATTTTCCAGTTCACTCGTTCAATGTGGTATGTGTCGTCAATGGATATGCACACTAAGTTTTAAGTTTTTGGCAATCAAGTTGACCACTAACGGGGTTATAGAAAACTGCACATAGCTTCTGACGTGACTAGACACCCGAAATATTCTAACAAGTCAAATACCCAAACTGCTTAATGGACTCTTTTGTATTATTAATTGTATTTGGCTTTTAACTAGCTTTTATTAACAGCGAGTACTCTCAAATCGTACTTTCTTGTTAATTTGACCTGTTGATACAATTTGTAATGCTCTTTTGTTACTTAATGTTTACTCAATTAGGGTTATATCTCGTCTCTCTATTTTTTTATATATACCAGATTTGATAAGTGTTTGGGTATGACTATAAATTTTCACTTCTGTTCTCGTACTGTAAACAACAAAATTATTTTTTTTGTAAAAAATATTACCGTTTTCCATTTATACTGTATACCTTACAACAAAATTATTTTCATTTACCTGTGTTCGTTATTCTATTTGGCGGCATTTGTTCAAGGTTATGGCTGTTTTTCTGAAATTGTTTAACATCTAACACTTTATTTTATTGATTTTGTATTTACATTGTGTCATAGCTCAAATTTATTCGTTCAGTGTATGTTCACTTGTGTTAATATGTCTTTTAATTGAGTTAAGCCATTTCAATTGATATTTTATAGTTTGTCTTTCTATGTTGTGATGTTACACTATTGTTTCAGATAAGGGTGAAGGTTGACAACTATGAAAACGTTTAAACCCGCTACATTTGTTTGCACCTGTAATAAGTCAGGAATCTAATGTTCAGTAGGTGTCGTTTGTTGATGTGGTTCATAAGTGTTTCTCGTTTCTCGTTTTTGATTAAGATTAGTCCGTTGGTTTTCCCGTTTGAATGGTTTTACACTAGTTATTTTTTTGGCCCTTTATAGCTTGCTGTTCGGTGTGAGCCAAGGCTCCGTGTTGAAGACCGTACTATGACCTATAATGGTTTACCTTTACAAATTGTGACTTGGATGGAGAGTAGTGTCATAGCCACTCGTACCACATCTTCTTATACCTATCTTCACAGCAGTCGTTGCGCTTCAATGATAATGTTACAAGTTTTTATATTGTTTTCCATTGAAATTAATCGAAAAATCGATAGATAGATAGATAAGTCCTTACTAGTTTATGGATGCAAAAATCTTATAAATCTGTGAAGAATATAAACATGTGGGTAATACAGCAAACAGTTGGAGAGAGTATAGGTGCGTCGTTAAAGTAAACACCTTTTGCTATGCATAGAGATCTGGCCATGTGAATCCACGCACATGTGACATATTAAAACCAGTGTATGGTCATAATAAGACCCATGGTATACTAATAGTTTCTTACGTCAATTTATCAAAGGAAGTTTTTGAAGTCTTAGTTTTATTAAGAACTGACAACTATGCAAACACAATTATTCATTTGATTAATTTCACTACCAAAGCACTAGTTTCTCATTTGAATATCAGACCAACAGCGGTACAAGCACAGTGATAGTTGATATCCTTGTTTTTAAGAGGCAAAACTGTCAATAACAGCAATAAAATTAATACAATGAAACATTAATAGAATAGTGAATCCAAAATCATTTACTCTTTTTGCAACAGTTGTACTTGCGTTATACCCTGTTTCTGTTGACTGAGGTTGTAAATCTTATCATTTTCCGAAAACAAATTATCAGATTACCAAAAAAGTACGATTATAATAATGATATGAGGACGAACGTTTTGATTTATTTTAATTGTGTGCGTCATTATATATGAGTCTAGTTCTGTTTCAACATCCGATTTTATTGCAAAACAAAAGTTCTCTGGGGAAACGACTAAATCATTTTGCTCAATCAGGCAGAGTTTTGTATCACGTCGATTGAAAATAAGTCAACTTTTTATTTTCGTATTTCGAAGAGGTAAATTGTTATATTTTAGATTAAGAAAATTCTAAATACGAAAACAAAAACCTGAAAATTGACGATACGTGAATAAATTACAATTAGAACTAACAGCGTGAATAAAATAACAAACAACAGAACCACCTTAGGGTGTGTTTTCGTAATTAAGTAACTTATCAACGGAAAATATTCTGGCAAGTTAGTTATAGCCATGGACATGAAGCCAAGTGATTTAAAAAAAGTCTCTAAAGTTGTGATATGCTTTTGAATCAAAGGGATTTAATGCTTTGTCATAATTTGTAAAACGTAAAAGTAATTGATGGCCTTAGTATTCAGATTCAAAATAATTTAGTTGTAGTTTAAACTTTAAAAAAGAAATAGTATACCTCTTACCCGCGTAACTGCCTCATACTAATGGTTATATATATATTAGATAGGCTTACTGTAAATTGAGTTTAATTATGCTTTTCATTTTAAGGCTAAATACAAGGAATTCATAATCTAGATAGATACATTTTGTAGTTGATATTTGCTTCGCTAATATTTACTTCTATGAACTATGTGGATTACTTTTATTTTCGTTCGTACCAATCCTAGTAGATCGAAAAAACGTTATACTTACGTGAAAAATATATTTCGTGTTTTTTACCAACTTTTTCACATAACCATATAGAAAATGTGTACTTCGTTAAACATTTAAGTTCGTGGTGCCTTATAAAAATCAAACAAAGTTTAATTTGCCACAGTATGCTAAAATGTCAACAGTTTGCGTATTATTCTAATTTCAGAAAAAGTATTATTATGTGTTTGGAATCTCGCATTATTCCAATACTAGCAGGATTATTTGCTTTCATGGACTCAAACAGGAACTTAGACATACTTACAGAAAATGAAAGCAACCACTGGAATGTAAGCATCTGGTTAGATATTCTGAATGATCCTGAAATAACTCAGATAAAATATCAGAATATGGTTTCACCGACAAAACATCTAGAGCTACATGAAGTTGCAGTCAAACCAACTTCAGTTGAAGGAAAAGTGTTCTCAGCTAAAATGTCCTTTTCATGGCTGATTATTGATCAAGTCCAGAAAATTTTGAAAACCACAATTGAATCAGAAGACACGACAGGTATAGTAACTGTATGACTACATGTTATAATTGTAAGAAGCTTAATGTGTTGGTGTTTCTAACCTTCTGTCACCACTTTGATATCGCCATGCCAGCGTATTTAACATGCTTTTTTTCTGATCCCCGTAATTTGAATAAATGTCACTTAGCGAAACCCCGAACGAGTAAGACAAATAAAAACTCTGATATTGAAATATTTATTGGATGTAGCAGATCATCAACATATTTTAATGAAGGATGTTACTCATTAAATTTGGATGAGTTCGATCATATGTATTCATTTTTTCACGAAAGATACCAAATGGACATTAGTCCAAAAAACGATTAGATGAAATTAAATCGACAATACCGTGACAAAAAACTTTAAACGATCAAAAGACACACAACAGCATTCAAAGCACAACATATAAAACCAAAGATTGAACAACACAAAGATAAAAAACTGGGGGTGATCCCAGGTGAACAGTAATCTTTTACAAAAATCGACTCCTCTGAGCCAAATTAAACCACACTTGGCCTAAATTATCCTTAGGGTATCTAGTTTGAAAAGACTGAAGATCTAAAGGCCCCCGGTTCAATCCCGGGTTCCGGCACGGAACAATCCGGCGGCTGGCAGGATATTTTTTGCTACTCACCACTTTTGCAAGATAATCCAAACCTGCTTTTAATTTAACTACTGGTCCAAATTGAACCAAACTTGGTCTCAATCATTATTGGGGTATTTTATACTATGTTTTATGATTTTAACCTTATTTTATATGATTTCCAAAACCACAGTAGATACAGGTGAGCGACACAGACTCTTGAGAGCCTCTAGTTTAATAAGCGACAACCTTCTATCGCGGTATTCATAAAGAAAATGCAAGCTCTTGAATGTCGTATTAACTTGAGTACATATAATCCATATGCAAACGCTGCTGCAAAATTGCTTTTAGAAATTTTGTAATTTCGAAGCTTAAATCATCTCTTGGGTTGCTAGTTTTGTTTTTAACCGATCCTCACTGTCAATTTCTAGATGTAAGTAAAAAATATGAGGCAGAATAAAACTGCATCTAGTGTATCCTAGTTTGCAAATTGCTGTATCTGTATGAAATATATATACATATATATGTGGAAATAAGAATAAGAACTCAAAAACAAAAGTTTAATTATACACCCATATGTATAACTGTGTTAAGGATGGGCGACGGTACGATAAATTTTTAAGTTTGAAACATACTAATCCTTAACTTTCATCATCTTTTCCGGGATCGATAGAAAATGAATGCGACTTATCACGGACTGTGATCTTACAGTAAGAAACACTACGATTGCTTTATGGTTTCGGTCGTTAAGTGTTTCTCAGTCTATTATTTTATATTGTGTTTGTTTATGTTTTTAATCGGTTTTCGGGTTTTTCTTTGCAATGCAGTTGTCGGTATCTCTTCGACTTATGATTTATGTTGTCCATCTTGTATCAAAACCCATAGTAACATTATGTGTGATGTAAGATCAAATAAGCTATTTACTTTCATTAAATCTACTACATTTTAATTTCACAATATAAGAAACCAAATTATACTTCAAGTACACTTGAAAGCAGTCTAAAATGATTAGGACTATTATTTTACATATACAATGTATGTAAGAATGATGAGACTAATTAGAACCTTATGTTGCAAATATTTTCTAGAGTTCTTGTCCTTGTGATAAATCTACAAGCTTTTCTGCGTTTTCACTGATTTGTTTATTTACATTCATGATTTGCAAATATTTTCAGCGCAAAAGTTTGAACGTTTGTGAATGTTGAATGTGCTGTGAGTGAAAGCATGACGTAGACAAAGTGACGCAAAACACTAACAGTGAATAAATGTAACTGGTTATTTTCTAATGAATATATTTTTTTTTAGAAAACAATACGTTGGACATTATAATGAAAGCTGCTGAGATTTTTCAGTCACTGTCGATAGGTTGTCTGCTACATGAAATAGATGGACCATTTACCAAGACTGCCTTGAAATTTTACATTGAAGATTTTGTTCACACTGTGTATCCTTTCAAGACTGAAAATGAATGCAGGGTACGTTTAACATATAAAACTGTATGCAAGTGGAAAATATTATTTCATTGAAAGTCCTTTACCAAATGACAAAATCAACAGCTCATACACATCACTACAAACTGGTAAAAGTCTGAAATGGCCTATATCCGTACTCGACTGTACTGATTTTTACTCGACCAGTCTGAATTGGTCTGAATTTTACTTAATATTACTCGACCCAGTCTTAACCATACTCGACTGTACTGATTTGTACTTGACCCTTATCTTTGCTATTGAAAATAGTCTAAACTATTACTCGACCAGTCTGAAACAGTCTTAACCCAGTCTGGACCAGTACTCGACCTATTTTTTCAGTCTGAACCATACTCGACCAAAGGTCTGAACAATACTCGACCAGTCTGAACCATACTTGACCAAATAACCTCTTCTTTATAATTTTGATTGTTTAAATAACTTTCTCTTTAACTTACATGACAACAGCCACAATTAAATAAAAATATATATAAAAACATTTTTTACATTCTTTAATTAAACATGATTCTCTTAGATTTGGCAAATCGAGATAGTTAAATTATCTAATTTTAAAGTCTGAGTCTTGTTAAATAAAAGACTTTTTTTACCTGAAAACCACACCTATACTGAGGGTAATAAAACCTTATTAAAAATAAGGTGCTTTTTGTTTGGCATGTGTTTTTTTTTTAAACAAAACTTGATTTTCCTAAATTCCTAAATAAAAACGAATGTAGGACAGAAAGTCACAGGACAAAAAGTCACAATTCAGTTTTGAGATTATTTTTCTCTGAACAATAAAACACTTATTTTTAAAAATCATTTTTGTATTTTTCTTGAAACAATATCAATAATGATCAAATAATTGTTAAGAAAACAAAATGTTACAACGTCTTGATACTAAAATGGCTTCATGGTGCCAAGAAATATATCCTTTGCATGATTAAAATTTTATGAATCTTTATTTATCAAATTAAGTTTTATGAACAATTTCCTAAACTGTAAAATGAATATGTGTCATAAAAAGTAAACATTTCAAGATCTTTCTCATAAATATTCAAACAATTGTATACAAATTATTTGTGACTTTTTGTCCTATCAAATTTGTGACTTTCTGTCCTGTGACTTTTTGTCCTGTGACTTTCTGTACTTAGGTTTCATGGTTACATACAATAGTTATATAACTATCTTTTAAATGAGGTAACAACAGCCAACAAAATCACTGACATTGTTTAACCTTATAACAGAAATATATCTATTCCTATTTATAATTTGGGATATATATATATTTGAAAAGGGATAAAAAATTCAAGAAATGAATAATTTTTTTCTTCTGATTAGGGGTAAACTATAAAGTAATACATCCTGCTTGATGCACACTGATTAAAAAGATCACACCTGGTCAGAGAGTAATAAATTTTAAATAACATCCATTGAAAATTACAACATCCTGTAAAACTTTAATAACAAGGCCTTTTGAATTCACTAGATAAGTAATACACGAGTTTAAAAAAATATGGTTTTCTTTTTACCTGTAAAACACACCTGTACTAAGGTAATTAAACCATTAAACCTTATTAAACTGCTTCTTGTATGCCATGTCTTTAATTTTGACAAAACGTATTTAAATTTAATTAAAATAAATTTCTACTGCAACTTTGGAATACATTTCCTTTTTTAAAAGGTTATCAAGGATAAAAAGATGAAAGTTTTATTATTATTATTATATTAAATTTTTGATTTTACAAAACAGAGGTGTCAATTTTAACATTTATTAAGTTGCTTTATATACTATTTTATATATATTTTGATAAAAAAAAAAATTGAATAACATTTAAGATATTTGAATAATGGTTGAAAGTTATAGTATTTTTGAATCATAAATCAATGTGAACATGATATCATGTATATGAAAATTCATTTAACGAACTTAATTTATTACATGATATTTTTTTAATCCAACCAGAAATTTGATCACCTTGTTTTATTTTAATTTTAAATGTGATATACATTTTATATATATATATATATATATATATATGAATAACAGTTTCTAAATTAATGAAAAAATAATATAGATAGATACAAAAAATAGGTCTAGGTTGGTTAAGACTTGGTCGAGTATGGTTCAGACTAGGTCGAGTATGGTTCAGACTAGGTCGAGCATGGTTCAGACTTGGTCGAGAATAATTAAGACTATGTCGAGTATGGTTCAGACTCGTATAAAATGGTTAAGTACTGGTCGAGTAAAGGTCGAGTACAAGTTCAAACTGTTTAGTATGGTTCAGACTACAGTCGAGTAATATTAAGTAAATTTCAGACCAATTCAGACTGGTCGTGTAAAAATCAGTTCAGTCGAGTACAAATTTAGGCCATTTCAGACTTTTACTGGTTTGTAGTGCATTAAACAAATGAAATACAACTGTCATATTCTTGCAAGAAAAGATTATGGATATAATTATCATTTCTGTTTTAGTCGTGGAAAATATCTTGAAAATAAAAAGCACTTTGAATAGTAGTTTTTTATGCTTTAAATGAATATGGGCGAAGAAGTGTTTACTAAATGCATTAGCCATCCTCATAGTGATCGATCGATATTATAGATTTAAGTCATTAATTTCGTCTCGATATTTTTAGTACAAATTAAACATGTAAGCTGACTATATAGTAAGATGATTTACAGCCTCTGTATATTGTGAACAAACTGAATACTTTGTTGTTGTGGATAAAATGTTCAGTTACGTATTATTTTCCAGATCTTCTTAATGCTATTCATGTCACTTGCTTAAAATCAAAGTGAGGTTATAAATAGTAAATTTTTTCAGTATGAATGTGAGTTCATGTTTATGATTGTTGTCATGTTTTAGATATTTTCCCTGTACATTTTTATGAAGTCGGTTTACCAGTGTAATACAGTCATGCATATCAAGCAGGATATATTGTTATGATCAACTCACGATTACCTATAATTGATTACATCCACTTCATTTGATTTTTGGTGGATAGTTGTCACATTGGCAATCAAACCACATCTCTTTTTTTATATTATTAAATAAGAAATAGGTGTATATTCAGAATATTATTACATCCACTTTTTGTCAATAAATTATCAGTCTGTATATACATGATTTATTGATTAAAGCAGGAATGTATGATTTAAGGATGATTTTGCCTTTGGATTTATCTTGGTCTAGACATGACATTTGTTTTTAAACTTTCAAGATCTAAATATTATCAACTAGTTTTGAATCACGATTATATTGTTTCACAGCTATTGTACCTCGATACCTCTATTTTCTTTTCACTTGAAATTAAAATGATTACAAGTCGTTTTACTATCACGGTTTCCCCTGATGAATTGTTTTAAAGTTCCTACCCTTTCATGATCTCACGGGTTCAGCTTTTTAATGTTCATGATTGACAGAAGAATATTAATATATGGAAACAGCAAAAGACAAACAACTGTGAATCATTCACATGATATATATTACTGCGTGAAAAAATAAACAATCTTCCGTTGATATAATTAGCAAACACTAATCATATGACATGTGTTTTAGTTGGTATGTGAGAATGTAGCTATAGGCGCTCAAAAATTATTGAAAGGAGAATATGGGAACCTGTTACCAACTATGTTTGCATGCCATATGGTTTATGAGACATTTTCAACCAGATTTAAGAATTTTTCACATATCATGACTGTCTGGCCAAGCTGTTGTGAAAAAATCATTGATGTTCAACAAACTGGTAAAAGCAATCTGATGACAATTGAAGAAATAGTTAGTATTGGTATTGTTTTCATTTAAGGAATCAGTTTTGTTTGATAATGGTACAGTAATTACAATATACTGTTATTAGTAAAGAAATGGATACATTTAACACGTTTATCTTAAATCTTTTTCTCTATATACGTTTGAATTAAAGCACAAATTGTCTCTTCTTGGCAGTATAACAGAAAGTATTGTTGTCCATACTGATCTTAACATTTTACCATTTATACTGCAAATCCGAAATCTACTGATAAAATGATTTATTGTAACTAGGATCACATTGTGTGTTTTAATATATAAATAATTCTGAAATTCGCATATGAGAATTGAAAAGTTTGTTGACCATTTTAACGCATCTGTCCCATCGAACATGATATAAAGGATACACCAGATACAGTCAAGTAAGCTCATAGCTTGACGCCATCCAAAAATTTACTTCAATGTATTAGGGTCGGTTAAAACAAACAATTCTTTACGGCAAAAAGAGTGTGTTTGCGTTATCAAATTGTGAACTCCATTTCTATGTAATATTATTTCAGCAGCGCCGGCATTCGATGTATATATCTCCAAGTTGACCTAATGTTCCAGGGCTTGGGCTTTTATTTCCTATTATCATTTCCTTGATAGATGGTTGCTGCTCACAAGGAAGCTATTTAACCATTTTTAAGTTCCAGGTGTTGAAGTTGATAGCATCAATTCGTAAATTGTACGGACGCCATCACGAGTTTTTTTACCGTTATAGAAAATCTGTTGCACAGATGACGATGGATATTTTTCAATTTTAGTAACCACAGTCCCGTCCCTTTTCCTGATTGTGATGTACCGAATTAGACTAATGAATGGGTTTGTAGTTACATGAAACACACGACTGGTGCGACATTTCGAGAAGGATATACTCGTCTTCTGGATACGCTGAGATCGACCTCGGTTTTTGTGGGGTTCATGTTGTTGTGTCTTCAGTTTTTTATGTTGTGTTCGGGAACTCTTGCTTGTCTTTGGTCTTATTCTCTTTTTATTTGCCATCGCGTTGTCCTGTTTATTTTCGACTTATGAGTTTGAATGTCCCTTGGGTATATTTCGCCTCTCTTTTGCAGAAAGTTTGACATGAATTTTAAAATTTGAAATTTGGACTGAAATCGTTTTTCTTTTTTAATCTATTGCTGGCTTTAATTGTCCGTTTTATCTTTGGTTTTCTTCAACAGACGCTTGACATTCAAGCTTTAACACAGCTGATGGACGAAGTAAAGCCTTCAAGAGAAATTCTTAGCAAAAAGGATTCACGAAAACTCTGGCTCAGAAAAGTATGCGAATATAGGCCAGTCATTGAAAGAGTTGTAGCAGATTTCTGTAAGCAACATTCTTTTGATGGAAATGTTGGTCAACATCAATGTAGAGAAGCAATTAAAAACGCTAGGTAAGATATATCTTTAAAAACACTTTAAGAAGGAATCGGTAAACATGCACATATTAATTTTGTTTTAATGATTGTTGTTTGCTTTACATCCAGTAACAACTATTTCTGGACTAGCAAAAAAGACAAATAATAAGTAGCAATAAGGACCGTCCGGCATGAATGTCGGTGCATTTGGACCGCTGCCGGGAAATGAGGGAATATTGCATATATCGGGAACGAAGTTTAGCTCCGTAACAGATCTATACCACAAACAGACCTTTTAATAATCACACCCATCTGTTGATAATTGAAGTTATTTTTTATCGGTACAATGTGCCCCAATTTAAGTTAAACAATGATTATCATAACTTTTCTTCTAATGTCATAGTATTTTTAAGACGAAAGGTTAGGTTTATATTAAAAGGAATATAATGCAATTGCAAAGATCAGAAATAATCATGTCTGATGAACCATTAATACTATTTTTATCTAACTTTGCGTTACTTATTATCCGTCACCATCACTATTTAGTGATAATGTACAAGTGACATAGGAGCAGTACATTATAAAAATCTAGCTATGATGTTTAAAATTACACCGAATTAATTATTTAAGATTACTACTTGTTTTAACATTCAGCATATTTATATTTGACAAAAAACACCTAATGTAATTGAGGTATTCTTTATATTCTCACATAAATGTGATTTAAATCTTGAAATCAAAACAATAATATACCTTCTAAGGATCATAAATCCTTAAAACATTTTTTGGCATTGCATTTCAAATTCCATCAGGATGATGTTGATGCAATCTTTTTATTGTCTGGTATTATAACCTTTTAACATTTCCACAAGGTGCAAGCTTATATGTTTGTTCACACTTTAATTTCGAATATTTAAGGGCATTGATAACCTTCCACATCTTCATTTGACATTAGACTTAAAATTATTAGCATTTAAATTACGTCTAACCTGTTGTCAGCAATCTTTATGTATTTGCAATTAGTGCAAAACTGTTGGAAACGCCTCAATTAGTTGTATTATCATTCATATTTTTGATTTGGATAAATATTTTAGCTAAAATGATATTGTTTAATCTGAGTGAAATGCTTTTTTGTGATAAGAAACTGTATTATATCTATTTTGACCAGCAACTAAGTGTAAATTGCTATTGTAGTTCAAATAAATAAGAGATAATTAATAGAAAGTACCATTTGACCAAAATGATTTAACTACTTGAATCAATGTCATGTATAAACAAAACCACGTCATGTGTGTCAATACATGCATAAATGGGCTTGACTTTTATCGTTCAAGACTTATGCCTTATAATAAGGTGACTTGAAATAAATTCTTTTTAATTTCTTGATTAGATTTGTTTAAATTTTATATACAATTGAGATCTTTAACGGTCATTTTTATCCGAAAATGTTAAAAAAAACTGTGCAATGATTAATTATTTAATGATTTCAATTACTTTTTAGTCTTTTTCTTTTGCGGTTAATTTAGTAATGTTCGAATTCAGACAACCAAGTTTGTCTTTTTCTATGTTAAGACTGTTTATTAGTTGTTATTGACTTGTTCGCTTGAATAACATACACAAGTGTCTGAAAAGCTATGGAACAGTTCTGTTTTGACCTCAAGGAATTTTGTTTAACAGTACCGAGTCTACCGGAGAGGATAAGTCTGAAAAAAGTTACAGTAATACATATACAAGTGATATGACATCGTAATTCATAAACATTAATTGAATCCGAAATATTGTTCTATTAATAGCCCATCAATAGGTCAGTTTTTTTTTAAAAATAATGTCTTATTTACATTCAAACTTCAGCCGATCGTTTAAAGACACATGCATGCTGCATTTGTTTGCACATATCCTAAGTCAGGAACCAGATTTTCAGTGGTTGTCGTTTGTTAATGTGACTCAAAAGTGTTTCTCGTTTCTCGTTTGTTATATAGATTAGACCGTTGGTGTTCATGTTTGAATGGGGTTACACTTGTCATTTTTGGGGTCTTTTATAGCTTGCTGTTCGGTGTGGGCAAAGGCTCCGTGTTGAAGGTCTTACTATTATTTAATGGTTTACTTTAACAAATTGTGTCTTTGGTGGAGAGGTATCTCATTGGCACTCATACCACATCGTCTTATATCTGTGAAGATGAATACTTTATGCCTATTGTTTCTTTACTGGCAGTTTTAAGGTTTTTCAATAGCCGTCGTATACAATACACAAAATAGAATGCGCAGTAGCATACATATTAGGTAGTGTAACTGAAGAATGAATAGATATTCATGTAGTTGGTGATATATATTAGTCGGATACAGGAATATTTCAGTCAGTTGGTCTCCATCTCATTATTTACAAGAAGTGAATAGTTTGATACATGTAAACCATTTAAGAGTTTAACTTACAGACAATGTCCTCGAATAAATATACTTTTGTCTATCAAAAAAACTTCAAATCCTCATTTAATTATGGACCTTGCACACTAGATTTTTAAAACTGTGTAAACAGTATTTAAATTTTAATAATTAATGTAAAAAAATGTAAAAAAAAATAAGGTTCTTTGCGTTTTTTCTACATTTTGATAAAATAAAATGTATTTGTATGTGGGATAATTTATAATATCTTTTTAAATTGTGCTCAGTAATTGGAAACATATGCTCCATTGAACTTTCGTTTTGTATGACAGAAAAAAAATCTGCTAAATCCAAATTAATGAATTCAATTTTCGATAAAAAAATTAAAAACATGTTTTTTTGTGTAATTTTGTACCCAAATATTTTACAGGAACATATATTAATATTTGGAATGTATATATGTTTGTCGTTGTTGTTTGTAATCTTTTATTTCATTTTAGGTGTGAATGGATAAGAACACTTGTTGTAAAGTTGTTTATTGAAAATGTATGTACACAGGGCATTGGAGCAGAAATTGTGCCATCTATGAAATTATGGAGTGTAAGTAAAGAATTAAATGATGTTTGCATTCTGTCTAGGTTTAAATACAAAAGATTTATGGCATAAAAGGCAGCCAGATGTTTTTATCAATGATACATATAGGGATAAAGATTAAAACATCAGAACCTGATTTTAGAAGCAATACTTTACGTTATAAAATTCGTCTGCTAAGATCTCCTAAGTGAAATAAAAAGGAGACTTGAAAATACAAATGGCAATTCCAGTTAGGATCATATCAAGCCCTTTTCATAGTATTTTCAATAACATATATGTACATGCATTTTTGTATACAAAAGTTTCTTGTCGTGCACTGTTTTTAAACTAAATACATTGCAATTCTCAACATAGATTGAAGAGTAAATATGGCATACCAAGTGTAAATTTATTTTTACGTTTTCATTGTTGCTACTGGCACACAAAAAAACAACAATACAATGTGAACATGCTATCTTCACAGAAGCATTGATCAAGAACACGTCTAGAAGGTGTTTACGTTATATCATCAATTTTCATGTAATATGTAATGCCCCGAAGAAGTAATACAAAAGAAAGATTGTATTTTTAAAAGTTATCCCATTATCATTTATAGCGGGAATGTGCAGGGTCAAACTGTTCAATGACATTCAATAATTACATAGTAGTATAGCGTTAGAAAAATAAAATAAAAATTGACATATCACCATCTTTGTATCCCCTCATTATTATCATGCATTCTCAGTTGGCACTAAATTCAAAGAAAGTATACAAACAAGGTTTGTTTTGACCCGCAAATAGAGGGCATGTTCCGCCCAAACGATTTTTTCACATTATGTTTCTTGAAACAAATAAACTAAGTGACAAGAATATTTGGTTTGTCGCACAGTTTTCTTTATTTCATAGGTAAAATTGTGTTGAAACCTAGAAATTTTCATATTTTCTTTACAAAAACCTCTTGTGTTGACATAAACAATAAATATTAAGAAACTCTTTTATTTTGTTATAATGGACTCAATATTTGGTTTCAAAGAAGGTTTTCTTACCAAAGCTTCTTCTTCATTAAGTGTGTATTTCATTTAAAAGCTGGCCTTATCATCCATACATCAAACAAGGCTTGAAGGAATGTACAAATTGTCTAAGACACGCTACATTTAAATCATTTTTGTAATTCACTGTTTGCTTTTGTTCTTTATTCTAATGAAATTGATAATGGAAATGGAAAATACGTCAAAGAAACAACAACCCGACCAAATAGCAGACAACAGCCGAAGGCCACCAATGAGTCTTCAACGCAGCGATAAAAACCCGCACCCGGAGGTGGTCCTCAGCTGGCCCCTGGATACCTAACATACCATTAGCCTATGTAGAATAACCTGTATGAGAAATGAACAAAACGAAATTCATGGAAAAAGAGTATCAATAATTGAGTCATATTAAAATAATTGCATCAGTATAAAAATAGTACTTGAAATGTGTTTTATTGTTAACCTTATCTAAAAAATGTAGATATTCTAATATTGTTTAATTGCAAAATTAGTATCATCGAGTTGTTGAAATGTATGTAAAAGAGGGACGAAAGAATGTAATATATTTTTATGGTCAGTGTCAGATCACTGAATACTTGGAGATCCAGTGTAACTCTCAACCGACTCTATAGCTATGAAAACATAATTAGATCAAAAGCACTAATTGTAATGTTAATAACCTATCTATCATGTCTATGGTATACTTTGAAACATAGAAATTTGATTTTTAAGAAAAGTCGCTTACCACTGTATATTTAATATAATATCATATATAATAAAGAAATATCCTGAATATACTATTTTAAACTAATTGTTTTAATGATGATTTTAGAAACTTGGTGAAGATGCAGACATGAAAGAACTCATCTCACTAGAAAAAGTTGAGAGTCATCTGAAAAAACAAAATGCAGAAGTTCTAAAGAAATGCTTTGGGTAAGAGGGATAATGGATAAAGAAACTTAAAAACATCTTATTGTTCTTCCCGAACTAAATTTCATAGGATGAGTTTGTATAACGGCCCTTTTTTATCATAATAGTAAGTACATCATTTATAAGTCTGAAAATTAAACCCAACAGTGATAGAAATTTTTTTTTATGCTGACCAATTTTTGTTCCTCAACGGGATTTGAAGTCACACCTTTGATACACTACAGCACCAATCGCTTAGCATCATGTTCAGCGCTTTAGACCACTCGACAACATCTTCGAATTATGTAATTTCATTGATGGAAGCAAAATTGAGAATAGAAATGGGGAATATGTCAAAGAGACAACAACCCGACCAAAGAGCAGCTGGCCCCTAAATGAAATTGTGTACTAGTTCAGTGAATATCGATGTCACACTAACCTCCAAAACATATAAATGAACTAAAATTTAAAAAAACATACAAGACTAACAAAGCCAGAGGCCACTGACTTAGGACAGGCGCAAAAATGTGGCGGGGTTAAACATGTTTTATGAGATCTAAACGCTCTCCCTACATTTCTAGCCAATTTAGAATAAATAAACATATAGCAATACGCACAGTAAAAGTCAAAGTTTTCGACTTTGAATGTAATACATAATGTAATGTAATATTTGCTGTACCAAACTGAGAAAATGGAAGCAAATCTTGACTCGCCGAACTGTTTTTCTGTTTCAAAGCGATACTAAAAATAATCTAATGTTTTTATATAATGGTTGCATATTGCTTATAGGTTAAATTGTAAAATTTCTTTGCAGTGTGCTGTCTAAATGTATTAACTGTGAAGCGGAAATTCAGAGTGCCCCAGTTAAACTTTCATGTAATCATGTTGTATGCAAGAAGTGCTACAAACAAATAATTGAAAAGAAAAGGCAATGTACACATTGTAAGGAAAAATTACCAGACAACTTTAATCAAGAAGAATTTGTTAAAAGGTATTATTGTTTTTTTTAAGGTTTTGCAGTAGTAACAGCCATAAGACTCAAAATAGCTACCCGAAAAAAAGCTACCGATGTATAGTTGTCTGTACTATTAACGATTTTCATCATCTGATCAAACCAAGATGGTAATTATTTAACATAAGCCAGACTGTTTCATTAAAAATCTTCTAATAAGCGGTCGGTTTTTAGCAAAACTGTCTTGGTTGTGTTTATTGGTTTTCATTTATCAAATGCTGGCGCAGTATGTAGAATAGCAAATAGTGAAAACATTGCCAACTGTACATGCGTGTCCAATCTATTCCCTTTGCCTCTAGTCGATAAAATTGTTAGTAAATTTCTGTATGAATTATTTCATTGAGCCAAATATTGTTGATTGCAACTTCGGCGTGTCTTTTGTGTTTAAACCGCCCTTTATTACCTAACCCGTTAAACATGGCTATCAAGTGCAGGTGACTGAGTATTTGCCTCTCTCTTTATAACAAACACTTTTGGAACAAATCCTCTGTATGATGTTTATACCTGTATGGACGGATTACCCTTTTAAAGAGGGATATATTTGTATAGACTGGATTTAAAGTAGAACATGGCAAACGCACATTTTCTACTTATTATAGTAGTAACCTGCAACATCTGATGCATCAATTGGTGGACTTAATTTGATCTGCAGATGTCTTGTTTACTGCTTAACTGACTGTTTATACAATCTGTTGTTCATCATAATTAAAAGCTATAATGATCAGATAAATTCTACTCAGTTATCTACTCAGTAATGCCTCAATGAAAAAAAAAATTATTGTTAGATTTTTAGTTAAGTGCACTAATTGGTACATATGCCATATATTGTACTATAGTCATTATAGCTAGAAAATGTCATATTGCCAACTGTGCGCCTCTCCTTGTTGACCTCTTCCTATTTTCATATGAGTCGGAGTTCCTTCAATCACTTGTCAAAAACAAGAAGATAAAAGAATCCAGATCATTTTTTATTTTGCAATTATTAGTTTAACCCATCCTCAAAAGCAATATACCAACTCATTCGGTATTCAAGAGCGTGCAGCGTCTACTCTTACTTAGAAAAACGTCACCAGCGTATGAACAGAGTTTTAATGAATCAAGGGTATATCAAAGAACGTCTTGTCCTTTCTAAATAAAGTTCATGGGAATATACAAAGACTTCGTTGACTCCTTCTCATGTATTTTATGATGGTATGAATTTTACCCTTCAGAACCAAAATCGTCATAAAAACGTTTCCTGCATGGTTTATCTTTTATACATAAAAAAGAGGTTTATTGTTAAATCTGCAATTGGGTAGGATATTCTGTCCATTGTATTGAATTTGTTATAGTGTACAGTTGTCAACACAACTCCATCTACATATTTTATCGTATCGTCAGGAAATTTTTATATATTGTTCAATACTACATGTAATATATATTTGATTATAGTTCCATTAAATCGACATGGTTCAGTATAAACTCAAGCAGACATAATTAGTTAACGTGCAATATTTTCTTCATTCATATATGTTGATGTTCCGGTTTGGCTGCTTAAAACTATTATGAACTGATTATCAAAGAAGGATGACTGTTGTTATATCTCCATACTTCCTTTTCTTTTCGGTATTATAGAAGGACTGCACTGAAATTTATGTAAATGAATTTTACCTTTTACAAATCTCGTTATGTCCGAGCATTCTTAATAGAAGCACACACCTTAACATTTTGATATCCAAGTATGAATAAATATGTAGCAACGTTATAAACTTGGTGGTATTGAGGGACATCAAAAAGATAAAATTAGTTATTTAGTGCGCTAGTAACCTAATACGATTTGTATGCGAAGCTCGAATCCCATATGGAATTTACTGACCCGATATATATATATAGTATTAGGTCACTGGCAAACAATGTAACGAATATATCAAAGTGATCAAGTCTTCAATACCGTTAGTTTTAAGAACCTACTTCCATTGGTCTATACAAAAAACAAATGCCAACAATAACAACTTGTCAGCTTTAAAGTTTTCCCCCAATACCGTATTGTTTTATAAAGGGACGTAACACCAATACTGTATTGAAATAAGCACTGCCTTCTAACCTAATAGGGTCTCCACGCGGTAGCTTTTTACCTATCATTTTCCTAGAAGTGTATAAAAGGTAAGATAAGTAGATTTATCTCAATCTTTGATGCAATTCGATATCCTACAAAAGATTATTGCTAGCTTAAATGGTGTTAATATCGATTACTTGATGTGAATCTCTTTATACTTTTAAGAATGCCTTTTACATAAATAATTTTGTTTAGGAGTGACGTAGAAAAGTACGAAGATTTTAGGGAAAGATGTAATGGTTTCTTCATGGAAATTGTTTCACAACTATGTTTTGCCGAGGGAACACTTCCATCTCAAGGAGTCATTGACAAGCTTCTGTCCTATATTGTTGGAAAAGACAAAAGTGACCGAGGAGAAACTATTGTTTCAAGACAACTGACAGTATTTCAAGATGCTATTGATCCAAACCCTGTGGTCAGATCCTTTTTACTGCAGGAGATTATGCAAACAAGGTTGGCGTATAAAATGTATTGTTGTCTAGTAAATCAAACTTATATTTAATAGATATAGGAAGATGTGGTATGAGTGCCCATGAGACAACTCTCCATCCAAGTCACAATTATAAAAATAAACCATTATAGGTCAAGGTACGGTCTTCAACACCGAGCCTTGGCTCACACCGAACAGCAAGCTATAAAGGGCCCCAAAAAATTACTAGTGTAAAATACTTTATTATAATCATAATAACGTTCTACTTATTTTAAGGATATAGCCAAGGCTATTACATTATCTATGCATACACACAATTTTCTATTTATCTTTGGATTTTTCTTGATTATGACATCCTCTTTTTTATCGAATGCTTGCAAAATACATATACAAAGACGGAGATGTTTATTTAAATTGCTAATAAAACAACTATCTACCAGACTCCCGGGGCCTCGGTGGCCGAGTGGTCTAAGTAGTTACTACTGTAATCACTAGCCAGTCAACACTGAGGTTGTGAGTTCGAACCCCGCTCGTGCGGGTGCACTCGACTCCAATCTTAATTGACTTGGATTGTCAGTTTTCCTATCGAAGGTCGTTGGTTTTCTCCGGGCACTCCGGCTTCCTCCACCAATCAAAAATGGCCGCCACGAAATAGCCCAAAAGCGGTGCTTAAAAGTGGCGTTAAAACACCAAAAATCAAAATCAAATACGAGACTCCCCATGACATTGATATTTTCAAATAGATGTCAAAATACGGTATAAAACAGTGATCAAAACTTATACAGTATAGCCATCTATGAAAAGCCTAGACAGGGCAAAATGTGAAAAAAACTCAAATGAAAACAGTAAACGATATAAGGATTACAGTTTTCGGACTTCTACCATGAACATATAACTTGGAATAAATGTTTTTTTCGAGCGATAATCACTATCCTAACCTGGGATAGGGTAGAGGTGTAACAGCAGAATAAAAGAACAAACACTAGAAATCAACTGAAAAGTGTTTCATTCATCAGATCGACATGATGCACATACGAAAATAACAGATCTATGTGTATCCACATTAACCGAAACGTAGTAAGTTCAAAGCAAATGGCATATAACATGTATAAGAATAATGTAGCTCCAAGTCGAAAGAACGTACTTAAAATGTGTTTTATATACCGGAATATTGATTAATACATTACTAAATTCTATTCTATCTTGTCTACAGATATTTCTAGCTATATATAATAAATATAATGATATGCAAAACATTTATATTTCTATATTGTAATGTTATACCATTACCTCAGGTTAGGGTGAAGGTTGGCGTCCGTTCAAACGTTTATACCCACTGTATGCGTTTGCACTTGTCCTAAATCAGGAACCTGTTGATCAGTTGTTGTCGTTTGTTGGTGTGGTTCATAAGTGTTGTTCGTTTCTTGTTTTTTGTATAGACTAGACCGTTGGTTTTCCTGATTGAATGGTTTTAAACTAGTCTTTTTAGGGGACCATTATATATGGCTGTTCGGTGAGAGCCAAGGAGCCGTGTTGAAGGCCGTACTTTGACCTATAATAGTTTACTTTTTACCAATTGTTACTTTGACGGAGAGTTGTCAGATTGACACTCATACCACATTTTCGTATATCATTTTCATTAAGATAATTAAGTTTTCTGAAATATGATTAGTCTGTCAAGTTGATTTTCTAAATTATACATTTTAAATAAAACTAAGAATAGAGACTTTTGACAATTCTTTTCTTGCAGTGGCAGCGACATTAAATCATATCTGTCAAAGTACTTTGACGACAATACCCAGCTTCTTCAAACAAGTGTTGGTAGTACGGAATCAATTGAATTATGTTTGCTGATATTGCAATGCATGGAGGTTTGTCATTCAAACATATAAGAAAATGATTTAATCTACTTCGTTATACATGTACTTAACACTTTGCCTCATTTTGATTTTGTTATTCTAATCCTATGAAATATATTGCATATTTCGATGCGATAGTTGCATTATACCTCTGAACTATTTCAAGTTGAAAAAAATATATAATAAAATGCTAAAACTTTGCAAAAAGGAATGTAGTGCTTCGCAGTATAAGAAATAAACCTCCTTTTAAGGTTTTGTGGGGTTGTTTTTTTTAATTTTTTTTCAGGAATATTTTTTCAGACATTCTCTTATGCATTTTCTACATAAGAAAATGCCTGTACTAAGTCAGGCATATGATAATTGTTATCAATTCGTTTGATGTGTTTGAGCTTTTGATTTTGCCATTTGATATCGGACTTTCCGTTTTAAATTTTCTGTATTTTTATTATTTTATTTTATTTTCGGCTAATTTTATATGGGTTTTAGCTTCAGTTTGGATACTGTCAGTAATATTCTCAAAAGGCAACCTCAAAAAAGAGTATTCTACAATCTGAGGGTCATGAAAAATGGACCGTTTAAGTAATATATCACGTTAAATATTTAAACTAACTAACAATTTATTAAATAATGACTATTGCGGTTGCGTTCGGTTCTGCTTGATAGGAATGACAAGCGATATCGTTAATTCTGTGTGATTAATCTTATTTATTAAAATTGTACATCGACTTTAGATCGAGACAAACCCATAAGTTGACAATGAGGCCTTTTCACAATACATCATTCCCCGTAAACCTGCACGACGCACCACAATTCAATTTGAATTATTTGTTTATTCGCACCATTTTAAATTACCCACACTGTAAACTATTTCAAATTCAATATATCTTTTATAAAACAAACAAATTTAAAAAATATACAAATTCTGCTCTACCACACACTTCTTCTCTTAAGCAGACACTGTTACGTATGCACTCCGATCACCATTACACATAAAGAGCGTCACAGATATTGGAGAAACAAAATTTTATACTTCAGTATTGGAATATGTTCATGTAGTAATAGCTTTTTGTTAAACCCTCCTTAACAGCTACACAGGGACAGTAAAGGCGTTTTAATAATCTACATTTTTAATAATAAGATAAACCCTTTTATGAATTCACTAGCTGTTCTAGTTTATTTTCAGGATTCAATTCAGCAACAAAATCAAAAGTTTAACAACAGTAAACTTGAATTAGTACACATAGAAAAGATGCTGAGTGAATCTGTAGAAGGGTTTTATAGCAACGTACATATTCTGGAAAAAATTGAGTGTATTGCGAAAGCAAAGTACAGTTTGTCAGTTACAGCAAGATACATACACGATCTATATGGCAAAACACAAGACACAGTTCAACTTGATGCTGAGTTACGTCAACTATTTGAAGCAGCTGGACATCTATGTGAAAATTCTGGATCCCAATGGCCAAGGTGACTACTTTATCTATTCAAATGCCGATTATCATTTCGAAATTTTTTGTGCAGTCATGGTGTTTTTTGTATATTGTCGAGTTATAGTTTTCGTGTATTCCAACTTTTTGTTACTAAGAGGCAACAGAATATGCCGAATTGTAAGCCATATTATACAATGAGAAGAAACAACTCCAGATAAAACAATTAAGGAAATTGTGAACTCCAAAAGGTGCAAAACCGGTATGTCGACAGGATAAAAAATCATTATAGATATCATGCTTACAACTTGGTATGCCAGACAAGCGTTAAATCTTCAAAGACTCATCGCTGGCGTTGACTCAGAACTAGTATTCAAACCAGCTATTAAAAAGAAACAGCGTAATACAGGTCAATTATCATCGGGCATGAAAATTCATATTCAGACAAAATGTCATAAACGATACTAAAATACAATCGATTAATGTAGGGAAAAGATGTCTTTTGAAATTTGCTTCTGGATACAAAACAAAATGATATATACATGAGTGTTTGTGTGTTTGTGTTTGGGTAAGTTGGTTGCGTTTGTTTGTGTGTGAATATTGCTTCTTTTATATTTATGTGTTTAAAAATCAACAAAAATGCGTTTTATTTATAGAAAATATTTCGTGAGAGTATTGTGTCGGAGTTATGGAACAGATGTGTATCAAGCAGTCCTAGCAAAAAGTGATAGGGAGTATTTGAGATGGGTAATATTACCAGATCTCAATGTAAGTATGAGCAAATCATGTCAAATTGTTAAACTTCAGACATGATAACAGTAACTAGTATAGAGCTTACGTGCCGATACATATCAGTAGTCGATTAGACAAAAAGATCTATTTGGTAACACATTGTAATATTCTAATTTATATGATTTGCCAGACAGATCCCTAACTGATTTGATAAAATCGTCTGCCTTAACACCAGACAACAGATACTTATGCAAACCGATTTCAATGAATATAATTATGATCTTTCACATCAATCCACTAGAGCCTCTATAGGATGTATGCATTTATAAAGTTGAATAACAATTCATCATACATCTATTATTAATTGACAAAGGATGGATTCCTTATAGTAACTTCTGTAAAATACAAGATTTGTTAATTTGATTTAGTTTTTTACTCCGCAAATCACAAATAAGATATACCTTCAATTGAAAAAATAAAAATAATATTATAGTTGTACAAATAACAACTAGCTGTGATTTAATCAACAGGTTATGGAGTGTTATGACAGATATATTGTCAACGAAGATTACACGGATATTAGGCTAGCAGTAGCTGACTCAGTAATTAATCAGAAAGATACACAATTGACAGAGGTTTTTCATGTATGTTTTATTTCTTGTGGTAAAAATTAACCACATGAACATTCTGATGGGACATTTTCTAAATCTACCAATTTTTATCATAAAAACCTGAACAAAATAATTCAGATATTAGTACTTTATTACTAGTATTCTGGTTTATAAATAAAGGTCAGATAGTAGTATCAACATCTTCGCAACGAGCTTGTTTATGATATTCATGTCTAACGTCATTTAACATTAAATTTATAAAAACTCGGAAACCTTTTCAAATAATTCTAAGGAAAGTATGTCAATGCTATGCATAAAGATACATGTATCAAAATAGATATATTATACCCTAACATTCTATCACAGTGGCTCTCCTAACTTGCCTTCCTTCTTCTGCTGGGAACAAGAAAGGGCATCCTTAAGCCAGGAAAATGTAATACTAAACACAGTAATGGGTCATTTTTTTGATACTTGGCGATGGAATATGGTTTAAATTTGTTTATGCCCCTTTTTATCAGAATAAATCTTAATAAAAAGTTACTTTAAACAGCTGTTGAATCATATGTATAAATGTTTGCGAGGTAGTCACATATTTTTCGTGTACATTTATTTGGTTACTTGTTAGTTTTTCTCTTTTCAAAGTTTTAACGTAAAAACTAAGTGAGGAATATATGATTTTACATAAAATTTGAACACCATCATTTCAGTCCATGTTGTGTGCATTGAAAAATGTATTTCTACGTTTTTAATACTTCCAGGTCGGTTTCGTTACTGATTGACAACAGTCATCGCAAATATAATCTTTGTTTTTATATGTATTGGCAAGATGAAATAATACAGTACTGCAAATTTTGAGGTCCTAATGTATTTTGTACAGGCAATGTTTCCTGCAGACTTCATTCGTCAGTTTGTCTGAACAGTTATATTTGTTTTTCTTTTTTCTTTTCGTTTTATTTATTATGTTCTTTTACAGAAAATATTACAGATTTTGTCTGATTTCAAACTAACGAAATTGCCTTGTACACTGTCCTTCATTTAGATTAGATATGACAACAGATAAACATTTTCGCAAATAGTTCAACAAAATTGCAAGCAGTTTTTCACCGAACCTATAATCAAACGAAAAATCATTTTCTTATTCCATATATTACTAAATTAACTGTTTGTTTAATTTTTCGACCAAAATATTTGCAACACTTACAAGCTATAAGTATATTTGTTTTGACTTGCCATATATATTCACAAATTAAAACTAATAGGGAATAAGTACAACGTCACCAAGACAGGAATGCAGTCTTTTAAAAAATAAAACAAATAAATCAACTTCTGCTCGTGATATTAAAAATAAAAGATTGAGTAGCTTAACCCAGTCGAAACTTGGGAATCAATGCTCATATACCTTTCTTTGCACAGACAAAAGTATGTATGGAATGGCAGTGTAACATTAATCTTCTACTGGCCCTTCACAGGGAAATCACAATGAACAATCTGCATGATGAGAAATGCAAAATGGAAACAGATAAAACAAATGAAGAACAGGTATTTGTATTTACAGTTGTTCTGCATTCGTTTATTTCACATAGATTTTCCAATTTCAAAATAAAACCAAACGAGGAAGAAATGTTCCTTTCAAGTAGTGGTACCTTGATCAAAGGTCCAAAACATTTAAAAGGTGTCCAGAATTTGGTCTATTAATCTATCATTTTAAGTTCTAAAATCAAAACTTGACAAAATTTAGAACTTCATGAAATTATAAATTTACCTTGAGAGAAAACAGGAAATTATGCTTTGGAAACACACAGAAGTTAATGAACACACACATGCAGAAATATTCTTTAGAGGTAACAGATGTGGTTCTCTCCTAAAAAAAACATGGTTAATAAAAATTTTGTTGTAAACTTCACCTCTTTCTTAATAATGCTATAATGTTTTAATGTACAGTAAAAATTGTACTGTTAATGAAATCAAGTTTTCTTTCTGGCTTTGAATTGAAAAATAAATATTAATTAGTGAATTGGTGATGATGATACATTATTGGAGAGTTTTAAGTTCTTTATTTGCAAATGTTGACGAGTTATATACCTAAGTCCTATGGAATGACCATTGATAAAAAACAGCATATTTCGATATATTTTATATTTCGTGTGCATTAATGCTTTAATCTTGTTGGTTGTTATCATATCGGTTTCACATTCTACTTTTTAGGAAAATGAGTTCATTACTGACTATCTGCAGACACGTTCGTTTTTACCAAGAGAGGTAATATAGAAAGAAAAAAGAATATTAAATTTAAGCTAACATTTACCATCATATTCTGAATCTATTTACTATGACTTAACATGCTTCGGCTTTAATCATAGTTAATATTTTTTTATCATTATCAATATAGAGGAAATCAGTATCATGGACAATCAAAATCATTATGCGGAGAAATAACAACATAATCAATTCATACATGACATGATGTGGCGTCCGTCCTGTTTCTCGCAAATGTTCAAATCTGATGCTAATACTCTTTCGGTAAATTCACAATAGAGTAATTAGGAAATGGTTGTGGTTATGACAAGTGGGACAAATTCGTTGTTCTCTCTGACACAACCACAGTCATTTATGGCGGTCAAATACATCATGTTGTTGTCTTTAAATAATATCTTAAATAGCAAACCCAAATTTAGAACCAAGAGAAAGGGAGACAATATTTTTTCAATGCAGGACGAAAATATATATTGTGATTGCAATTTAATGCGTTTTTTACATAAATAAAGATCTTTCATTTCACTTGAAATCGTATTTGCTCATTTTTTATGCTTATTTACTTACTAATCTATTTCGATTTCTTCTTTGATTCTTTTGGCAGAAAGAAGTATCATTGTCTATTTTGAAAAACGATGTTTGGCAGCCAGAAACCGCCAGAAATATTCACCTTAATATGGACATTGCACAACAAAATCTTACCTGCTTACTTACTCATTATATGGTTATGATGACCTTTATTCCAGGAAGTACAACGTTATTGATGCCTTTAAAAAATATAGCATTAAATATCGGTTGTATGAAGGTACGCACATTGAAATATTCACATATTCGAAAAATGAACATTCACTTTGTATAATGAAAGTTTCTATTTTGTTATGCATTGTTATAAAGTAACGAGTTGGGTTCCGAGAGTTTTTTAATGTGAATACACCCACACTGGTAAAGTACGTAACTGTTAAAAAGACAAGGGTTTAAATATTTCGCAAAATATCGAAATTATATAGAAAAATGAAAATTTTACTTCATCACAACAATATTTCACTTATAAGTGTGCAACAACATTATGAGGAATAAAAGTTATTTATATTTACTGTAACAGTCCGTTATCCAGGTATGTTTGTTAGCAAAATGCCTTAAACTGCATTATCCTGAATTGCATCCGTCTGAAAATGTTAAAAATAATATGTTTGATAAAATTTCAATCATTTATTATTTGTACTTCATTTCTTTCAACTCATTATTCGATAAATATTAAATCTTAGTTGCTTGTATATCAATGTCTTCCACTTCCTTATTAATTTGACTTTCCAACTTATACGTCTTGTACAGGAAGTCATAACGTCTTGTGTTTTTAGCCATTTGATCTTATGAGCCTCATCTGGTATTATGTATTCAGAGAATAATAAATACATTTGTATATCTCGATTGACTGTTTGCTCTATGATGTCGCACTAGATGTAGATATAACGTCAATGTAAGACAGAAATGATGAAAAGGGCATGATACACGCAGGTTGTTTTTATGTGGACAAAATAGGCATGACAATAATATATTTTGGATTGATATAGAATTATGATATAATACTAGTAAATCATTTTGGTTACGTGTTAGTTGTTTAAATGAAAATTACAAGTTATTATTTTCTCCATTAGGATTCCTACTACCCATCTATGCCGGATGATGTAATTGCATTCTTTACAAGAGTCATGCGAGATCATAATAAGGAACATAGCGTGAAATCACAGTGGGGAGATGAAGACGTCCCGACAATATACAGTGAGTTTACAACTACGCTGATATTGAGTATCAGTAACAATGCCTGTGTTTTTAATTATAAAACAAAATAATTTTTTTCTTCGATATCTTTATTCTTTGCATTTAAGTTAATACATTGCATGTAACATTTATCAACGTAGCTAATAATGCAATTTATGAATAAGTGGAAAGAATCTTTGCACAAGAAGTTGATCATAATAAAGAAATTTCACTCTGATGATTCAATGATTTTGAAGACCATTTCTTATCTGACAATTCATTAAATATTTGATTCTTTGTTTACGATTTTTTTTATCGACACATATTTGTTTCGCTTTTTTTTTCTTTTTTTTTTTTTGACAAACAGGCCAACTTTGTCGATTTTGACGCAAATAAACTAGACTCCAAACTAGAATCCATGATTAACTGTTGACAAATTAAATGTGTTTGTGTCTAAACTTACAATCGACATGTATTAGCTGTGTTTATATATTTATCTATCACGATAGTCTTCTGATCTGTTTATTAATCGATTACGTCTATTCATGATTGTGACTCTGTTGATGCACCGGTCTTCCCTTTTTTGAGTTCATGCAAGCCCCTCAGTTTTTTTTTTATCTTGAGCGTTATTGTCTTAATATATCAGTGTGACAACAATGGTGACCTGAAAAAGAATACAAATAAGTGTTATGTTTTCTCTTTTTTTCATTAAAACTAGTACGTGTTTGATTCCTTATTTGACTGAACCCACAAGATTCGCATCTGTATTTTCGTTACAAACATGAAATATCGATTTGATTTTGATTTGATTTTTGGTGTTTTAACTCCACTTTTAAGCACCGCTTTTGGGCTATTTCGTGGCTGCCAGTTTTTATTGGTGGAGGAAGCCGGAGTGCCCGGAGAAAACCACCGACCTTCGATAGGAAAACTGACAATCCTAGTCAATTAAGATTGGAGTCGAGTGCACCCGCACGAGCGGGGATCGAACTCACAACCTCAATGTTGACTGGCTAGTATACAGTAGTAACTACTTAAATCACTCGGCCACCAAGGCCCCATATGAAATATCGAATAATATTTTTTTTTATTATTGACATTTTATGAACAAACATTGTAAGGGAATTGTTGTGAAATAAAAAAATGTCTTCATCCACATCTCTGAGTCCTTGTTAGGGTTTTGCTTTACTTTCTGCCTTTTTTCATATCGTATTTACTTTTCTAGTATTTTATCATTTTAAAATATTAATTTACACGAGCATCACTCACAAGACAAATTGATACTGTTCATGATATAATATTTGCTTTGGTAAAGCCTTTGAACAACATGAATATAATTTCATGAAGTGGTTAAAGTTATTACTTAAGGTGGTACCTAACACTACAGGGAGATAACTCTGATAAATCAGCTAAACGTTTTAATCACGTTGTATTGTTAAGGAAATATTAAGCTCCTCAATGATCAAAATGAGCATTTGTCAAACTGCTATGTATCCAATGAAATTTTTCCGAGAAAGTGATTGGTTCAAGTTTTTTGAAATTTTTATATTTTTTCAAAGGGTTAAAGTAAATATTTTCAAAATTTCAAAATTTTATGAAAATTAAACGAGCCAACTTAATTTTAGTCAAGGTGTTGGGTACTACTAGTACCTTAAATTAAAAAAAATGTAGTGGAAGTAAGATTTAAACAAAAGATTAATTAAAAGTTGTATATCACGAACAGGTTTTCACGGTTATCCAAATGTAATGAAGTTTAGGAATGGTCCTTCAAATCTATCAACCTTGGCTTATAAAACTTAAAGATTGAAGTTTTGATTATATTTAAAGCATTGTATTTTCAATTACGTTTGCAATTTCTTTTTTAACACAAGTTCTCCTGTTATAAAAGTAAATAGCAGAAATGCAATGTACAATGATTTTTGTTGATATTTCTTAAAAAAGAATAATGTAAAGTTTGGATATTTCATAATATTGCGTTGCGTTTTATATCAACTGTGCTGTTTATGACTTTGTTGTTATGCCAACAGCTTCTATTATGCAGTCCCATCGATATAAGGATTTAAGATACACAATTTCTTTCTGTTTTTTTTTATCATATCTTGTTGAGTTCTTCGGGCATTTGGGGGAGTCTGTTTTGAAAAAGGACTCTTTAAATCTCCAATTAAATTTAATAAAACGTTTTGAAGCTAAATGCGATTAAGAGCTCGACATATTGTAAAGACCATATGGTGACCATAGATGTATTTAAGTATTAATTGTATTTTCGACTCGTTGATGTTAATCCCACCCATTTTTTTAGTACTTTGTACATGATTATCAAAAGTCAACGATGTTAAGACTAGTTCATAACTAACTATGTGAAAACGTTGCACATGATCATTTGTCGGCTTGATTTCACCTTGTGACCAGAGACAGGACTTTCAAATGTTCATTATAAAAGTTGCTTAGCTAGAAGGCTTATTTGTAACATGAAACCCTTCATTATTGTTTTCGCGTTTTGAGCTGAAAGAAAAGCAAAGTGTTGTCTATGAGTAAATTGGAGTATTTTATTAAATCGTTTATGGAACAAATGACGCAATAGATCGAGTTTTTCTTTGTCCTTATCTTACAGATTTGTTATGGATTTGTATTTCTTGACCAAAATATCTTCCTTAGATTTGACGATTATTGAATTTATCAAATTTGCATGTATTTCCAAACAGACAAAGATAAACATGTCAGTGTTTAGTAATCAGACCTTGTTGTACCTCTTTTCCATATATAGAATATGAGAAGATTCAAATTTGCAAGCTGACGACAACACCAAACAATGTTACAAAAATCATATGAAAGGGCAATAACTTTAAACAAACCAATTCAAACCAATTTGATTTAAAACCCACTATCAAACCGCCACAAAATCTGATGAATGTAAGCAAGTTCGAAGGGAAAACTGTCTGGTTCACTGATGACAACATAAAAATGTTCACTGATATAAACCTTATCTGGAAGCAGATATTATATTACCGACAAACATATTATGACGGTGTGTATATCTGATCAATTATTATTATGTGGTCAGAACCGCGGATGGGTCTTCCTATCTATTCCATAAAGTCACACAGCGACGCAAAAATGTCTGAACGTTACGTTAAATCGTGCGAATCTAGTATTTCTGTCATAATAAAGAAATTTCACTCTGATGCTACAAGGATTTTGAAGACCGTTTCTAATCTGGCAATTCATTAAATTTTGATTCTTTGTTTTTTAGATTTTTTTTATATCATCATATATTTGTTTCGCGTTGAATCGTGCGAATCCAGTATTACTGTCACCGTACTATTCTTGTCAGTTTGTTTTCGATTTATAAGTATACATGTTCCTACGGTATCTTTTGCCTCCATTTTTCTGTTAGACAATAATATTTTCCGGTAAATGCATCTACCTTTTGCTAAATGGCAATTAAACTTGAAACTTGAAACTTAGCCATTCTTTACAGAGAGCACTATATATTCACAAGAGCCATTTAGACGAGTAATGAGTCACTATTATTTTCTGTACCATACATTCATGATCCACTACGGTAACTTTCAAATTAACGGCTCTCGGTAGTACGTGAGAGTGCAATTAACATGTTATATACATAACGTTATATTTTGAGGGATCATGCATTAGTGTTATTTTCGTTTTTGAAGATATTTGTAAGAAACTAGGTATCACCAGAATTACCATATTTTGATGTCGATGTCACAAAATGAAAATAAGGTGCATTTCTTTGTATTATCAAACTGTTTTGTCTGATAAAAAAAATGTCTTACCACAAAAACTTGAAATCAGTTCATGTGTATATTGGAGGGGAAATTATACGTGCACATATAAGGTAATCGAAGGAATATCTACTGATATCTAGTAAAAAAAAAACATTAGAAATTCGCTCAAGACGTTTTACTTTGAACAACATTTCATGTATGTTTATATGTGCAAATTTATTTTCTAGAATGCCCACAAGGTCACCCTTATACCATTGGGGACGTAAGTATATTATTGTATTGAAGTAGTGTATGGTACCTCTATGTGATTTAAATTCTGGAACATATGCTTTTTGGGCAGCCAAATATAAATGTTAAATGGCTACTTTTAATATGTTTTCCGCCTGTGTACCCATAACAGCTTGCAAATGAAAACGACTTGTACCTTTTTCCTGTGTTATCAGTCTAACGAAATGAATAATTGATTTTTCATTCTTCTGCAAAGAAGTCGGCAACTTCGACCATTGCAAGATTCCCACTTTAACATAAATAGGAAAAATGTGTATGAATTGTAGTTTTCGTTCAATATGATTAGTAATTGTCTTGATATAATTGTCATGCCATAGTCTCAACATCACGTATATGGTATCTCATGGAACTACGTCCGTACCTGGTTTGCCTTATCTGTTTAGAATAGCTATGTTTGGTAGATATATGTTTATTGTCCCTGAGGCGCAGGAGTTGCGGCTGACATAGAAGTCTCCCGTATGTTCTTCTCGTAAGCATTCTCGCATATTTTGTCAAATATTTATGAAAAATATATCAAATAAAATTGAGAATGGAAATGTGGAATGTGTCAAAAAGACAACAACCCGACCAAAGAGCAGAAAACAACATAAAGCCACCAATGGGTCTTCAACACAGCGAGAAAATCCCGCACCCGGAGGCGTGCTTCAGCTAGCCCCTTAACAAAATGTGTACTTGTTCATTGATAATGGACGTCATGATAAACTCCGAAATGTATAAACCAACTAAAATTAAAAATCATACAGGATTAACAAAGGCCAGAGGCTCCTGACTTGTGACAAATGTATGTATCAGCAATGTCTGGACAAGTTCAAAAATCAGTTCTCAACAACTATTAATAGGTTTTATGCCTCTTGAAAAATAAAAATCAATTTGAAAATTGCATTTAAGCGCTGTCAAGTCTACATTTCTTGTAGGATTGTAATGCAATTTATAAAGAAGTGTTATATTAAAAATGTCTGGAACAAAATCGAAATCAGCGCTGATCATTTATTGAAACAAATGTTTTATACCTTAGAAATGTAAATTTAAAAGCTAATTACATTGTGAACGCTCTCAAGTGAACAATGCCTGTCATACATTTCGGACAAATTCGAAAAATCAGTGCCAAATAACTTTTGAGAAACGATCTGTGACCTTGGAATACATATGTATGGGAAATAAAATTGCTAACTATCATTGCATGCCTACAATTCCTGTAAAATAACCATTGAAAATTAAAAAAACAAACAAAAACAAAAAACAAAAAAAAATAAATTCTAGTAAATCCCCATGGTAGATAAACAATACGTAACACATTTGACATTGGAACCCTCTCATTGGTTACTTTATTTTGTATTGCTTCATTTACACGTTGAGAGTGCCATTATAAGAAAAAAAGAAACGTAGAATAACAATATGCCACCCCAACTCCGTTGAGGGTGCCATAATAATATCTTCAAAATATTTTTATGTTTATTCATGTTAATACTGATTATATGAGAAGGAATGGGTTTTTGTCAATCTTTTATTGCTTATTATGTAAGCGTACGAAATGCAATATTAGTTAGATTCAGCAATCTTATTTACCTTACTTTCTCTGCACTTGGAATACCATTGGCTAAAATCGTATACTTGGGAACCATTTATATATAAAATTCGCATTCACAAAAATTTTAATATGTACAAAGCTAACTAATAGACGATATTTGTTCTTCAACCCTAATATATATATACATTTCCAATAACTCAGTTATAACTTTTATTTTATACCAAAATCAATAAAAAGTTGCATTAAGGACTTTTTCTATTATTAGTGTGGAAAGGCTTATTTTGAATATACGTGTTTTTGTGGAGAAAAGATCGGAGGAAAAAGCCACATTTTACTGACAACAAACAAACAGGCATCAAGGTAAATTTGGCATTGTATTAAAAACAAAGAAAATGTATCAATTCACCTTTTTTAAAAGTTAATTCAGAAAAACTTGTGAAGTTTAAGAAACTCTAACTTTAATATGATTATGTTGTCGACTGTTATTTCTTTTAATTTTATTTGTGTTTCTTATATTATTTAAATCATTGAAAAGATCATGCATATACTACGTCTTAGGAGCCAAACAGTATGTAATCTCATCCTGTATGAACTGTTTTACACTAGTCATGTTGGGGTCCTTTATAGCTTGCTGTTCGATGTGAGTCAAGGCTTTGTGTTGAAGGCCGTACTTTGAGCTATAATGACCTTTTACAAATTGTGACTTGGATGAAGAGTTGTCTCAATGGAATTCATACCACATCTTCTCATATCTATCAACATGATTGATATGCTTTCACATTAAAGTTCTTCAAGTGAACAATGATATGTTTAGAGTTGATTTGAATTATTGTATATCAATACAAAGGTTTAGATAAAGAATTTCATTTTGAAACCCTAAAAAGTACAGTGTGGAGCAAATCTTTGGTAGCGATCATACCGATTGACTTACACATGATGTTATAGGACATGTTTCTTAATCTTAAAAGTGTGTACTTTTTGTGAATACATGTAGTTGTTTATCTTTTCCTTATTTTTTGTTTGACTTTGGTATTGTGTTTTTTCGAGTTATATGTTAAAAATGCATATTTTGAATGTCATCTCATTTGTTTATGGCAGTTGACCAATCTTGCCTTTATTACCTTTTCATGAAAATGCGGGTTTTTTTGTCAACTCTACCCTGTTCTAGTCATTCTAATGGTTTTTTTATTACATTTGTTGTATTCTGTTGGCTGCTGGGTGCCAATTATTATTAAATAAACCTATTCTGTCTATTTGGGTTGCTTTCCAAATTTTATCAATATAACGAAACTATAAACAAGTGTCATACGATTGGGTTGTTTAGATAGTTTTTCAACCCATAATGTTTTTTGGAAATGTCTGAACAAAATCGGGATTATGGCAGTTGTTTTTCACTGGTTATGTTGATTGATAGCTATTGATGTTTTCAATTTTGCTGGAATTTTCTTTTTTGAATCATACTTGGAGTCGGTATTTTTGTTAAACTTTTTTTTATATATAAATGAAAATATCGTATCTGATTTGTTCATTGTGTTTATTACTATAGAATGGTACTTTTTTGCTACTTTTTAGTTTTTTGCTTGTTTTTTGTTGAGGGCTCTCATCTTTTAAGTTAGAATGTTAATTGATACTCCATGAAGATACAATTTAGATAACATTTTGATAAAATACTACACAATACAATTTGTTTACAAAAACATATATGCAAATAGATCGAAGTAACTATAGTTTATATTTTCATATATTTGTATGTCTATATAGCGAGGCTGCCGCAAAAGGACACATTCTTGGTAGAGCTAACAGTCTGAAAGCAACAGATATTGTTACACCTAGAAACAATCTGAGCAGAGGTTCATTTGCAATTATTCGACTGTTGACACACATGTCAATGTTCATTGCAGCAAACTCTAACGTCCAGGTATAAAGTAAAATCTGTATTATATTTTATTGCTATCAGCGTAGTACAATTTAGAAAGTGAGATAATACAATTATAGGTCCAATGCAAAAGTTATTAATGTTAAACGCATGCGAAATCGGAAAGAACGTTTTTATCACAATCATCCATATAAGAAGTTTGAAACGATTTAACAATTTCGCCACAAAAATTCGAATATAACTATTGTTCAAAGACTATCATCTTTTTTCCAAGATTTATATATCTTTAATATTGGCAATAATGTTTTCAAAAACAAAATATGGTGAAATATGGAATTTTTATTATCATGATTATATTAACATGATTAAAGTGTAACTAAAATTGAAAGATAAGACGCGTAATATTCCCAAAGATAAAACCAGTGCTGTAATAAGTGAAAATTATAAGGAAATTGATTATTTACACATTTGTTAAAGTTTTCAAAAGTTTGTTGTCTTATATATTTTTATGTAGTTTATTTTTATTTTTATGGCACTTCTCAGTAAAAGTGGGTCTTTTTCATTGCCAAATGTCATTCAAAATTCTACATATGACTCTTTCGGTGATGAGTATTCCTGGTTTGACAATGTAAACTAAGAACTCAATATATTACACGAGACAATGTTAACAGCCATTTATTATCATCATCCATTGTCAAAATAATGCTTCTTTCATTTTAATACTTGTGTATTACATATCAATATTTGGTCTACACTTCAGTTTTGAATGAATCGTTATATTTTGTTTGTATTTTGATAATATTTTCGATTTTATTTATGTGGTTGCAGTACTTATGTATATTGTTATCTTTTAATTTGACAAATATTACCACGTGCTGATCATCTTATTTGCAGGCAGTACAGCAGATTATTAAAACAGAGCCAGATATACAGGAAACGGAAGTGTTTCAGTTCTTATTGGAACATATTAATTTAGATATTGAGTCACTTCATCAAATCTTAGGAAAAGGAAAAGATGACATTTTTCTTATGATACATTTTATACTCAACGATATTGTAATGATGCATACATCAGCTGCGATAGGTGAACATTTACAATTAAAAATTTTGTTTTTATAGTTGTTGCAACAAAACCTTCGATCTCAAACTGACTTGAAATATGTTTCCAATTTTTCTGTTACATGCTATACTTTTTAAAAATATGATAACGAAAATACCGAATTCCATGAAAAATTCAAAACGGAAAGTCCCTTATCCAATGGCAAAATCAAATGCTTAGGCACTACAATAGAATGGAAAACAACGATCATATTCCTGAATTGGTATATGCATTTCCTTATGGGGAAAATTTTGAATTAAACCAGGTGTTATAGCTAGCTAAAGATCGCTCTATATGACAGTCGCATAAAATTCCTTTTTGATGAAATCAATGTGGAACAAAACAAACAGAATTTAATAGGTATAAATGTAAAAAAAAATTGGATACAGCAGTCAACATTGTGCCATTTATCTTAATCAATATTAAAACGAATAAATATGTCAACAAAGAAACAAATGGCATATAGACAAAGCACATACGCAAAAAAGAAAGACATAACATTACCACATCACAACAACACATTGGGGGGATGAATAAGTACTGGTGTCTTCACTTTACTTTACTGCCATGGTATATTGAACCTCCTACTATAGACCTCTCATTTAAACATTCTAGCTATGTTTAACTCCTGTACATAGCAATAATAGTCCAATAAGTAGTTTGTATGTATTTAACATGCTGAAAAAGATGTTTTAAAATTTTTACTTAGCCATGGTGTTTTGACCCCCCTGCCATGGTATATTAAACCCCCTTACTATATGCCTCTAATTTTAAAAATTCTAGCTATTCTAACTCCTTTATATAGTAATAATACTCCAATTATTAGTTTATATGTATTTAACAGGCTGGAAAAGCTGTTTTGAAATTTTTACTTATCCATGGTATTTTGAGCCCCCTGCCATAGTATATTGAACCCCCTACTATAGGCCTCTAATTTCAAAAATTCTATCTATTCTAACTCCTATATAAAGTAGAAAATACTCTAATTAGTAATTTGTATGTACCTTGCCATGGTATATTGAACCCCCTACTATAGACCTCTAATTAAAAAAATTCTAGCTATTCTAACTCCTTTGCATAGTAATAATACTCCTCTAGGAAGTTTATATGTATTCAGCATGCTGGAAAAGATATTTTGAAAATTTTACTTAGCAATGGTATTTTGACCCCCCTGCCATGGTATATTAAATCCCTACTATAGACATCTAATGAAAAAAATCTAGCTATTATAACTCCTCAATATAGTAATAATATTCCAATAAGTAGTTTGTTTGTATTTAACATGCTGGAAAAGATGTTTTGAAAATTTTACCTAGCTGTGGTATTTAAACCCCTCCTACCATGGTATATTGAACCCCCTACTAAATACCTCTAATTTCAAAAATCTAGCTAATCTTTTTCCTAAAAATAGTAATAATACTCCAATTAGTAGTTTGTATGTATTTAACATGCTGAAAAAGATGTTTTGAAAATTTTACATAGCCATGATATTTTGACCCCCCCCCCCCCCTGCCATGATATATTGAACCCCCCAACTATAGACCTCTAATTTCAAAAATTCTAGCTATTCTAACTCCTTTATATAGTAATAATACTCCAATTAGTAGTTTCTATGTATTTAACAGGCTGGAAAAGCTGTTTTGAAATTTTTATTTATCCATGGTATTTTTACCCCCCTGCAATGGTATATTGAACCCCCTACTATAGACCTCTAATTTCAAAATATTCTTGCTATTCTAACTCCTATTGAAAGTAAAAATACTCCAATTAGTAGATTGTTTGTATTTAACATGCTGGACAATATGTGTTATGAAAATTTTACTTAGCCATGGTATTTTAACCCCCCTGCCATGATATATTGAACCTCCTATTACAGACCTCTAATTTCAAAAATTCTAGCTATTCTAACTCCTTTATAAGGTAATAATGCTCCAATTAGTAGTTTATATGTATTTAACTGGCTGGAAAAGATGTTTTGAAATTTTTACTAATCCATGGTATTTTGACCCCTGCCATGGTATATTGAACCTCTTACTATAGACCTCCAATTTAAAATTGTACTTTAGATAATCTGCTATACTATTTATCTAAAACAGGCGGGATTCAATTTTCCATGGTGGGATTCAAAATACTATATGGGAAAAATGACCCCGGGGTCAAAATACCATGCGGTATAATGACCCCGGGGTCAATTTTCCATACGGTATTTTGACCCCGGGTTCACTTTTCAGGGGGTTCAAAATATCATATGACACCGGGCTACGCCAAAAGGGAATTACCACAAAATGAACTAAACAGTAAAGGTTAATAATTCACAAAAATAAGCAAAATAACACTTTTACACGTAATTTAGATGATAAACAACGTCAGTACATAGAATATATACTTCAAGATCATCATGTTTTATTTTATGAAGTTGATGCAGAATATTTATCAACAAGGTCTTGGTATCTTCCGATGAACGTTTTTAAACAATTACAAGATTTTCTATAACATAACCCTGGTTCATTGACTTTCTGTTCAGTTTAAAAAGTAAAATCACAAAAATACTGAACTCCGAGGAAAATTCAAAAAGGAAAGTCCCTAATCAAATGGCAAAACCTAAAGCTCAAACAAATCAAACGAATGGATAACAACTATCATATTCCTGACTTGGTACAGGCATTTTCTTATGTAGAACACTTCTCTTTGCAATAACTTGCAATGAATTGATGAACACCGATGGTTTTATTAAATAAAATATCCATGAGTTATGTAGTGAATATGTTCTATCTATATTTGTATAAAATTTCAGGAGAAAATAATCCTGACGAATTGTGCAAATTGAGCACCGAAAAAAGCCGATGTGAATGGGAGGATTTATTTGACCAGAAATTCATTTTTCCTGTGTTGCAGGTAATGTGCATATTATTTTGCCATTTCTGTAATACATAAATTAGCATTTTTCCTATTTTTAGAAATGAGGTTTGATTGCCAATAAGACAACTATTCACTAAAGTTAAATTGACGTGGATAAAAGAAACTAGATAACCTAGGGAAGAGCACAACTTTAAAATAAAATAAAAAAGATAAGATTTAAAAGGTTTAGATCGGTACGAAGCACAAACAAACTAAGATATAAACAATAGACGCAAATCACTTTACAAGAGTGCTCACAGTTACTAAAAGCTACTTCAAAGCCATAAACAACAAATGAATAGATCGTGTGCACCCAGATTGACGAATCAATCAGTGAAACGCCTAGCTGATTTAGTATAAGACGATATGAACAGTCTTAGAAAGGCATTTAAAATTGGGTTAAATTTTATTGGTTGCTAGATCTGCGAAGAGAAAACAAGATTTATTAAGATATTTTACATAACAAATATACATGATAACAATGAAATAGTTCGTTTAATTATGGATATATATATATATATTGTTGGGCTGTTATTTAGACGAATAATATATATATATATATATATATATATATATATATATATATATATATAGTGATAAATAAAAAGTCCTTGGTACAGAAAGTATAGTTTAAAAATAAAAAAACACAAAAGATCTCATTATAAATCGAACATTGTTTCTGTTAGCACTTTCACCGCATCTCCTACGGTTCACCAGACAGAATTGTTATCGTTAATAGTAACGACTTGTGACGTTACCTAATAGTAACGTCTTGCACTAGTTTGTATATATTACGGAATCATATTCACGGACCGAATTTCACTTCCTATTTAAAGTCGGATTGTACAGTTCAATAAAATAGTGTTCCTTGGCTTCACGCGGAATTTTATCTTTCTATCTTAAAAAAGGAATATATTTCAAATTTTCCCTTTCCACATTTGTCAAAGAGTTCAGAACATGGAGAATTCCTAATTGACGGGTCCTTTATCTGCTGTTTGTGAACTCTAACTCTATCAATTAGTCGATAAGGTAACGTCACAAGTCGTTACTATTAACGATAACAATTTTGTCTGACGAACCGCTAACAGAAACAATGTTCGATTTATAATGTAATTTTTTGTGTTTTTTATTTTTAAACTATATATATATTATATTTGCCTTCCGGTTTAATTGATCCGTTCATCCTATTTTGACTCTTCAAAATTCAAGAGTCTATCCTAAATTGAGGTAAATTATGTGGCCTTCCAATAACCTTTTCGATTCCTAACATCACTGAAGAAACATTAATTGTCGAAATCCGGATATGGTGTACAAAAAATCTTTGCACCTTTGTTTGCGGTATACCATCTTTGCCGCAAGTTTATTGTTTTATGTTTGGTATTAAATTTATAGTTAAGATCCATTTATTACACCTTGTGATCCGTTTATTTGGCAATCGCCAATGGCAGTTAGCAGGGTTTTAGAACATTTGTTGTTCGACTTGTTAGTCAAATGCGTTTTGTTAAAATATACTTTTTCACTTTTTTGGAAAATGTTTGTGCTGTATTTAGATCCCTCTAACAAGAAATTTGTTTTGCATGCACACGTGTGAACGTTGTTTTCAATTGAGACTTGTATATATATATATATATATATATATATATATATATATATATATATATATATATATATATATATATATATTTTAATCTAGCGCTAGACCACTCTACCACCTAGGCTCTACAATAATAAAGCTTTCGGTGGCCGGGTGTTACCTTTCCTCGTCAGTTTTAATCTAGCGTCGTAACACAGTACATGATATATGAGGCATGAAGATGGAATTGTTACAGATCAGCTGAATTATCTATTGTAAAGGATCCTACAAATTAATGTAAGATGCATTCAAAGAAATAATGTATATTATAAGTACGTCTGAACCAGTGACGACTCTACAACAGATTTTATCCATCGGATCACCAGGGATTGTGATACAAGGCTGAAAACACATTCTGTATATATAATTCGTCTAAATAACTATATATGAAAACAACAGTCCGGTATTGTGCTTTGTATTATTACAATATGAATTCGCAATTGGCCAGTTAACAGTACAGGTTTAAAACAAAAGGAACAGTAACTCACACATGCATTATATATATTATTCATGTTTATTCTCAGCTAAAATGTGTAGACAAAAATGAAACAAGTATGGGAGGAAAATTGAGTAATTCAATCTTTATTTGTACTGCAAACGTCGAACAATGTTTTACTATTTCACTAGAGTAAATTGTATTTGCTAAGAAATACAAATTAATAAAACAAAACTGTAATTATAGAATGCATCAAATAGGCATACCAAATGAATTTCTTGGCACTGATGTCCAAAGTAAAAAACTTAAAATTAAAATAAATCAAATGCTACTTGGTGATGTAAGGAAGAAACCGCTATATATTTATATTACTATCAATTACTTTTTTGCACAAAAGTATCCCGAGAATGTTATCAGTTTGTATAAATCTCCTATTCAAAATATTTCTAATCTTGTCTGAAAGTTAAATATCAATTAATCTCCTGTGTATTTTCATTAAAGACGCATTAAGGACAAACATTTTTGATACATTGAAAGATTGAAACCGTATTTCAGATATTATTACGATATATTTTCGATATTCAACGTTACGGCGAAACAATTTGTTTATTTTTGTAGTTTAAAAAAACCTTTCATGTGTATTACTGCAGTATTCTAGTGATCGTTAAAGCCAGGAGTATATCGTGTAATTGTTTTTTATCATTTGTTATTGTGAATATGAACTCTGTCGTAAGTCTCTCAATCCGAGTTTTTCCAATTTTATAAGTCGTCGTTCTTTTCTAGCATTCAGAACAAAACATGTCGATATAGTCTTTGTCAAATATCAAAGATCGTGATATACTTGACTTTCGTTTGGAATCGGTTTTGATGGATTATCTGATGCATGCTACATCATACCATTTGAACGTATATGTATTTTATTTAATTTAAGAATATTGAGAACGTCCTGCAGAAGTGCAACGATAAGATTGCTGGTGACAAGAGGATGGGTAATAATTATTGTTTTTTGTAGTATGATAGATTGAAAACCTTATATATCTTTATATAAACATGAAGTTATGAAGCGTATTTCATATAAGGAAAAAGGATAAATCTGTTTTTTTTTTTAATATTTTGCATTTTGCTCACATGTTTAATCATTATCACAAACTTATAACTATAAATATTCTTGAAAAGATAAAACATTCGATCTCTCATTTACAATGTTTACAAATTTACCAAACATCATAGTTTAAATGTAATTGTTTAGGAGCTCTTCCATTGGTTTTGTTACTGCATGAAAAAGATGACCAAACAAACATTGATGATAACAAAAATCTCCAAGAAATCCCTGAAGTTTGGAGATTCAGATCTTGGATATCAATTGACCATTTGACCCAGATGTTAAATACTAAAGAAAAGACGTGTCCACTACTGCATCTGTTCTTGATGGAGGTACGATAATATCCTAGTTATTAAAATGGTTGTTTTGTATTTATATTATAACTAAGACTGTTCTGTATATCAATCGTGATTTTTTTCTGAGATTACATTTCTTTCAAAAAGACCAGGACAAATAGGTTCCAGAAATAATTGTTTCTGCTATTATTTCTTAACATTTATTTTCTTGAGAAAATAAGAGAACTAGATTATTGCTATTTCCTTAACTTCAACAGGATAACTTATTTCAATTAGATATTTCTCTGTATATACGATAAGATAATGTGTATCAGCATATATGAAATTTCTATGGGGCTTATAATGCAAGGCATATGCAATTACGACACTGGTTTACCTGTATTATTTTCAAATTATATGTTTGCCCAAAATGTGATCTGTTCAATAACCGTTGGTTGACAGTTATGGAATATATGTCTCACAGTTGGTGAAGGATATGTCCCAATTGTTGTAACCGCAACTCTGATCTCTATTCCTCGAATGTGACCTACCGAATTAGACCTGTCACCGGATTTAAACTTACATGATCAACAAAACGGATGCCAAATGTGGGGCAGAATATGCGTATCCTTCCGGATCACCTAAGATAACCTCTGGTGTCCGATTAGATTCGTGTTGCTTGGTCCTTAGTTTTCTATGTTGTGTTTTGTAGACTACTGTTCGTTTTTGACTTATCAGGTTGACAATCTCTTTTGTGTCTTCAGCCTTCATTTTTTTATGAAAATTCTCTCCAAAATTACGAAATAAGGTACACGGCCAGGTTAAAAGGAATTAATTGTTCGCTTAGGCGACAAAAGATTTTGTTTTTTGTTCTACTATTCCATTCCCGTTGAAATAAGGTTAAATTCTGAATTTTACACCATTTGGTATGAATATATTAGCAAAACACATATGATGCCGCAGTTTGTTTTGTTTTTTTGGAGAATGACATACCTCTTTAATTCTGGACGATTGTAAATAGTATGAATGAAGAACTTCCCTTGCATTAGTTTTTGCATAGAACTATGCAAATTAAAAAGAGTTTCCTCGAATTTTTTCGCTATATTTACACCATTAACCGATTTTCATTTTCGCTATTTCAATTTGTTTTTCTAATTATCAGAGCAGCAGCAAATTTATTTAATTCTACCTATTAATGTGGATGTAATAACTAGGCAACGCCTGGCATCATAGTTAACTTCTTTTTGAACACCAATTAACTTAAATTGATTGTGATTTAGAATTTACTTGACTTAAATGTGACAGACGTAGAATAGAACATTATAAAAGTAGTGTGCCCTCTTAGATAGTTTTGGTCACAGTTATGTCAAGGGGTACATTTGTATTGAGACCTGACTGGCTTCGTTCTAATATATATATATATACTTTTGTTACAGACCATTTTCTGTATATAAATGCATATGTGATGTTGGCATATGCTTTGATTGATTTGAAGTGAACTGTAATTTAAAATGATATTCAAACAATTTTAGACAGAATTTTTGTATAATTTAAAATGATCTATTTTAACATTCCTAGTCATAAACATAAAAATTTAAGTCCGAAGGATTTGACATTAACTCAAACTTTAACCAGGTTTCATCCACCATTTCCTGCATAGGAAAATGCCTGTACCATGCCAGGAATATGACAGTTGTTATCCATTCGTTTGATGTGTTTGAGCTTTTGATTTTGCCATTTGATTACGGACTTTCCGTTTTGAATTTTCATCGGAGTTCGGTATTTTTGTTGTTTTACTTTTCACACAAATAATTTTTAAAAAATTTGTAAGTGATCAAACCAATTGCTAACTATTTTTTCTGCATTATATTGTCATACCTGCGATTATCGTTTTAACTTTTTTGTTTCACTGCTTTTAGGATCATCATCTGAGAGTTCTGCGATTTATACCAAATATTATCAGACTTCAGAAAATGTTGATGCAAAAATACAGCCGAAAACTTGATAGAGCCGAAGGAACACTGATAACAATAGAGATTGTAGAACAACAACTGGAACAAGGTTATCTCAAATTATTTTGCTTTATATAATAATAAAACTTTGCACGCTAGATTGTGAAATCATATCATCTTACAGCTTCTATAAATTTTAGTATAATCTACAATTTGTAATATATATGAAACAATTTATATTGATCAATGAGCAAACAGGCGGTTATCTTCTGCTTTCTTTTAACTAATTAGCTCCTCTTAATATATGTAATTGTCTGAAGAATTTTGGAAATATCAATGAAACAGTTGATATGATTTAATAAAATAATCCGTGAAGGGAAGACTAGAAATTTTCAGAATTTAAGAAAACCGATAGCGACAAATAGGATACATTTTCTTTAAACTTGTAAATGTTAAGTTTCAAATGTAATGTCTGTCGTCATGGAGTTTGGGCGAGCAATTCAAAGTGTGTCTATTTCATAGCATATTTCCATGAGAAAATATCTTAGTATGCCTAAATTTTACCATGGTAATGTGTCAACGAAAATTAATTACACTGACGAGTATGGTATGCATTAAAGGGCAAACGATACAGTTACAGGGAAAGGGTGTAATGACGTTACTAACTTAAATGTAATTGTTTTGCGACGTAAAACTGTGACATATCGGTAAAAAATGCATTTTTTCGACTGATTTTATCATAAGTTTGAAAACGAGTACATTGACCCCTCTTTTTTAAATTGACATTTGGTTTGATTATGTATGAAAAATGTTTGTAACAATTTTTATGGACCGATCATCGATGAATTTTTATTTTGAATTAGATAAATATACAGCAAAAAATGCCGTTTTTTTTCCTCAAATCACGAAGTGTTCATACAAAATGGCTGATATGCCAATTTTCGGTTTAAAATCACCGTGGGATCAAAACTGTATCGTATGCCCTAAACATTAAACAGATTAAATAGCACACAACCTTATTAATATTCAACCACACTTGGTCGGTTTTCATGCATCTTTGACAAGGGTTGCCATTTGACCCGTTTTTTTCTAAATAATATTTTCTAGCTTAAAAATACAAAAATAATAATAAAGAATCTACAGTGGGATGGGACATCATTTGATAGGGTTTTTTAAAATGATAAATCAATGAACTCAATCCGTTAGCATGTAAAAGATGAACCCGGCTTCCTCTTCACGATAAGTTCTTGTCCATTTTTAGACTTTTTTCAAAATATTCTTGCTGGAAGTTTTCAACAGACTTCTATTTTATCCTTACGTGGAATTGGTATCTTTTGAATTAATAAATATGCAAACTTCAAGAACAAAAATGTTTTGTGCCTCAATCAAATCAAATGCTTTGTGACTATTTATCTGGAATTGAAAAGATGCATTTAATATTTTATCTCCATACGTTAATCTTGATATACATTAGTATTTAACATACAAACAAATCATATAATTATTCAATTTGTAACATGCGTTGGGACCAGCAAACAACTGTTAGATATTTAAAAAACCCAAGTGTAATCGTTTTAGTCCAGTCCATAATAAAGATGCATTTCTATTGTTGAACTTGATATCATTGTGCAAACGTTTATTCGTGTTATCAGTCTACCTTTCCTACAGGTGCATTGTACTTAACCAAGATTTAGAATTAATCTATACATACAATAGTTAGAAGTCACATTTGAGAGTAGCTTTAATCGGTCTTAAATGTGAATAAACAACGATCTTTTGTCTCTTTTCTGAAATGAGAAATTGTATACCAAATCATATGTGTACTATAATTGACTCAATTGTGCTCTAATCAATGCCTTTGCATAAGAAATTTAAATTAAAACTATATTACTGCTATGGTTCAAGCTCTTGTTGAGGAACTGATAGCATTGCATGGTGCAAGTGATTCAAAATAAAATATACGAACAGAATTTAAAGGGGGAAATCGACCATGTGTTGTATGAAATAATACAAAAATTAGGAGATGAGGTGTGATTGCCAATGCAACAACTATCCACCAAAGTTCAAATGCAGTGGATTTAAGCAATTATAGGCAACCGGACGGTCTTCAACAATGAGAAAAATCCATACCGTACATTCGGCTATAAGAGTGTTTTAATTATTTTCATTATTATCATTATCACTCCTATCATAACTTTTAGAAAATGTTGTGTTAATATCAAATTTACTGGTTTTTATCAGATGGTAAACTAGAGGAGTTCAAAACCCTTTTGCAAAGCTATACTGAAGCATGGGAAGCTGTCAGGCAATCACTTGAGACATACAGTATGTATTTACATGCAATATTATTATTTATCGAAGGAAACATCTTTTTATGCCGTTTTTAGAACCCGGTTGATTCTTTTTGGCTTTGGCCTTTCATCCAAAAATCAATATGTTTATCATAGATTAAAAAGTTTTAAAACCATAATGTAGTATTTATCTTGTTTTAATTCAAGCAAAAGCGTTTTGATCAGAGTTGGAATGCTTGATATCTTTTTACAACCTGCAAGTTTCCAACAGATTATAAGCAACGAAAAGGCAATATTCTCTACTTAGATTTGCTTTACTTCTATTTATACATGTAATTTTTGAAGAACAAAAAAAGGAGAGCGTATATAGATGATTAAATTATTTTACATTATCTTCAAATGAGACATCACTGATGTAAAATGGTATAAACACACAAATCCATCCTTTATGATGGGCTTTTGATCAAATTGACATGACAGGGAAACATAAACAAACAGCAACCTTTTTTAAATTTGTCCTGATCACATATCTAGGATATCCATGAATGCCAACGATATGAACACATGATTTCGATTAAAAGAATAAAGACCAAAAATATACTTCATATTCGTTATAATATCTACGATTCATGTATAGGAGAGAATGTTTGTTTTTATCGTCTAAAAATTCCAAAAAAAAATTGCGTAAAAATGACACAGTATAATGTACTCATAATTTCAGCATGCCGGATTAGCACTGGAAGAATAAGAGTCAATAAAGCCCATTGCAGAAAGAGGATAGATGGTAAAACACCTGTATCATACCTTTTACCAACCTACAGAGATTCCGGATTATGTGGTTTTATACTGCTTTGGTTCCTATTAGAAAAGCAAAATACATTCCTGGGCGATTTTTGCAGAGAAAAAGGAGTGTTGTAAGTCAAATGTACAATTAAAAATGTTTTATTTCATACCCAACATTTATTTAACACATTATTATGTTCCTGTCGGTTTAAGTCCGGTTTGTTCCAACAGTACAGCTTTATATTAATCATGTTAATGATGAACTAGTTCATACTGTGTTATGATTATTCCTTTTTCATATTTTTCTATATAGACACCACTGAGAAAATAGCTTAAGGTTGAAAATAATTCGAGCCTAAACATATGTGTGAAAACTCATAATTAACTGATGCAGTGGCCGGTTATGCCAAGAAATTAATTTGAAGACAAAATGATACATATACCTAAGAATGGACAAGTTCGTTGTGTCGTTGACTACTTTCAAAAACTATCGAAAGGAACTAGACTTTCACAATTTAGATATTAAATCATTTAAGGACAACTATAAGAAAACAATACACTTTATATATATATAACTGAGAGGCTTAAATATGTTCTCTGAGCATTAAAACTATATAAAAATACTTTTATTCAAGACGTTTCGTCCTCTACATGTGATTGTGTATTTAATGGAAAAAAAATATGTAAGCAAAAACGTACACAACATTTCTGGTTTTCTAAGCAAGCAAACTATTTTATATGTGTTGTCTTTTCACGTATACACGTTTTCGCTAAGTAAATTGGATGAAATAAGTAAGTCACACCGATTTTAAATCTAGACAGGCTTCTCCTCATGCTTTAATGTGCTACACGTTTTTTTCTCCTCATGCTTCAATGTACTTAGTGTCCTTTTTTTGTTTGGATGTATAATTACCCGATTACCTTCCACTCTGTGTTTTTGTAAGATTTATTTCTATTTGTATCCATCTGATGAGTTCAGCCTTTTTCAACTGATTTTTATAGTTTTTTCTTATGCTGTGCTGTTACACCACTGTCCCAGGTTAGGGGAGGGTTGAGAGCTCACAAACATGTTTCGTTTTACCCCGCCCCATTCTTTATGTGCCTGTCCCAAGTCAGGATTCTGTGGTTCAGTGGTTGTCGTTGGTTTATGCCTGTCATATGTGTTTTTTCGTAAATTGTTGTTAGAAATTAGGCCGTTAGTTTTCTCAATTGAATTCTTTCATATTTTCATGTCAAGGCATCGATCTCGGTAGATTATATTTCAGAAATGATTTAATCTAGAATATCTTTAATAAGATTTAAGAGTGGACGTGAAAACTCATCAAATATACCAGACATATAATTTGGTATGCCAGATGTTTTTTCGTCAAAAGTGAAAAATGAATAAAAAAAGTAGGAAGCTTAAGGCTAAATCAAATACGATTTTTTTTCTACAGGTTAGAAACCCTTAGTGTTTCGAATAATTCAACAATTCATAAAAAGAAAATTAAAAAAAAATTAAAAAAATCAATTATTTTTATGTCAACACAAAAGGGCTGACTACCGAGCAGGCTTTATACCCGGTGGAGCATTATTCAAACATCAATCATAGAAATCATAGTTATTTGTCAAAATATAAATATATGAGCAACATCTATCCCAAAAAAAGATACTCTACACACATAAACTTATTTGTTAAATACATTTTGAAGCAAATTATCTTTTTGGATAAAGCTGTTGATCATACATAAATACTGATGACATGATCACAATGCAGCTATTTTGTAGTTGTTTCTATTATACAGTCGATTTAGTTTGAATCCCTACTGGTAGTTTATGAAACAAAATGCAAAATATGAATACTTATGTTCGACAGACTAATGTTTAATGCATATCTGAAGGATGTCATTTGTAATATTTATACAAGTTTTTGAGTTTTGAATACAAGAGCTAAAGATAGTGGCCTTATCAAACATTCTCCTTTTTATTAGACTACGCATAACATTGGAAAACCCATGTGATAAACAACTGCGAAAATCCAACATCCTTCATCCCCCTCCTGTGAGAGAGTTACGTTTATGAAGGATCACATCAATATCATATCAATTGACGAATTATTGAAAGCATTATTATACTAATTTACAATTTTTTGTACTTTTTGCAATGCGACGTGTGCCACTTCTTGACCTTGAACTGATCAATTCTCAGCGCACATTTATGTTTTGGGTTGAATTCAATACACAGTTTGTGTTTGTCTGTGTATTGTTTATTAATTGTTGATTGCCTTTTGGGTATTTTTTCTATTTTGTCCGTATACGTCTTCAAAACAATGACGGTTAGATCATAGAGGTAAAACAAGTCTTATAAAAAGAAGATGTGGTATGATTGCAAATGAGACAACTCCACTAGAGACCAAATGACAAAGGATTTAACAAATATAGGTCACCGTATGACCTTCAACAATTAGCAAAGCCGATACCGCATAGTCAACTATATGAAGCCCCAGATGGATACATATAACAAAAACACAGAGTGAACGTAGACGTGTACTTATACATCCCGGCAACAAAATGGCACTAAATACAAATCTGATTGAACTCGCAGTTACTGACAGCTAGTTCAAAGTCAATAACAACTAATAAAAATCATGCATTTAATCTAAAAATAGGGTGATGTGATATAATTGCCAATAAGGTAACTATCCACCAAAGTTCAAATGAAGTGGATGTAAGCAATTATAGGCAACCGTACGGCCTTCAACAATGTGAAAAACTCATACCGTCTGGTCGGCTGACATGAAATGCTCTTTGACGAAAAAAACATCTGGCGTACCAAATTATATGTCTGGTATATTTGATGAGTTTTCACGTCCACTCTTAAATCTTATTAAAGATATTCTAGATTAAATCATTTCTGAATTATAATCTGCAGAGGTCGATGCCTTGACATGAAAATATGAAAGAATTCAATTGAGAAAACAAACGGCCTAATTTATAACAACAATTTACGAAAATTTCTGAAACATAATCTGCAGAGATCGAAAACATGTACTGAATACAAATTGAGCGAAACTTTTTTTTCTTCTGTAGATACACCAGTTTACCACGGGTTAGTGTAAAAGATATATCAGCAGCGCATTTAATCAGTTATCATCCAGACAAGGACTTATTACCAATGGTATTAGCAAACTGCAATTACTCATTTGAAGTGGGTCAGGGAACAAAAGTCGAATATAATTTTAACAACCTTGAAAGACAAGTAATGGATAGATTTTTGTTCTCCAAATCAGTAATAATCAACTTGAATGAGGTAAGAAATGAAATTCATTTAATTATATTTTGCAATGATATAAATTATGGTTAGTAATTTGTATAATTTGCATGGAAACACGGAAAAATATAGTCTTGACGGCAATCTTTTCTTGCTTTAATGATATGTGAATAGAATAATTCAATTGTGTTGTAATACATTAAGTGATGTTTAAAACTTATTGTGTAGCTTTTACGGTATGTATCATTACAAAGCTTTATGCAATATACATGAAGTAAAATACATTAGAAAAACAAAAGTTGAACAATTTGAACAGAACAGTTGAAATAGGACAAACCAAAACCTACCCAATTCTTCAATAAGAGTGTCTTTACAGAAAATTGACCCAGCAATTTTTTTATTGCATTTTATTTTGAGGCCTTAACATAACTTTAACGGTACCAATTTTTCTGCACCAGATGCACAATAAATGTCTCTTCAGTGATGCTCGGGACCAAACTATTAGAAAATAAAAAGCTTATAAAAAAGATGTAAAAGTCAATTGCATGAACAACAAGCGCTTGATGTTGGATAGTGAAATAAATATGTGTTTCAACAACTTAACATAAATTTTGTACCACCCTCTTCACTTTATGGACAGTATGGCTTTCATGATGTACTACCACTCTGATTACAAATTTCAATAACTCCATTAAATGTTAATATTTGTTTGTAATTTTGTAGATAGAGATGTTTACTTACAGAGCTGAATATACTAATGGTGTCGTACTGGAATCATTATCCGAACGAATAGATCAAGTATGTGCAAAAAACAAACAAAGAACTATCAATTTGATTTAACGTCGGTTGTCCTTTCATTTTGTTTTATATTCATAATTACAAAATAGAGAATGGATATGGGGAATGTGTCAACGAGACAACAACCCGACTAAAGAGTAACAAACAGCCAAAGGCCACCAAAGGGTCATCAATACAGCCAGAATATCCCGCATCCTGCGGGCTTCAACTGGCCCCTAAAAAATAATGTATACTTGTTCAGCAAAATAGACGCCAAACTAAACTCCAAAACATACAAATTAACTATAATTTACAAAAATACATACGACTAATAAAGGATAGAGGCTCTTGACTTGAAACAGGCGCCAAAATGCACAAAATTGTTCGATAAAAGCGATTTCTCCTTAAAAATAAACTAACTACATTGTAGTATGTTTCCTCAGTATATAATTTTCCCCTCAGCATCATTATGTTAAGCATGTTTAAATAGTATTTCAGAAAAGAAAATCTCTATGTTTAATATTTATCAAGTTTATGTCCATATATTCCGATAAACATGGATTCTGTCTGTATTTCAGATTTTAGTGAAATAATTTAAATTTCTTTTCGATGTAAACACTTATTGCTTTCGTTCATTCATTCTTGTCTTTCAATAGTTTTAATCTACATTGCTATTCAAAGACGTTGCTCTATTTCATATGAAACTTAATACCTATTGGCATGTTTAGTAACTTATTATGTTTTATGTATTTATCCCCGCATCATTCTTATAATGCAATCTACATCTATTGGGGGGACTTGTGTATTTGGTTGGTTCTTTTTTTTTCAGCTTGTGTTTAAAATTACCTTACAATTTGTGTTCTTTTTTAACAAATGCAGAGTGTATAGTTTAATTTTAAAGTATGGAAATAGTTATTTTGTTAATTGCATTGTGTTGGTACTAGCCAAAGTTCGAGTGCTAAATAAATATGTTTCTTCATGAATGGAGACAAAGACACTTTCTAGCTAATAGTGTGCATTCATACACTTTCTTTTTTCGGCATGTGTGCTTCAATTGTACGCAGTGTAATCGAAATCCTGTTTTTTACATTTATTTCCTTATACTAGTATGCAACAATGAAATGTGTGTAATACTATACTGAAATCAATGTAATTTCTATTCATTCTCGTTTTAACATGTATTTAATGAAGATAACTTGAAGTACTTTGTTTTGGTTTAAACTACTTATCAATGGTAAGCATACTGTAGTAAGTATATTTCAGTATTGTATTTTCAGTGTATTTTTGAGCTGATACAGTATATAGTTCGGTCTGTTATTGTTATTTTATTGTTTTTCAATACATTTTTATTTCTATTCTGAAAGACAGAATCTATTTTTCCTTCATTTTCAGATAAGAATTCCCCAAGCAACAAAAGTTCAAATATGTTCAGAACTCAGAAAAATGTCTTATCCCGATCTTTGTGAAAGCTTGGATAAGCTTGACATTGCCATCAGTTTTCTGAAATCGGTAGGACCCGAGAAACCAGACCACTTATTGAGTGATTTCATGACAAAGACTTTGAAGACAGAGAGGCCTTTTCCGAGCCAGAAGGTATGGATTCCCTCTTTAAATTAGTACTCTCGTCTCGTGTACATAACACGACAGATTTTAATATCATTTATATATTTCAACACAGGTGGATTGATTGATTGATTGCTTGTATGTGTTTAACGCCAATTCAAGCACATTTGGCTATATAATGGTTGCCAAATTGTTGGAGGGTACCATAGTACCCAGAGAGAATCACCGACATTCTGCAAGAAAACTGGCAATACCATTCAATTAAGATCGGAATTGAACATAAAGCGGCGTTCGACCTCAGTGTGTACAGGCTAGTTAACTCTGTTGTTGAACTACTTAGACAACTCATCAACCGAGGTCCATATTCTAGCAGCTAACGTTTCTTTAGGCTGGTCCTTTTCGTTAGGGCTTTTGGATCATTAATTTATAGCCTATTTGGGTTATTTAATCCATGGCTATGGTGTTATCTACATCTAGCTAATATTACCCCTTTAAAAAAAATGAAAACAACACGTTATAAATTTCATGCGTCCGAGGCACTTTTCTGGATTTACTTTCATCAGGAATGCTCAAAGCCGAATATTAAAAGCCCAGAATATATAATAACCTAAACAGTTGAAGAGTTATATAAATGGGGTTACCTTGCAATGATGGATTACGTTTTGTAATGTTCCAATCATGACTTTGATCTGAATAGCAGCAATACAACATTATTTTTTTGCTTTAGATTTTATCAATTATGTCAAGTATTTTGTTTCATTTATTAATACGTCATATGTTTTGTTATTTATAATAGAACAAAGTAGGTATAGAACGTTTGGTGAATATTTATTGGTTTTGAAACCATGAGTGCAAATGTAATTTGAACATTAACCTAAAACTCTTTATACATTTAAAAAAAAACAATTCATACGGAATTGCCTGTACCAAGTCAGAAATTTAACATTTGTTTTCCATTCGTTTGATGTGTTTTAGCTTTTGATTTTGCCATTTCTTAACGGACTTTCCGTTTTGAATTTTCCATGGAGATCGGTATTTTTGGCAATTTTACTTTTATTTTGTTGATTCATTTATGCATATTTAAAATCTGTTGTTCGTCAATGTTGTTAATCGAAATATACGTTGTTATAATATAAAGCGAATAAACATCATTCCAGTGTCGATAATTGGTTTTGAAGTTCAAATTAGAAAATAGTTGTTCAGATCAAATTTTGAAATTTGAAAGTGTGCATGTTTTATAAGTGTAATTGCTTATTCTTTCAGGCACAACAATCGATTACATGCAGTCAGACGATGTCTTGGTGGATGAATCTTGCATTAGAAAGAGCGAAAGCTTTACTTAGATACAAGCAGGTATAGACATTTTATCAAGTATAATTTCCGATATACATTTCACTTCATTTAAAAAAAAGCAGCACATTTTATAAATATTTGATTTGAATTTTATTGTTGTTTGTTTTATGTTTTGTTTTATTTTTTTAAAACGGTAAACTAATTTCAAAACATTGCAAATCAAAACTTTAAATAAACAAAACTCTAGTTGTTGAAAGTTGACCCCGCCATGTTGTTATTGTTAGCAGTACCATGATTTATTGATCTATTGATGTAATTGCTTTTTGGGGTGCCTTTTTGCCTGTCATGTTATTAATTTATTGATATCCTTGCGTTTTGGTTTCTGTTCTAGGTAAAACATACGTAACTGTTCGTAGCTAAATTTACATCATATACCAGATATTTATAATGTGTGTTTGTGATTGTTTGTGTGTTTGTATTCGAAAAAGTAATACATGTATATTGTTATTTCGTACAAGGAACCATTTGAAGGATTAGCTGATAAATTCAATGTACTCCTAACTGATGAACAGCAAACAATTGTAGATGAATTATTCAGTACTTTGCCAATCGAACCAACGGCAAACTTTATAGAACTGATGTTTGAGTTCATTATTTTGAGGATAGACATTCCAGAGGACCAAGAAAGTGAAGACTATATTGACATTTCCAACTCCAGGTAATTCTTTGATATTTTTGGTGCTTTAACTTATGCCACGTAATGTGCATGTAATTCTTTAAATTTTTTACCGTTGCTGATTATTTTTTGTTAACATTGAAAACATATTTGGAATACACATCTATTCATCAGGATTTCAACTTGTTGGTATTTGATGAACCAGCAGATTGTTCATAGTACATTCCATGGACATTCCGCCTCCCTAATTAATCACATTTGAACTTGATTGGTTTTTGCCACTAAATACAAGAAACAAGAACGATCTGCTATATGTACTTTATGCTATATATACCATCGTTAAATGAAAATATAGAAAAGGTAAGCAAATAAAACCAAGAAGGACCGTACACAGTTTTTTTTCTTACTCCTGGCTATTTACTATTAGATGAGCAATGTTATTGATACTTTTGACCTCCAGCAGGTAATTATGTCATATCGAAGTATCGACATTTGGTCTAAATGCGAACAAAAAAATTATACAGGAACAGAAAGGCTTTTTATCTGTGTTTTGTGGGATTCGTGTTGCTCCTCTTTATGTGAGGTATTTAGTGAACTGTTGCTAGTCTTCTAAACGTTTTACAGCAATCTTTTTTTTTCTTTTTATCAAACAGGCTGTTCATCGCACAATTGAAACACGTTTCCTTTTAACGGGCAATAATTAAAGTTATCGTTTTGTTTTCAAAATATTTCTGTCATAAATGTTTCTTTTGTACTGTTAGCGGATTTCAACTTTAATCAGACTATGTAAACTGTTCTTCTATCGGTAAACTGTTCTTTGATAATCAATGTTTTATATTTCGGCAAAAAGTTCAAATCAATCATATAGAGTAAATCGTTTGAAAACCTGATGTCAGTACAGTAGTTGTGAGTTATAGTCCATAACATGTTCACTTGAATAGACGCATTTTTTACGAAATAGTTGATACAGCTTTTGCTTTTTGTCAGTGGTATGTTCATATGAGTAGACTGAGCTTAAGACAATTGGTGCCTACATCTTCAACGCATTGTAAAATGAATAATTGGAATACAATTTCATGTAAACATTACATCATTGTTATTTGATTAAGTTGTTTGAAACTTTCCAAGAATTTTTAAGTTCTTCTTCGTTTATGCACTGTCATATTATACTTTTAAACATCCAGCTTGCGTGACTACTTAATGGGATTCCCTGATTCGCTACCATATCAGGACGATGTATTGGTTGACAGTAATATTGAAGCAGTCCTTGAAAGAATGCCAGCAGAGGACAACAACATTACAGTTGGACATACAGTAGATTTCTGGAAATTTGTTAATACAATATTAGCTAACAAACAACAACAAAGAGTGTAATCTGCGATTGTTCAAATCGAGAGGAAAAACTGATTGTGAAAATTATCAATATACTTATATTTTAGTGTTAAACAAGATGTAGATATACACAATTATTTATTAAAGCAGACATTTCTTATCTGTTTAAAATAAATATAAAAATATATGACACTTGTGATTGATTAGTAATTGTATAAGCCACATATATTGATTAGTTTTAACTTAGATATAATATTGGTTGATTTGGTATACCAATATGTAAATTTTTGTATGTTTGCTTTTTTCAATTTATAGAGTAACAAAGATGTGTTTTTATTTATACGTTTTTCTTTTTCTTTGCATATATACATGTATTTTTGTTGCTGTATAATCAAATATCCGGTTACATATATTTTTTTATAGAATGATACACGAATTAAGATTTTATTTCGATATTGTGATATTTGAATTGTCGCGAATGTTCAATAGTAATAATCTCTTATGTTGACTGACTACTAATTACGATATAACATACAATTGTTTTTAAAATTTCAATACATATGAGACAGTACAAAATTAAATTGGCTTTTCACTTACACATATAGTATTTTTTATGGCTGTCAGCAACATAACAAATGAATATGGAAATGTATAAATTAACATTTTGTTTTCACAAAATGGATATTTTTTATCAATAAAAGATATATAAAACAGATCCAAATTATCCTAGTCCTGTTTGAAGAGGAACGGTATGCATTTCTATTTAATAACAAGAGATGTACTGTTTGCAACCTAAAACATATGGTGTGTTCGATTATTAACTATTCTTTTTTAACAGAAATTACTAATAGGTATTTTATATCGATTTTATGCAATTTTCAAACTATTTAATTGGAGCTTGTCTGATAAGAACGATATTTTCAATATAAATGAAAAGAGTAAAATATTGCATACCAAATTTGACTGATAAATCCTAAAACAGATACTGATGATGGTTGCCTGAAACATTGTTGTGCAATGTTGTATTTTTGTTTTAGATCATTTCATATTAATATTATTCTATATATAACATATTTATTCAAGAATCTAAATACTAGACAATATGAAATTATATGTATTCCACAATTAATCTATTTTGATAAGTATTCTGATATACAGTTCACTATTCATCAATACAGGTTGGAATAGTTGTATTTTGGCTTTTGAATAGTGAAAAGATTTAATATATTATCCTTAAATTGATAACCGGAACGTATCAATATATTGAAATAAAAATAATAAAATTATGATATTTGCTTTTATATAGTTACACATTAGATAGATTAAAAAAAAAGTATTCTTTCTTTTATATAATTAGAACTTTTTATCAATTTCCATGTGTTTTAAGTGTGTGCAGTTATGTTTGATTTTAACATTTTATCAGTAAATAAACCTATATATTGCTTTCTTTAGTGTTATCCTTATCAAAACAAATGAAACGCACCACGTATGATTCTGTTGAAAACAATGAGTAGTAAAGACTGAGCATCATATTTTGAAAATGTATACCGACTCGCCCATTATTAAAAAGCACACATACCATTTTAGAGCAAGTGTCAATCCGTATCATCACTTTGCGAGTATCGTTGATCAATGTCCTTCCGCTGACTTTTACCTGTCCATTTTGACCAAAGTTGTCAAGATAAAAATAAGTAGATATCGCATGATTGCCAATGAGACAACTATCCACCAACGTTCAAATGAAGTGGATGTAAGCAATTATATGCAACGGTACGGTCTTCGACAATGAGAAAAACCCATACCGTAAAGTCGGCTATAAAAGGCCTGACATGAAAAATATGAAACAGTCGGCTTTTGCTCTATAATGACAATTCTTTCTAATAATATTCAAAACTCTGATAAGCCAACAAGACAAAATATATTATCCAATTACGTTTGCATGTGCCTGTCAACAGTCTAAAACCGCGTCAGTAGTTTTTGTAAGTCACATCTTTCGTTATTCGGAGAATAGGGTGTTAATGGTTAATCATTTATTGTTTCTGTCAATTTCATAATCAGCTGACTCTTTATTACAGCTAATGCCAATAAATGACAATTTTTGGTTTGGTTTTCAAATTGTTTGTTGCGAGTGCCACTAATGAGATCTTGTGTAGGCTACACACGAGTCTGTCGTACAAAGTTATGAGTGTGTTTACTCATTTTTGTGTTTCGGCTATAACTTTGAAACCTATAAGAAATAGAAAAAACATTTTATCAGCAAAAAAGGATCAACTAGACAAAATTTTGGAATTTTAAGTCAAATCAACATAACAGAAATCATATGTCGACTAATTATACAAGTTATTTGTATGACAGGGTGATACCTTAATTCTTGAAAACTATAAAAGATGGACGGAAACTGGTTAAAGACAAACATACTCAGCACGACAAGATCTACTATTAAGTAAATATGATTGAAATCGTCAATCGACTCCTCTTATAATCGTACAGTTCTGGCTCATATAATACAGTCGGTAACTTCTTGATTAAATAAGAAAACATATTTAACTTTTCCATAATAGAACTTTTACAATTGTACACAATATAACACCACTAACGCTATGCTGACACCAATCTCTATATTCTTAAAGATTAGAAGTATTCTTTTTCCGAAACCGGATTTTAGATTTCTTGACTTCTTTAACCCTACAATCATGCATGTTTCTGTCAATTAGCTTCCTAATTTATTTCATGACAAAATGTAAATGAAACACATAATCTTGGTTACAATTATATAAAGAGATTTGATTATAAAAGGTATAAATTTCTTAACATTGACTATGCATTAACCATTTTGGAAAAACAATATACAATCATTTAAAGTTTCTATTCAGTTTCAACTGTCAATTAAGATGGCAACAGTGAGGCTTTTATATATTCTTGCATTAATGGTACTCGGGCGGATCTATACTTTTTTGCAGATTATGTTGCCAACCAAAGTGAGAAATGTCCAACACTGTGGAACATAATAAAACTATTCGAAAAATACATACCTATACGGCCTCTCCGAAACTATCTCTCACATCAAAACAGAATACTGCACTTGTTTTGATTTTTTGCTGTCTATACAAAAAAAAAAAAAGATCGTCACCACTAAGTACCTGAGATTAATCCCAGTTTATGGCCCATGGTAGTGTTCGTGTTTCTTAGTCGTTAGCCTTTTTATATAGTGTTTTTGTATACGGTTGATTGTCCGTTTTTTTTTGTCATGATATTGTCAGTTCGCTTTCGAGTTTGATTATTCCTTTTGGGAACATGAACTAACATAAAATCATGATGAAATCCGTACAGATTGCTTCTTTACCAACGCGGACTTGAATAACTTGACCATATATTGAAAAAATGACACTATGTTAATTTTTATTTTTTGCTACAAATCTAAAACAAAGATGGCTGTCACCATAGAATCTTTTTAGAGAGATATAGAAAAAGCTTAGAAAACATCCATACTTTGATCAATGTTTGTGGCCATCTTAAATGAGTAGAGCCAATAATTCCAATAAATGGCCTTGTAAAGGTATATTTGAAAACTTCAAATGATTCAGTAAATCTCCTCAAGCCTTTCCAGTTTGACAGTTAGACCGTGTAAATATACAGTTATATTTGCATATTAAAAGTTATAAGGTTAATTACAATGCTGCCGGCTAATATGACGCACCTAAGACTTGGAGAATCACTAGACTCCTAATAGTTTCAGCATATTCAGGGTGGAATCAGAATAAATATTATATCTTATAAAAATTATATTTTGATAAAGAGAGTTGTAATGGGGTCATGAGCACGGATTACCGGGAAATTAATCGCCAAGATTCTAGAAAAGTCTCAATCTTCTCTTCTTGAAAAAGGAAATACGAAAGAAAACCATTGGCGAAGTTTCTGACACGTGACAAGCGATTGAACATGTGGTAGAGTTAATCTAGTTCTTTGAAGAATCAGACCTCCCATCTTATCTCAAGTACAAAACCAACAAACAAAAAATAAGATTGTTCAGTATGTCATAATGATGCAAAAACACCAGAATAAGTATTTATTATCAATATACGTTATAGTCCCATGGGTCAAGGCTATGGAATTAATTGTTAGTCAGGAAGGTGGAATTGTTCCTTATCGTCATGTGTAAAAGAAGTAGTACCTACATTTCGGAACATACAATCTACCATTTATGTCGCGTTGACATGCATCCAAAATTTAAAGATTAACGATGAAATGTATTATAATCAACCTTGAACATAAATATTGTACTTTATTTGAACCAAACGATAATCGACAAATCCGATACGATAAAGACAAAATTGACAAGAAACAATAAAATCATGTTACGTTTACCGTTCTAACGGTAGAGAGCGAAAAGGTCGTTTAAACCTATGACGAGAAAGACTTTCGCAACTTTATGAATATCAAAATGCGACGTGCCCTTGACCCATTTGCAGTCGATCAGCTTAATATTCTTATTTAATGTGAGTTAGAATAGAATGCCATTAAGACTGTTAAAGATCATTTGACAGTAAAATTGCGGCAATGTAAAATATAGCAATATATACAGTTTGAAAGTATCAGAAACAAATAACAACGGCTACGGGACATACCATTTTTACTCAGCTTGCCATATGCAGTCACATTTTTCACTTGTGCTAATTGATCATACTAGTATATTTACCTAACTGAGGATGGAATGGGTAACTTGTTATATCGGTAACAATACAAATGTGAAATGACAATAAACATAAGATTTGTTTAATGCTAACAATAATAAAAAGGCACTCTAGGGCGTTTTACACCTGACGATAAGGAACAATACCACCCTCCTGACTATCAATTAATTCCATGACCTCTACCCAAATGAGCTCTGTCAAATTTCTTTTGAGATAATAGCGTATATTGATAATAAATACGTTATTCTGGTGTTTTTGCATCATCATGACATACTGAAAAAACTTATTTTTTGTTTGTTGGTTTTGTACTTGAGATAAGATGGGGAGGGCTGATTCTTCAAAGAACTAGATTGATTAACTCTACCACATGTTCAATCGCTTGTCACGTGTCAGGAACTTCGCCAATGGTTTTCTTACGTATTTCTTTTGTCAAGAAGAGAAGATTGAGACTTTTCTACAATCTTGGCGATTAAAAACTTTCCATATTGTTTACACTTGACCATGTGTTGACATCTGGGTGTCTTTGTCTTTTTGAGTTTTGAGTTTGCTGTTTTATTAACGTATATTATACCTCACAATGGCCAACGTTTCCTTTGATTTATGTTATGGTTGACTGAATTCGCAACTATCTGGGAATTTGACAACTCCTATGGACACTGTGCAGATGTATAGGTGTATGTTCTCCAGAATCTGTTCAACCGTTCTAGCACAAGTAATGCCACTCAAAATAATCCCAGAAAGCCCCAAATGTCCCCAACATAAATCCGGATTCAAGTGTAATATTTTTTTAATGTGAAAATGCAAATTTCTGAAATTTGAATTTTCCTAAAACTGAATTTGGAGAACACACCGGTGATACTAAAAGCTTATCACATAATGTATGGCTCTAATGCTGCCTCGTAATTGAACAGTATCAGGACGGACGTATGTCTGAAATGAAATATCAACGATAGTTGTAGAGGCATTCTATGGATAATACAAGGTTACTGCACTGCATTACTAATATTATTCTACAACTATTTTACAAAGTGTTGTAGTTTTTGTAGTTCAAAACTTTAAGATGACAAGAACAACGCTTTATGAGCGTTATACATAACATGCACAATAATAGTTTGGTTATACGTTCTAAATAATAGTCTTCATTTCATTAGGTTGAGGAATTTGAATTATAAAAAATCACAAAAAAAATAATAAAAATCCTAAATGAAGGCAACGTGTGCAATTTATTGGACTAATAAAATGGCAAATGGCCAATCTCACCAAGCAAATCATTTGTCTAAATGAATGTCCAAATCAAGTGCATGAACTGTTGTTCAAGCTACCTAAACTAGGAGGGGTAAATGTTGATATTGCATAGCCATTTGCAGTAATATGTAAGTTAAGATAAACTTCAACCAATGCTAAATGTTATTCATATTTGGTGTACACGATGGAGGTTTAAATTCAGTCTAAGTCCATACATTTTCGTAAAGGACGTAAAAATCAGAGTGAGCGTGACAATCGGAAATCATGCAATAGAAATAGTGGACAGTTATAAATACGTTGGTCGAACTTTTAAGTCGAAAATAAAAATATATTTGTGTTTTCGGTTACCCGATCAACCCTATTTTTTGCGGCCGTTATGCCGACACTAACATTTCTTTCGAAATTTTGGAAATTATTTAACTTCCTGAAAAAAAGTCTGGTCTGTTTTACCGACGTCTGGAATTTTATATTTATTAAAACAATCAGTTCAGTTCACTGGCAAGTGGCTAT